CACTACAGCTGACGATCAATCGACCATCAGGTGAGAATTTTGCGCATCGAACCCAATTCGAGTGTTGATTGAGTGAGAATTGAAATTTTTGTCGATGAACGGTCCAAATTTTAATTGTTTTATCTTCTGATGAACTCAGCAAACTTTGACCATCACTCGCAAAGTCAACACATCGCACGGCAGCTGTGTGAGCTTTAAAAACAGTTGATTCACCTTTGACACTCGGAATCCAAAGACGAACTTTCTTATCTTTGGAACCAGACGCAATCAGATGACCTGACGGTGAAAAACATACCGAATGAACCGCGTCATTATGGCCGACGAAGCGATAAGCTCGAACTTGTGGTTTAAATGGCCATAAGAAGAGACATGCATCCAAACTACCAGATACTGGAAATGAAACAAGGAGAGTATATGATCGATTTATTTTAGAACGAATGTTCAGAAGAGATACCTAGTTGTTTCGTATTCGGTGAGAAGCTGAGAGATGTAACAGTACTACGATGACTTTTGAAGTGTTTCTCTAATTTTGGATCTTCCTGCAAAACGGTTGAAATTAGAAAAGCTTTTTTGTTGTACAAATTATTTACCATCAATGCGTCAGTTGAAAAGGAAATCAATGAACATTCTAATTCTAACTCTCAATATTAAGTCTTTTCTTTGTCCGCAATACTAATCGTCCATCATTGGTATCGGACATCAATTCAACAGGTACTCCTAGACAACCGGTGGGGTCCGATCTCAAACTATAAGATCGATAAATAGTCTCTTTATTGTATAAAAAAGAACTGAAATGAAAATTTTTCGATTTTCATTTTCATAAAAAATTTTCAATCATTTATATAGAGAACACACTGGAAAAGATGGCGCTAGTGCATACAAAAGCGTGATTTTCGACTAAACTACATAGTATTCTATTTTGTTATGGGCTATGTATTAAATGTTGAAACTGCCTTGTAATTTAACATCATTCTTATCAGCTGATGTTGCAACCCAAAAATTGTAAGTACCAGGTGCCGTTGTCCATTTTTGATTAACAACATTCCAGTATGAAATATCTTTCTGTGTCAATGTTAGTGTGACTTGTTTGGATTCGCCAGCAGCTAAATAGACTCGTTCAAAGCCACGTAATACTTTCGGTGGTTGTTCAGCTTCACCAGGAAAACCAAGATAAAGTTGAGGTACTTCCGAACCATCACGTTTACCAGTATTGGTAACTGTAAATGTCACATCATATACAGGTTGATACAATTTAGCAGTGCGCATATTTGAATATGGTCGTATGCGACGTTGACGATAAGCTGATTGTTTACTATTAGAAACCTTTGATATATCAAGTTGTGAGAATGAAAATGTTGTATATGATAAACCATAACCAAAAGCGAATCGTGGAGCGATATTATTTTTATCAAAATGACGATAGTCCAGGAAGACGCCTTCGGTATAATTGGAATTATAGGATTCAGTAATATTTGTGCCAAAATCTGAATCATTTCTTGCTAAAGTAAAAACGAGTTTACCACCAGGATTATAATCTCCAAAGAGGACATCGACGATGGCTGGTCCATATTCTGATCCTGGTAGACCAGACCAAACGACACCCACAACATTGGGATGATCAATCCATGCTTCGATATTCAATTGAGAAACACTATTTACAACAACGATCGTATTCATACAACGAGAAGCAACTGTTTGAACTAATTTATCGCCATCGTTAAAAGCACGAAGATTGTATCGATCTCGTCCTTCTGTGGACCAAGCATTAACGAACACTAGACATTTAGCATTTTGAAAGCCACGAACGTTAAAGGAATTGTTGATCGCATAGTAATCGTTCTGATTAGTAACATATTGAATTTGTATATGCGATTCTCGAGCTCTGATTAGCAGTGAAGTAAGAGGATCAATGCCATAGGTGGGTCGAACGTAACCAGAACCACCACCTTGATATAGTGCACCATTGAATCCTTCATCGGATCCCCATGGGCCGAGTCCATCGTTAAATTGACCTGCAGCTGAACCAAAAACAGAATAATATTTATCTTGAGTAACATTGAATGGTAAAGCATTGTTCGTATTTTTCAATAGAATAATACCAGCAGTACCAATCTCTCGATTAATTCTATAGTTATCCTCAGTAGCATCGCGATCTAAATCTAGTGTCGGGAAATCTTGATCTTGTCCAAGTAGGTAATATGGTGCGATCACTCGAACGATCATATCATTGATTCTTTCTTCACTAATTGAACCACTTTTCACCGCTTGTACAAGAGAAAAGCCGAGAAAATTGTCACCACCTGGCATTTCAATATCCAATCCTCCAAGAGCAGATGGTACACCAGTTTTCGTCGCACCCCAGTCAGACATCACATTGCCTTGAAATCCAAGTTCACCTTTTAACAAGCCGTTTAATGTTTTATCATTCTGGCATGCTTGCGTCCCATTGACTTGATTGTATGAACACATGATAGAACCGGCACCAGCAGCAACACTTGCTGCGAATGGCCAAAGATAGATTTCATGGATGGTTTTATCATCGAGATTTGCTGAATAACCTTGGGAATTAATCTCACCAGTTGTGAGTAAATTATCGCTGAGACCATAGAAGCGGTTGGTTTCTTGTTCATTACAAATATAATGTTTAGCAGTTGCTACAACACCTTGATCTTGAACACCTTGGACGTAAAAGAAAGAGTTTTCACCCGAAAGGTACGGATCAGCACCGAAGCCTTCCCAATTACGGCCATGGAGAGCATTGCGGTCGATATTCATCATTGGGCCTAGAGCAAAATGAACACCTTTACCTCGAAATTCTTTGCCGATTGCGACAGCACGTCGATAGAAAAGATCTCGATCCCACGTGGCGGCTATTTGTATACCCGGCGCGAATGCAGTTGCGAATTGCACACCGTCACCAACACCTGATGGCGAATCTTGAAAGCACATTCCGTGAAAATTTAATCGCGATACTGGATAAACAGTGCCAGCACATGGGCCAGGAACACCTGCAGTCATGTTACATTTCTCTTCTAACGACAGTTGTGCAACAAAATCCTTCGCTAATTTAATGGCTTCACTCCATGACCTACTCTGAACATTCCCATGTTGATGATGATTTGATTGAATCACTGCCGAATAGACCGCTGTGAAACATATGGTAAAAACTATGACAGACAACCAATCATTAACCATTTCAGCGGGAGCGTCTACTATCTCTGGTTTTATTTCTTTGTGACCACCTTTATTTGTATATATATATAGCAGAGAGAAACGAATATGAATGAGATATTTTATCTTGTATCAAGTTGATATAAATGTCGTTTACTAGTGATAAGAGTATATGTCAACAAAAATCGTTAGTTTTTCTACTTATGTATGCTTTTGTTATCTAAAAAATGTCGTTTGTTTCAACATATTACATTTCTTCTTTGACTCACAAATAATGAAATGATGTGTGAATGGTTATATATTGACATGACAAAATCTTTATTCAAGAATTAAAACTTTATTCTGAACCATTTACATCATTTCGTTGGAGAACGATGACGCTGTATCTTCGTCTATTTGATCGAGTAGGTCATTTACCATATCCAATTCGGTTTTCAATGAAACACTTTCCATTTTCGTATATCGTTGGTATAGTATATGTGCCCACGTTAGTCGTTGTTTAGCAGCTGCATTCTTCCGAGGGTTTTCATTTAATAGACGTTGGGCTTCACCGGTAAAACTATCGGCTATATCACGTACCAAACGTGACAGAACATCTGCATCAAAATTGAAGATTTGAATACAGTCTGTATATTTAATTGCCCAATCCATCTGCAATTCAATATCGTGACAGAAGACATATATTGAATGGCATCTTTTCCCAGTAGCTGGATTGTTAAATACATTAGGGAATCTTTGGAGAAGTATGGGTATAATTTCTTCTCCCAGGACTCCTGAGACAATGAAGTAAATGCATCGATTTTGATTACGTTCAAAGCATTCAATACAAGGATCAACAGTCCGAAATACTGCTAACAGAAACTGAACACCTTCGAAATTAATTGGCAGAGGACCTTCGGCGCGAAGTATATCATCAAAATTTGTGTCGCGCAATGCAACGGGAGTTTCATTTTTAGGATCAGCCATTGTAGAAAATGACTTCTTTAAATGTTGATATTTGGAGTGATTTCCAATTTCTCGATCTAACCATATGAGTAGATGGGTTGGATCGGCCTCGTACGGTATCGTAGCATCAGTGGGCATTTTATATCTGAAAAACAGAATTGTACTATTAGATCCGTTTTAAGAGTGTAAGCAAAGTTTATTGTTAATAACAAATAATGGGCGAAAGTTAATAACTAAGGCGTCCACGCCAGCTAGGAAATGTGGTATATATATATATATATTCAACCAGACGGATATTTGCAATATGATAAACATAGTCGTGTAAGAAGAACGAAATAAAACATGTTGGAGAATTCCATATTGCACGTTGTAGAATATGCCATAAAATTTACGATTATTTTATTTGCTGTTCGATGTATTCGACATGTTTGTCCATGTATCAAAGTCAGATTGAACTGATTCCGTTTAATAGAAATGGTTGGTTACCGAATAAGCACCGAATGCACAGGCCGTTTCTAATGATCAGTACTTTTCTGTAATCTCCTATCCAGACTGATACTAAACTTGATTATAGATTTGATCTCGTCGATAGGAGATCAATGATCCAACAAGCGTGCGTATAAAAGTTCGTCGGTATAAAACGAAACTAGGAAGAAACATATTCATTTTCAGGATGTATAACTTGTTCGTTCATCGAATACAATAGCTTCATTTTCTTTCATATCGCGAGTCGATAGTTTTTCAATAGTCTGCGCAACTTGGAAAAAAAGCCGACAGAAAGAACTACAAAAAAGTGTGAAATGGAAATTGATTAGTCGGTAAAAAATTCTTCTTTTCTTTTTCATCTCTATTGATTCTAAACAATATGCTGCAATAGTTTATAATCATTGTCCTCCAGATTCTTCTTGCGCAATAGGGTCGTCATCATCATTAGCAGCCGATGCTAAATAATCTGTAGCATCTTCGTTTTCGGTTCGTGGTGCTGAATTTGTTGCATTTGCTCCTTCCTGATGTGAATGTTGTTGCCCAGTTGTCATATTTTTTGCTCTCTGAATAAGTCCAATATCACCACCATGACCCCTTAGTATTTTTAAAGTTTTTAGTTCTGGAGTATTCAATTTATCGACTTGATTCGCTGTCAATTCTAGTTTTTCGGCATTTTCGAAGCATTTCAATGCATCTGTTCCGCAATTTAAATTTAAATAATCTTGTCCTTGTATAATAATGCGTTTAGATATGTCACGTGTAAGTCGCACAAGTAAATTAAGTTCATGTGATAATATCTGTAAACAGGACAAGTTTTCCATAACTAAGTCAATGTAATTACTTTCATCACCACAAAATATATAGAATTGATGAACTTGAGGGTATACGCGTTTGATATTCGGAATAACCTGTTTGCCAAGTGAGCCTGATGAAATGAAATAAATCTGTTTGTCGTGATGCTCTTGTATAAGAAGCCATGCTTTGTCAATCGTATCAGCAAACAAAAATGGTGCAGCATTTTCATCTAGTGCACAAATGAGTGAATTAATTAGATCAGGCGGCATGACCGTTGTTGGCTCCAAAGCCTGAGAGAACTTCTTTTTGAATTCTACATACTCGTTCTCTCTACCTATGTAAGTGTCTAACCAGATAAATCGAATACCGTTCCCAAGGGACATTTAAAACGGAAAGAGAAAAAGAAACAACCAGCGTACGTCTAGTTTTTAAATAGTCTGAGGGGTTGGTTTGCATACATATAGACCTGTAAGTAGAAGAGAGAACAGAAAAAAAAGTGGTTTGATTGTAAAAAAATACAAAAACGCATGACGTCTACCTAAAGGCGAGGAGACAACGTCTTTCGGAGAAAATCGTTTTTTACCTCGTAAAGATACAATTGCGTATTTGCGTTTCAAAAATAAACTCAAAATAAGAACGATAAAATTACACATGATCTTAATGTACGTGAATTCTTTCTCTATGTGATGACGAAGAGATAAAAATTTTTATTGTCGCATTCGGTCGCCAACATTTGTAGTGAAACTAAAGCGAGATAGAGTTTGTGATTATGGTGATAGTACTAAATGAAAACAATTTATTAAAGGATTATTAATACAATGTATGTTTCATTGCGATTTTAAAGGCGCATACAAATAAAATCGATCATCATCATATGTAAAACTGTGTCCTGGAAATTCGAGGTAAAGCGAAAAAGATATGAACATATTTTAGTACAGTTTCATCATTGCGACTGTTTAAAGAAATCACATTTAGAGCGCACACACTTTGTACATTATTTTTCGACAGCGAGGTAACTTATATAGTGACAAAAAAAGTTGCTATTGACGAACACAACCAGTTATTGCTGTTAAAGCCGTAGGACATGTGACTGCTTTAAATCGTGCTATTGGATTGAATGCATTCATAAACCAATCGAATCGCCAATAGCAGCCTGCTTGTAAAAAACTTGGCAACTGACTGCAATTTGCTCGATCAGTAAAACCTCCGTACTGATTACCCCATGAGTAATTACTGGAAAATTGATTGGCACATCCATTTGAGGAGCCACCCCATCCACCACCCGGTACTTGTAAAACGAACATATTACCCGATGTATAAGCAGTATTAACTACTTGTACAATTAGTTCTTTACCAGCTATGGCACCTGATGTGAACAATAGTGAATAACATGCACAGCACCAATCCCATTCTGAATATCCCTAGAATGATATGAATTGATATATACACTCGTTGTGAATAGCAAGTGGTATTTACAGCAATGAATCCACCGGCATAACCATAAGAAAGAGTACTGCTAACATTCCAGGGTTGTTGATCAATGCACAGGTATGAACTACCGCCATTGCAGTACGATTGGGTATTAGGATCGATTGTCGTAATACCATCTTGTGCACACGTTCTTGCCGGATTTGTCACTGAGGCTTTGTATGGCCAACCACAACTCAACTTACAACAGTCCCAATAAATACTAGTGGTTGTATTCTGACGACCATCATCATAATATGTCGCCGTTATTGGCGACTGAGAAGTAGTCATCACCATTGACAGACATTGCGAATACCATGCATTCTGATAAGTGCAGACTAAACCGCTACAACAATTGGTTGTTCCATTCCATCCACTGCCTCCACATTGACTGTAAATATTGTTACAGCTCGCTAAAAGACTCACAAATTAAACTGAATGAAATCTAGATCGATTTTTAAGTTCCTCTCACTTCTCGAACTGATTCTGCTTTCACCTACTGATCTTATAAGAATTCATTAAATGAAAGTGAAGGATACTTCATAATTTGATAAACGATAACAAACACTTGGAACTACTCAAGGAATCCGAGTGAAACAGGTTGTTGTCGAAACAAAAACTATTCATCATGATCGTAGAAAAAAGCTTTCTCGTTTGCACAGCATCAAGGATGACTTAGTCTGACAGATTTCTTCTACTCTCCGTAATTTAATTCTTTAGACTTCATTTTACCTGTTGTACTGAACAATGTTTGTCTAGAGATTACTTTCGAGTTTGTATTAATTCGAATTTTTGTGGTTGATACAAATTGAGGAAACAATAGACAAGTGCGGTTAATCGTATAGCAATTAATCACTTCGTATTTGGACGAATTATCTGAGAAAAATGCTTGACATATGCAATCCGAACACGAGCCATCGTATAGTAAAACGTTGGAAAAGTTAGTAGGAACATATTCCGCCGATTCAATGTAATTTATGTATGTGGCGTAACAGGTATTGAGCCAAGCATGAAGTAGAAACGCTAAATAAACTAGCCGAATCATTCTTATGAGTTCAATGATGCTGCCTTTAACTAGCGTTCCAAAGCGATAAATGGCATTGTTTAAGAGCAGCATGATGCGTGTCTTTCAAGTTCTTGAAATTGAAAAGCTCTGAATATTCTTAACAGAACAGGCATGACAAAGAGTCCTTCAGCGACACGTAGGATACTTTTCGATAGAAAGTTACTTATAGTGCCAAGTGGAAATAGTTCAATAGTTCGAACATGTGAAAGGGTGTGTTTGTCGTTTCTTCTTCCATGACAGTTTAAAAGTCATGTAGTAAACATTGTATAGGCACAGATATTCCTGTAAAATCGATCTGACAATTACGTGAAGATTATCCATAGAAAACTGAGAGAGATTCACGTCCTATGAGTGCATTTCTCGATATGATACTGCCAGTTGATTGTTCATAATTAACCTTTTATGTTTTCGAAATTCTCTTTTGACATTCTCAAGTGACCGAAGATGAAAACAGTACTATCAAAAGTATGACGCGTGTGAACTACGAAGTTTTCAGCTGCTACTTGAGTGAAGAGTGTTCCACATAAAATGTTCCATCGTGTGTGGAAAAATGGATTTAAAATGCAACCATTTGCTAATCAATCTGTCTGAATGAGATTGAGAGTAGAAACGATGATCAAATCTGATCTTGATCAGAAGTAAAATTATAAGATGAATACATCGTATTCTAAAAGTGTAAATGCTTCCCCTACGTTGATGGAAATCCCATTCACTGATGGCCATTTCTTTCAAACTTTTGAAATTAAAATCTATGTTTCTATTTCAGTAGATCACTTTGTAACCAATTTTCTCAATCACAATTACGAGCGGCAGCGCTGTCGAGATTACATTCCATCCTTAGCTTATTTATCATCAACAGATAGAGTAGAGAGATCTTATTATATGTTCTGCTAGTATTTTATGAGATTTTTTGAGAAGAGCATTCTTCAATGTGTGTTACAGTTACAATAGTCTGCACAGCTATCCATAAACAAACTATCTTGTCGATATTCGAGTTTATTTACTCTTCCTTAGTGTCTGTTAAACCATATTCATGCCCGATTGTAGGCGTATTACAAGTCATTTCAACCGTATTCAAAGGAGAACTCGAAGAAATGAAAAAATAAATATTCATGAAAAATCAATAAAGCAAACGTGTTTGAATATGTCGATCAACATGGCTGAAAAAACAACTGTTCTAATTGTACTGACATGAGAGTTTTCCGGTAATATTTTGTTGATCATGCATTTGTTTTCTTCCAAATGTAAGGAAATCTTTTATTGAGTGTTAGTGTGAAGAGGAAAGAGAAATATAAAAATAAATTTTAAAATATCATTCTATTTCAAATGTTTTGTTTGCTGTATTCAAATTAATGGCGTTTTGCCTCGGAATGTCGGCGTTATTGGTTTTGTGTTTTCAGTATAAGAATTATTTAAACTTGTTGCGACACGATAACCACGGCGAGATGAACGATCTTGTGCATTGGAAGTACTCGCTGTTGTAAGTCGTGATAAAGGACGCTTTTCTGATGAGTATGGTCGATCTGTAGATAAAGGAAAAAAAGTGTTGAAGAGAAAGTTGTAATGCATGCTTAATGGAAGAAAAAACCTGTTGGTGGAACATTCGGGCTATCTCGAATAATGATTGTTGGAGTTGCTCGATCGTTAGCATGACGCGTGGCTGGCCGATCGACAACGGTAATTTCGACAGGAGTATGGCGACTATTATTTGCCGGCGTTGTTAAACGTTTGCCTGGTGTCATGGTTCGAAGTGGAGATGTAGCGCGTTCGCATGTATCGTTATTATCAGCATTGACGGAACATTGTGGAGTTAATTTTGATTGTTTCATAAAGGTTTCTAGCTGCTGTTTTTGACGATCCTTTTCTTGACGTTGCCAAATTTTGTACGGCCAATAGACACTTAATCAAATAGAAAAAAATCAATCGAAATTTTTATAGACTAGTACAAATTACTTATTCATGTTTGTTGACGACGATTGGTCGGAATTCAAAGTATCTGATGGAAGATCAGTTTCGACACATTGCATATCGTGCATGGTTCGACTGATCAATTCCATTGCCAGACGTTTCTCTAAAGGAATGGGAGTTCGATTAGTTTTGTAGATTCTCAAAAGTGAAGTCAAACCTGTCGGATTTGCGTTTACCAGCCAATCTTGTGCTTCGAAAATGTTATCCGTTTGTAAGATATAGCAGAGAATTGGAATTAACTAGCGGCAGAAGGAAATACTGACGAGAAATAAATTAGAATCTTACCCATATTCCTGGATCTTGGTTTTCGTCATTCAATGATGCTTGTTCTTGATCAGCTTTGCCCGTGCCCGGTTTCACTTTGGATGTTTGTGGTCGTTGGGACCGTTGACTTGCACGTCGTTGTAATAATCGTTTGGAAACGTTCTGTTCGTCATTGGTATCAAAACCGAAACCCGATGCCGAGCTACAGCTGCGTTTTGTAATGGAATTATTCAATCGTGCGGATCGTGACTGACGTAAGTACTGTTCTTGTTCGTCACCTGTCGTTAATGATGATTTTATTTGCTGAGCTAAGTCCATAAGTTCATGACGCCAAGCATCAGCTGAATTGTCTGTAAAGACAAAAAGAAGTATTCAATTGAATGGGAAAAGAAAACAAGCAGTCGCGAAAGCGCAATGTTTTCTCTGAATACTGAGAACAAATTAAAAATTTATTTTGTATCCGATGAAATGTACGCACAGAACGTTCAATAAGATTGTTTTTCTCTATCGATAATTGATCATACTGTTCAAATAATATGATCATATGGTTTCGAATCCTTGCTATCAAACATGCCCTGTGCTTAGTTTCAGTCAAGTGATTGAGGCATCCTTATATATGCTGATTTTCACACGAAAAGCCACTTGAATCAAAAACACGATCACACCTAGTTGTCCGAAGCGAAACTTACAAAGCCCGAAGCCGTTGGTTTTGTCCATATCTAAATCATTCGAGTTTTGAAATCGATTGCTTTTCATTAAACGGCTGGCATAGTTTGGTGTATCCTCTATATACGGAATGAATCCCGTTTTGATATCTATGATTGTAAAGCAAGAATAGCAATGAAGAAAAGCAGGAGAAAGTGAAGTTTACTATGCATAAATTTCAATCGTCTTGGACACGCAGCATGTCGAGCTGGACGTACGAAGAACATGTTGGCACTTCGACTGCCGAATCTTTGTCGTGCATTCGTCAAATTTTCGTAATGGGATTCGTTCGGAAATGATGGACCGTAGACTAAATAAACTGAAATCTATCAGCAACTTTCCATTTCTTCTTTCAGGTAAGCTTACAAGTCATGTTCTGGCAAATTATGAGAAATTGAATAGAACTCTTGGTTTGTTTCTTTGTTTAAGAAAAAGAAAAGACGAGAACAAAAAATCGAGTGACAACGACAATTCAAATAGTGTAGCAACGCAGAAATTTGTTCACATACACTTTGTTGTGTGACAGAACGATTTCTTTTCTTATTTATAATAGAAAAAGAATACTATTGATTTCTTCTGTTCTTATCCGCCAATCCTCAATAACAATAACATCCATCACTAGCAACAACACAAACGAAAGTAAAGCGACGATCGATTGAAAAAATAGACGACATGTACACATACGTATTCGGAACATCACTTTCAAATTTGTGCGAGTTGACAAAAAAACATTTTCTTCTCTCTTCTAAAGTTTGTTTTTTATATTAACTGCTATTGCTTCTTCTCTCACTCACTCGTGTGCATGAGTTACTTAAGAGCTACTTGAAATTTTTTGTCAAAACCATACGTTATAGATCAAAATTTATATGAATATTTATTTAAAATTAAAATCAAGGTGAGAAACAAAAAGAAGAAGAAGACTGTAAGGCTGATAGTTGAACAAAGAAGAAAAGAAAATATATCGTATTTCTGATATCATTTTCAGGCACACGTCCTATGTTGTTAAAATAGTTTATACATTCAAGTCATCTTTAGTTTCTTGTGGAATGAACTGTTTTATCAATATGTTGCTTGACGTACACATCCTTTAACATCGCAAACACTTGGGGCAATGTTCGGCTGTAAATTGGCATAACCAACTGGACCCGAATCAGCGGCATGATAAGTATTTGATGGTACTGAGTTGACATCCACGAATTGATTATCTATAACTGGGTTAGATGTGTAATGTGCGTGGATATCCGTTGGTCGCCGAGGTGGAAGAAACGATTCACCAGACGAATACACTGTTGGTGCACTTGGAGGGAAAGCATTACGAACAGCCGTTGACTCTTGACTATGGTTCTATTCGACAAAAGAATAGATAATGAGACAAACAGAATTTTATTTGCTTTTTTTTGTATGTACGTACGGGTAAATGTGCAACTTGAGCTGCAACAGGACCATAGAAATGTGGATTTAATGGAGCAGCACGAACGACGGATGAACCGAGTGCACCATAACCAATATGTCCACCAGCAGCTACTCGAATTCCTTCACGCGCGATAACCTAATTTCAAAATAGATTAATGTATGCTAATCGTGCAACTGATTTCTACTAACGGTATCTAAAATCGCAGCTGGAAAAGAAAAGAAAAATAAAGATTTGTTTTTAACAAACACTTCATTACTAACCTGCTTTCAGTTTATCTTCAAAAAATGGAAAAGTGCTCAATATGTAATCATTTCCTTCTTGCGTATTTGCATCATTGAGAGCTCTTTAAAATAAATTTAAAAAATCATAATCACTATTAAACAAAATTACGTTTTCATCATACCTTTTCACGTATTGAAGTGCTTCAAGACGGTCATTGTGTATAGTGATCGCAGCAAGGATATGTCGCGCTTGTTGACATGTCATCGGAATTAAACGCTAGAGAGAGAGAGAGAAAGTCTTGACTAAAATGTAGTCTTTCCTATCTCAATTACTGGCTCCATGATCATCACTGCTTTGATTCGATCTTTTGGTCGAGTTATTGATGAAACGATATGACCAGCTTGTTCTCCGCTTAAAAATCCACGTGAATGGTATAGAGTTTCAAGTTTTTTCTCATGATCAGTTGTTTCCTAAAACATGAAAACATCCATCATTAATCGCGATTCGTTAACCAATTCTGCTCGCTCTGTTTCATAATACGATTATTCTAAACTAGAATGATTCGATTTTCTCTTTCCATATGTCTACAAGAAACACATTGTTCTACACTTTGATCGTGTCTTGTGCTCGCCAAGTCATTCAGATATTCGACCTCACCAACCCAAACAATCCATGTCAGACGGAGGAGAAATAATATTCAATCGCTTACGTGAACGATTGTTCGAAGTAAAATTTCGAACTGTTGATCATTCATTGATATTTGATAGCTTCGGTTCTGTGATGGGAGAACATTTTTAGCAATAGGATCGAGAAAATTCATGATGATAAACGATATTGGCGAAGTTGGCTACTAAAGCAAAACAAAAAGAAAATTCTTTTGTAAAATTTTTCCATAAACATCAGTCATTTTCTTCGTTGTTACTAACACATCGTCCTCTACTCATTCGAACTGAGTTTTAAACTCGACATAAAAACTTTCTTCGACGAGTTGTAGTCCGTCTTCAATTGGATTTTCTTTCGAAAGAATTTTTCCGAAAAAAGCTTTTTTAATAAACCGCCATCTATCGATACGATTTGCTATTCGATTAGAATCGTGGAACCATTGATCAACATACGTAACATACACATACAAATAAATAAAAATAAGCAAAAAAGAAGTCAACAACTATCCCTAGGTGAATCGTAGGCTGTAGTTTCTATCCGAATATTAGACCGACAGGTAGTCATCACATTTCGATCCATCCTTAACGATGATCGTGCTGACGATGGATCCAACATTCAGAATAATGTGGGTTTTGTTTTCGATCTTCATTGTTACACGGCTGTGTCGATAATTTCGTACGAAATAATTCATTTCAGATGGAGAATATGTTCTCATTGTATCGACGATCAGTATGAGATATTTTTATTCTTTCATGTTTAGATTCGCTTCTAGACAATCAAGAATGCATTGAATTCTTATTTTCGAAAGAATTGCGTGCATTCGTGAAAAATATCTTTATTCATTCTTCTACTTGGCATTTCGTGGTCACCGAGCTTTTCGAGTGAAAAATTTTCAATTGAAATTCTTCTTCTTCACTTTGTAAAACATTTCAGATAGATTTCGCTTTTTAAATCCCGACTAACGCTTTCATCTATAGAAGTTAATCTATCTCCAAATATTGTATGTTCGGTAATACCGTACATCGACATTAAAACCGCACTTTTCGATCAGTGTCACTTATTATATAATGATTAAAATAGATTGAATACGTGGTGTTATTCGCAGTCTATTCATTCCGTTCATCGTTTTTCTTTTTTGATTTACCTTTTCTCTTGAGAAATTCATTTGTGTAGAAGAAGGACTCTTCAAATTCTGGTTAGATATAGACTTTCTGTTCGCTGATGTAAAACAATAGATTTCCTGTCCTGACTTGTTCTCTACTGACTCTTTGTTAGTCACATTGTAAAGTATGCGCAAAGTAATCATCGATAGGTAAAGAAAAACAAATAACGACAGAGACGACAATAGAAGTGTTTAAAAATTGATCAGTAATACATACATGCGAGGCTTAACCTGATTTGTATCGTTTTGAAAAATGAGGAGGAAGAAGAATGAGAAAAGAGACAACGAGAGCGCGGGGAAGGGCAAATGCGTGACAATCTCTCGATTACTTTTATTCTTGTCTTGTCTGTTCTCTCTTCTCGTTCTCAGTCGATTACCGGTTATGAAAAGACGGTGAAAGAACATGATCATGTTTATTGTATATTTCAACATGAACTCGTTAAGAAGAGAGCGAAAGAAAGAAGTAATGAAATCCGAGAACAATCGACACAGCTGTACTTTTCGTCTAGATATTCGCCTAGGATGTTTTATTCATCGGAAGAAGTATTTCTCGATTATTCTTTTTATTTTTATTCATGTAAGTATGTGTGGTAACAGACTGTTGGGCAAGACGGTAATAAACATATTTTTCTTCTCTTCGAATCGAAAGACGAGAATATCATCGATACTATCATTTATGTATTTTAATCTTTCCCGACGAAAGACTATTAGAAAGTGATTATTTTTCTTCGTATTTTTCTTTCTTGTTCTTTCAGAATATAATCTCATGCTCGATATATCGAGAGACCATATCGACAGGTAATGTCGAAAAGTTATAACAGTCAAAGCTGCAACCATGAATATTCATATCCGTCGTTATTTATTTCGTTTTATTCTTTTCGTACCTGTCGCTTGGCTTTTAATCATTCTTATATTTTTGCAATCCAACGAAATTTCTACAAAACCATCTGATAACATTAAATTAAAAGAAAAAAAAAGTGGTAATTATCGCATAGGACGCGATGCAGACGAAGCGGACGCTTTCGGTGGCGATGCATTGGCACGATTGCGTGATCATTTAGTACCAGTACACAACAAATCTAATTCTGGTGAATCGTCAAGTGTAGTGCGAGTTATACATGAAAAACCTGAACAAGTAGCAGCACCACAATTAGAAAATCCTAAGCAAGATCTCAATGGGCCAGGAGAAATGGGTAAACCATTCGAAGTCAACAAAGATAAATTAACACCCGATGAACGTAAAAAATATGAAGATGGCTTTCAAAAGAACGCTTTCAATGGTTATGTCAGTGATCTGATATCTATCCATCGAAGTTTACCCGATGTACGGGATCCAGGTTGCAGAAAACTTTCGTATAAAGGTTTGCAAGCCACTGCAAGTATAGTCATGTGCTTCCACAATGAAGCTTGGTCGGTATTATTGAGATCTATACACTCGATACTCGATCGAACTCCTGAACATTTACTAAAAGAAATCATACTGGTTGATGATTTTTCTGATATGGGTAAGTTTTCAACGAGTTTAAGGTTGAAAGAGATAAGACGATCGTTGTTTAGAACATCTGAAAAAACCTTTCGATGATTATATTAAACCTCTTGGCAAAGTCTTCGTCGTTCGGCAACCAAAACGTGAAGGTCTTATTCGATCACGGTTAGCCGGTGCTGCTACAGTCAAGGGTGATGTGATTGTTTTTCTTGATTCACATATCGAAGCAACCGAAGGTTGGCTTGAACCATTGATTGCACCCATTGCAGCCAATCGCACAACAGTTGTCACGCCTGTTATCGATGTCATTGATGATACCACATTTAAATATAATTATGGTGCTGTAAGTTCACTGAGTGTTGGTGGATTTGATTGGAATTTGCAATTCAACTGGCACGGTGTGCCAGAACGTGAACGAAAGCGAAGAAAACATGAGCTTGAACCTGTACGGACACCGACTATGGCTGGAGGACTTTTTGCTATTAGTAAAATTTATTTTGAAGAGCTCGGAACATGTAAGTTTCCAACATCAATCTGACTGAATGTGAACAGATGTTTCTGTTTGGTATTAGATGATGCTGGAATGGATATTTGGGGCGGAGAAAATCTTGAAATGTCATTTCGAATATGGATGTGCGGTGGTAAGAATATCTGTTTTACAAGTTGCGATTTTTCTTTCAGCTATGTCGGTTTTTTTTTGTAATCGTTCAATAGGTACACTAGTCACTGCACCATGTTCACATGTTGGTCATATATTCCGGAAACGTTCGCCATATAAATGGTTACCAGGTGTCAATGTTGTGAAGAAGAACGCCGTTCGTGTCGCTGAAGTTTGGCTCGATGAATATAAAGTAAGGCAATCTCTTCAGTTCGATGTTGTTTTCTGTTATACTAATCATTTTTGTTTAGAAATATTACTACGAAAGATTCAATTATGATTTAGTAAGAAGTCACGTTCGGCAAACACCAATGATATGTAATTGGTATTGCTTTTTTCTAGGGAGAATATGGTGACGTATCCTCTCGGAAGTTACTTCGACAAAAATTACAGTGTAAATCTTTTAAATGGTATTTAACGGAAATTTATCCAGAACAATTCATTCCTGGTGATGCAGTCGCTTCGGGCGAGGTTTGTGAAATGGTCGAGGAAAAGATCAATTAACATTCTCACAAATATGTTTAGATTCGAAATGTTGGAGCTGCTTTTTGTGTTGATGGAAGTACTGATCATAAGAACTATCACAAGCCAGTCATCGGCTATCCTTGCCATTCTCAAGGTGGCAATCAGGTAGGATTTTCGCATCAAGCAAATAAAGATCGATGTCTACATCATCATATTCTAGTTTTTCATGTTGAGTAAGCTGGGCGAAATTCGTCGAGATGATGGTTGTTTGGATTTCTCGGGCGGTATTAATGATGCGAATAAAGATGACAAAATTATTGTATATCCTTGTCATGGAATGAAAGGGAATCAGCATTGGGTTTACAAAGAGGTTTGTATTCTTCAGTTGTAGTGACACTCATCCGTTTGTACATTCGACTTGTATAGAACAACCAAATACATCATCCAGTATCCAACTTATGCATGACACTATCCGAAGATAGTAAACACATTCGAATGAGTCAGTGCGATGATAACAATACCCGATTCAAATGGTCATGGAAACGCAAGCCGTTGAACGAAACAAACAAAACTGAATGAATTAACAAAGAAACAAACAAACAATCTTACCCGGCAGTCTCAATTCACATATCGCAAGACTTGTGTGCATGTGTGCTACTTCTGTTTTCATTTTTCTTTCCTAATATATTTAATAATACAATGTGGGTGTGCAATATCTGGTACTAAAAAATAACATTGTTTGGCGTTCTCTTTTTTTTTGTTTTGAATATTATGCTCTGTGATTATTTTTTTTTTGTTTCTCTCTTGTCTTCTGCTTTGTTTTAGTGCTTATATCCACATTGTTTTTCTTTGAACAACACTTTGTTAAATTTCATATGCTTTTTATTGCGTTCTTCGTGTTCTCTTTTCGTTATAAGTTTGTTGAATTGGGCGATAAAACAATGAACAATAGAACGAATAATGATCAATTCAGTATACTGACTTGTTTTGTTTTCTTTTTCACTTGTATTAGATGGAAAAAGATGTATTTATCACGCAAGCTTTCCATACAAATCCAGATGATCAACGTATGGAGAAAATTCTTCTTCTACAACGTCTCATTCGTTCCTATTACGTTCGTCGACAATTTGAAGATGTGCGAAAAGAATATTTGAAAACATTAACAGATATCGAAGGAGAAATGGCTATCAAACCAGTTGAATCTCATCCAATCAAAGTCGAAGAACCACTCAAACAAACAAGTAAAGCATTCCTTCGGCTAAAATATTCATTCAATATCTGTATTTTCGCTACTAGTTGCTGTACTTCCATCCAAAGAAGAATTACTACGAAAACGGGAGGAAATTGCTATTGAATTGTTATGGATGGAACAAGCGATTCAGAGCCGCAAAGATTACTTACGTTTGAAATCTCGTTATACTAGTTCTATTTCTTAAGAAGAAACAAATAAATTGTTTGCGTGTGTGTTGTTGTACAGATTCGAATTAGGAGAATAGTAGACTAATGAATTCTTTTTATCATTTGCTTTTTTTAAGATGAAATTTGATTGATTTGAAGAAGAGAAAAAGAATGAGCGGTGTTCAATTAAAACGATTACTTGTTGCCTTGAACCGAGTTAAACAACATGGTAAACAGTGATCGATTGTTTTTTCGATGGTTGATGATTGGTGTTTTTCAGGATATATCCCAGTGTGTAAACAATCAACAGCTGTTCAAGCGAAAAAAGAACCTGAAAAAGTAGAAGTTTTCGTCGATGGTAAACCTGTGCAAGTGGAACCGAATTCAACTGTCCTACAGGTAAAATTTTGCAAAACAAAGAAAGATTTTCTCGAAAAAGACTATCATTGGTTTTCTTCTTTAGGCATGTGCTGTTGCTGGTGTCGAAATTCCACGTTATTGTTATCATGAACGTCTGTCGATTGCTGGCAATTGCCGAATGTGTCTTGTGGAAATTGAAAAGACACCTAAAGTACGACTAACATTCAATATCTATCTATTTTATGACTGTTCGAATGTTTCTGTAGCCGGTTGCCAGTTGTGCCATGCCTGTCATGAAAGGCATGCGAATCCTCACCGATTCGCCATTGACAAAACGAGCACGCGAAGGTGTCATGGAATTTCTACTTGTCAATCATCCGTTGGACTGTCCAATTTGCGATCAAGGTGGTGAATGTGATTTACAAGTAAAGCATTTGACAAAACTAAGTTTAGATTTCATTATTTGAACTATTTTTCAAGGATCAATCAATGGCATTCGGTAGCGATCGAAGTCGTTTCACCGATAATGAATTCTCTGGCAAACGGTATGTTAAAGTGCAAATTCTCGAATAAATCAAGTTTGGCTGCTTTTCTAGATCAGTAGAAGATAAAAACATCGGTCCACTTGTAAAAACTAGCATGAACCGTTGTATTCATTGTACACGTTGTGTTCGTTTTGGAAATGAAGTCGCTGGAGTTAGTGATCTTGGTACAACAGGACGTGGTGGAGATATGATTATTGGCACATACGTAGAACGACTTTTCATGTCGGAACTTTCGGGTAATGTTGTCGATTTATGTCCAGTTGGTGCATTACTATCGAAACCTTATGCATTCACTGCACGGCCATGGGAAACAAGGTAGACACGACATTCGTTACAATCGGCTTCTATGAACTTCATGTTTTTTTTGTAGAAAAACGGAATCGATCGATGTTATGGATGCACTGGGTAGTAATATTGTTGTCAGCACACGCAGTGGTGATGTTCTTCGTGTAATACCACGATTAAACGAAGTAATAGAATACGAAGCGTTTTGAATACATTTTCATCGCGGAATATGATGTTTAGGAAGTAAATGAAGAATGGATTTCGGATAAAACACGTTTCTCGTACGACGGTTTGAAAGTACAACGTTTAACAGCTCCAATGTTAAAAAGTCGTGAAGGTCATCTCGTTCCATGCGATTGGGAAGATGCATTAAGTGTTGTTGCTGAACGCGTAAGTTCTACGCTATAATCTCGATTAATATAAATTGACATATATATATCTAGATCGGACGACTAGGAAATGGTTCGAAGGTGGCTGCACTTGCTGGCCGTTTTTGCGATGCCGAAGGACTTATTGCTTTGAAGGATTTCATGAATCAACTTGGTTGCGAAACTGTTTGTGTTGAAGAACGTTTTCCCAATGTTGGCGCTTCGTAAATATTTACATTCGATGTCTGAACTTTGCATCATCTCCAAGCTTTTATTTTAGAACTGATCTCCGCAGTAATTATCTATTCAATGGAACCATTGCTGGCATCGAACAAGCCGATTTAGTCATTCTGATTGGCACGAATCCACGCTATGAAGCACCAGTTTTGAATGCACGAATACGTAAATCGTATGTAATGCTAATCTAATCCTGATGAAAATAATATATTCGTATGTTTTCAGATATCTCCATAATGATTTGAGAGTAGCTGTCATTGGACCAAAGATTGATCTAACCTATTCATACGATCATTTGGGAGATAGTACGAACGTTCTCAGTGAATTAGCATCTGGCAAACATGCATTTTCCAAGGTTTATTCAGATACAATTCTTGTCTTATTTTATCCAAATTAATGTTTCTTTCTTCATAGGCTTTAAATGAAGCCAAACGTCCGTTGGTTATTTTAGGAAGTGCAATGTTTGAACGTTCAGATGCAGCGTCAGTCTATGCTAGTGCAGCGCAATTAGCCGAAAAATTACGTAATACCGCTTCAAAAGAAGACAGCCAATGGCGTGTATTCAATGTTCTTCATCGAGTATTTTATTATTTTGTATTGTTTCAAAGAGAATCGCTTTTTTTCTCTTTCTTTGCAGTTTGCTTCGCAAGTAGCAGCCCTCGATCTTGGATACAAACCGGATGTTAAAGTATGCATCTCGATTGCATCTTTCTTATTCTCAAGAAAAAGAATTGTTTCATTTCTAGAGCATCATTGATTTAAAACCAAGTCTGTTGTATTTATTCGGTGCTGACGAAGGTTTACTCAAACGAGAAGATTTACCAAAAGATTGCTACGTTATCTATCAAGGTCTGCCGTTTCTTTAAGTGAAATTTCTGTTAATCATTTGTTATTCAACTGTTAGGTCATCATGGTGATCGCGGTGCCCAGATCGCTGATGCTATCCTTCCCGGAGCTGCATACACAGAAAAACATGGTATCTACGCCAACACAGAAGGTCGCGCTCAACAAACCCGTCTAGCAACAACACCACCAGGCAAAGCACGCGAAGATTGGAAGATCATTCGTGCGTTGGCGGAAGTGAGTCCAATTACAATTAAAAGATCTCTTCAGCAGCACCTTTGTCTTCATAGATATGCGGTGTCGGCTTACGTTACAGCGATCTCGATGGTATTCGTGAGCGTATTGAAGAAGTTGCACCCAATCTGACTCGTTTGAATTGTATTGAAGAAGCAAATTATTTCAAGCAAAACGCAGAATTATTGAAACAACATCAAGCCTCGTTTCAAAATCAACCATTAACACCACCCATCAATAGTCTTAAAGATTTTTATATGACCGATTCAATCAGCCGTGCTTCATCGACAATGGCAAAATGTGTCAAAGCTGTTGAGCAACAATTAAAATCACCGCATAAAAATTAGATATTTGCAAACATTGACGAACTAGTTTTCTTCTTCTTTCCTCCCTCGTCGTCTTTTTTTTTGTATAAATCCTTTAAAGTAGCATTTTGGCCATTGTCTCTTTCTTTTTTCTTTCAAACAATAAACACACGAAAACATCCGCATATGTTCTTCTGAGATCAATCAAATGATTATGTTATTCTAAATTTTAGATTAATAAGCATGGCGAAATATTCTCTACCAGAAAAGATGTTCACATCAACGTTGCAATACACGCATACCCGAAATCTCTTCCTGGTATGCATGAGTATCGTGTATACATTCGCATTTGCATCATTGTATTGGCAACAAGCTGGTTTATATTCAGACAATGGCGTTTTGCCATTACGTTTACAAATTCAACAGCACGAAAATGTTCAACTGTTTATTGTTAAAGTAGCAAAAATGCTTCGATGGACGCCTTATCGAATTATGGAATGTATACTTTTAATCTCAATTTGCTTAAGTTCGTCAATGATTCTTTTTAAATGCCTTCGTACAAGTGTGACATTTGCAATGCTTTGGCTAGCTTATTACAGTTGCTTTCAAATTGCTGGTCAGTTTTTGTATTTTCAATGGGATACGTTGTTATTAGAAGCGGGCTTTCTAACTATTCTTGTTGCACCAATGAGAATTTTGTATTTAAAGCGCAAACAAGTCGAAGATTTTCTCTATCAAGACCGAATCACTCTTTGGTTAGTTCGTTGGCTCGCTTTTCGCCTTTTATTTGCTAGCGGAATTGTTAAACTAACAGGCGGCGACAAAACATGGTGGGCATTGACAGCAACAACATTTCATTATCAATCGCAATGTATTCCAACACCATTGGCATATTATGCACATCACGCACCCGTTTGGTTGCATAAACTATCAACAGCATTGGTCTATATGTTTATGTCAGGCACCGGTATTTTGTTCTTTTCACCATTTCGTGTTCATCGCTTAATTGCTTTTGTGGTGCAAACGAGCTTACAACTCTTAATTGCAATGACCGGCAATTATAATTTCTTCAATTTCCTGACTATTGTTTTATGTTTCGGCTTGATTGATGACCGATTTTTGGGTTATTCACAATGGGAGTCAATAGACGATGAACAGAAACCAAAACGACCTTTTTCATGGCTAACAACCATATTTCGACGATGTATTCATCTATTGGTTCTAATTACGTATACTTATTTGACTGTACGTTGGTTCGGAATCTATTGGGATAAAAAACAACAGATTATTGTCACAAACATTACATTCACTCGTGCACAATTTGACTTTTTCTTGAAAAGATTTTTACCCATTTGCCTGTTTCTCGCTTGGTGCTCGTTAGTTTTCACTATTGGACGATCAGCTTTTATTGCCATTCGACGACCAACGAAGATCTATGGAAAAATATTTCATGCATTAGTGACAATTGCTTATGGCATTCTAGCAATGAGTCTATTCTTTGTTTCGATGGTACCATTCACTGTTATCGAACGGCAAACTGCCAAAGCTCTACCATATGAACTACAAGCCTGGTACAATAAATTCCAAGATTATCATGTTTTCAATGCCTATGGATTGTTTAGAAGCATGTAAGTTATTTCAATAGATGACAAACTTTGATGTTTGAACGAATTGAATGTCAATGAATAACTTTATTCTAGGACGGGAGTCGATGGTCGACCAGAACTGGTTATTGAAGGGGCAATGAGTATGAAAAAGTAAGTGAATCTATCACTATAGTGATCAGATTCCATTCTATTGTTCTTCTAGTCCCAAATGGAAAGAGTATGAATTCTACTATAAGCCCGGCGTATTGTCTACCACGCCACCATTTGTTGCTCCGCATCAACCTCGATTAGACTGGTTAGTATAAAACTTTGACATCACATTTCTTATTCCGTCTGCCTGTGCTAATTTAGGCAAATGTGGTTCGCTGCACTGAGTCATTATCAACATGAACCATGGCTGGCATTTTTTCTTTATCGACTTCTAACAAATCAACCTGAAGTTCTGCGACTGATTCAAACGAATCCTTTCCCTACGACACCACCGAAACAGATACGTGTTCTTCTCTATCGATATAATTTTACTAAACCACCTTCGAAAGATTATTGGCAGCGCGAACTAGTCAATCAAGAATGGTTTCCAACTATCACTTTAGAAAGTCAATGGTTCATGTCTTACATCGAACAGCTTGGTGTTACGCAAATCGATAAGCCGTTACCAAAAAATCTCTTCTTGGATATTATACGTATGATGAGTGATCTAATGAATGGAACTATTTTTACATGGTTTCCTGTTGTTATTGCTTTGGTATTTGTCATTCTACGAAAACTTCTCTGCACAAAACCTCATAAACCAGTCGTCATGCGACGAGATAATGAATGGTACCAACCTGTACCAATAAAGGATAAAGAAAATTAATTGCTCTAGTCTTACAAAAGTCAAAATATTTGTTTTTTTTCTCTCTGCTTGCTCATTACTGTATTCTTTATTGTTGTGATTTACTATTGTATTGTTCAATAAATAGAAAAGTGCATGCACATAACATTTATGAAATACAAGACCTTTTCCATAGAAAATTTGCACTACTATGATCTCACCATAGAAGCGTTCGAAAATTCTGCTCTATATCAGGACGTTATTTCTGTGAGTCAGATGATAAAAGTTCGTGTTTTTGTATTTTCATCTTTAAAATCTTATCTTAGTTTCCAAAAGTGTAAGATAATTCTCTATCATCATTCATTTGCATCTCACCTCTCGATGTTTTTTACACTCGTTTTACTAGGCTCCCTTTATATTTCAACCGTAAATGGGTGGGGTGCCACTGGACACGCTCTTGTTGCTAGGATCGCACAGAATACTCTAACTCAAGAAGCGCAGAAATTTGTTCAAGATCATTTACCATGGTATGCGAAAGGGGATTTAAGTATGCTAGCATCATGGCCTGACACGATCTTATATCCGGATACGAATCCCGTCGAATATCTCAATTGGCAATGGTCAAAAGAACTACACTATGTTAACACACCAGATTGGGCCTGTAACTATGACCGTCATCGTGATTGCGATTGGGCTGGAGGCCAACGTTGCGTTGATGGAAGTATTCAGAACTACACAAATCGATTGGCGGACATATCATTAGATTCGACACAACGACAGGAAGCATTGAGATTTTTAGTACATTTTATTGGCGATGTTCACCAGCCACTTCATGCAGGCTTTACTAGTGATCGGGGAGGAAACTCCATTAAAGGTATGAAAATTTTTCTTTATCGAAAAAGGCTATGGCTCTCTTAATCCAGGTCAGTTTTTTGGCAAAGCAACGAATTTACACTCTCTGTGGGATACCGTGATGATTGAACGTCGTATTTCTACGGATTTTCAAAGTGATTCGAGTAAATATCTGGCCTATCTTCTTAATGTTATGCACACCACTTATATACGAAATATTTCTCAATGGACAAAATGTCCGTCAAATGACGAATCGAAATATTTAGCTTGTTCTACAGCATGGATTGACGAAAACAGTGATTTAAATTGTGACCATGTCTATCGCAACGAGCAAGATCAGCGCATGACTATTTCTCAACAATTCAAATTAAGTGACATTTATTTCAATACACGAATGATCTTTGTCGAAGCTCGACTTCTTCAAGGTGGTGTTCGACTCGGCGCTGTTATCAATAAAGTAGTTGAACTGCAAAAACATCATCATCATCCTAAAAAAGGCCATGACCAACTGTGTACAGGCACGATGCTGTTAATGGCAGTGATCCTTTTCCAAGTTGTATTAGCATTTCTTATTGTGATATACGTCGCTGCGCGTCGAAGAAACTACCGAAGACCGTTAGCTCAAATGCCAGGTGTGTTTCATAGTGTCAAAGCATAAGCGATTTTTATTCAAAGACTTTGAAATAAATGAAATATACAATTCTCTAATCTATCATCTGCTGATGTGCTGTGTTGTTCATTTATCAATGGTGTTAGGCTTAGAACACCATCGCGTGATAGAAGTTTGTGCATTGTCTGTCAGACAACATTTTATAGGAAGAGAGAAAAATTAACGAATAAAAGACACAATTCGAGTTGCACGCCGAACCAACTGAGTAGAGAGAAAGAAGATTAAATAATCAATAGAAAAGATTTAATAAATGTGCGTTTTTTTTTCTTCTTTTTACAAAAGAAACTATAGGAATAGATGTTTTGATAAAACAAGACATAGAAGAATAAGAACAACAGCAAGATAATAGATACAACGAATAAATCAGACACAACAATCTATTGTTTTTTGGTTTTATGGTTATTTGAATTCCCATTACTTAATTCGAGGATTGACGACGCTGAAGAACGAATAGATGCACTTGAATTTGATCTTGGTGGTTCACTAAATGAAAATTTCATCGGTGGGGTGACTTTTTGCGTCGTAGCGGGTGGAACTGCGCGATCAAATTCATCGTTGGTACTAAAGGCAAGAACAGGCGTTAATTGTTTCGATTGATCAGCAGATGATGTTCGATTCGTTGATTTCGGTCGACTTATCGATGATAAAGTATTCGAAAACTTAATACTATTATTCGTTTTGACTGATGTCACACTGGCAGATAATGGTTTCTTCTTCGACGCGGATGTTGATGCAACGAGCATGGTACGGTGATCATTGGCTGGCTCAGATCCATTGTTTTGATTGTGAAAAAAGTCTCCTACGACTAAGCTGCTTGCAAGTGAGTCGACGGTGTGTGCGACAATCGACTGACGTAATTGACCAGGCGTAGTCGGTCGATGAAGAACTGAATCAACAGCTGATTTACTTTTAAAATCATACACGGACGATGCATATAAATTATTATTGTAAGACTTCTGAGCATGTGGGGCTGGTGGTATATTTGTTTGTGAGGAATATTTTACAAGCATAAGATCATCGCCACTCAATTCTTGATCAATGGTTTGTAGTTTATCCGCAAGATCTAAATCTGCTTCCATGACATCTTCATCTTCCTACAGAGATAACTTCAGAGATAGTGAGCTTTTTTCGAGATGATATGTTACCTCATCATTATCCTGCTCATTGTCGGATGTTTGTTCGAGGACTTGGTCGCCGTTTTTACATAGAAGGTTCAACAGGAACTCGAGTTGACCTTTTGTCTCTGAATTGTAAGTTTCTGTGCGTATGAGTGCTCGAAGACGATTATCAAGATTCTAGATATAACCAAAAGTAGATATTCGAATCAAAGGGCATTCTTACTAATTCATTCGCTTTGTCGCGAATTAACTTGACAGTCAAAACCGAATACAGTGACGAGTTTACATATGGTCGGGTCTAAAGGTACATATATATGCACGTGTTGGAGACGAATATAACATGTCATTCATGACTCACCTCGTGATTAGGATGAGATAATAGATTTGAGAGAACCGTGATCACTTGCTCAGCTATTTCAGCGCATTTTTTTCGACCGTTTGTTCGCAAGCATAGATTCATGAGTAAAGCGACACAATATTCTAAAATGATCCATCGTGTACAATATGGCATGTACAGAATCCTACCTAGTGTATAATCAGACAGATCATCGGTTTTACTCAGTAATGGTACGAGCCATTTGATCATATTTTGATTGATCATTATTGTTTGGACAGATCGTCTACAAATGTGAAGAAAATACTTGATCGAATTCCTCAAGAACCTTTGGAAGTCTCACCGAAGACTGAGTTTCTGTAAGGCAGCTAAAAGATGCTGTCTAGTAGACGTATCCGACGACTCGATAGTAGCTGATTTCTGCATGCAGATAATCAATGATTCATTTGATACTAAATAATTTCGACCTGAAAAATTTTTACAACTACAGTTGTCAATTCTATTTTTATATGACTTTTCGTTACCTTTTCTTAATGAAGCAATCGTATTGATCAATCGTGCCCATTCTTCTTTGACAAATTCCGTTTCTCCTGTCGACGGTGCTGTTAATTCTTTTATGATTTTTGATTGTTGTTCTGTGTCCGTATTACAACCTAATAAGTCGCACGCAATGTAACTTTCCAGCATTTTTTCTCGTTTAAAATCTGTTCTAGCTTTCGTTAATTTCCAACGTAGAGCTTGAAGAAGCAACGCCTTTTGTCGTGCTGGTGTAGACACGTGAGTGACATCGCGTTTTATCTTGGTATAATCAAACTTCTCTGCGAATGGGTCATCGATTCTAGATAATCAGAATGACACAAATGATTTCTAAAAATGCTCCTGAGTTACCCTAAACGAGCTGATTCCATGACATTCGGCAATGACTCGCGTAATCGTGTTAAACCAAGGCGTGTGCAAACATTATCAATGTAATCATTTGTAATAGTCTTGCCGACAATAGCTTGTTGTAATGTCTCCACTAGTTCCATGGTTATGCCTATGGATAGATGAGTATTAATGCAATCGAATACAAAGTTTCAACTTACTGATTAAATTACAATAATCAGTGCTTAAGTTTTTAATTTGTTTATTCGTTTCTCTGTTTCGATCTTTAAGTTCTTCATTTTCTGTATTTAATTGAGTTAAGACATGCGAAGCACGTTCACCGTTTTGCAATAGTTCTACGAGACGAGGTAACGGTCGATTGGAAAAAATCCAATCGAAAAAGTTCGAAGCTTTCTTTCGTAGCTGTATCGGCCACTCATTCTGAAAAAAAATCAAAGATAATATGAACAAAGAGTTTGTCATGGAAATCACTTACTGAAAATAGTTCTTGAAATGATGCATGTTTATCAGGTGAAGCAACAAATGGTAATGCAAATAATGGAAGAATATCACTGGTTTGTGATATCGCTTGACCTTTAATTGTTTCCATGTATGTTTTCAATACCTGCATGTTCTCCTTAGCTGCAGCATCGTTCTAAAATGTTCGTGATTTAAGAAAAGTAGATCCAATAGAAGAGATAAATGTTAGCAGTACTTTTATTAAGGCATTCGGGCGGAGATAATAGATTGCAAAATGTGCATAAATCAAAAACTCCAATGATTTCAATGACGGATCACTGGCGATTACGTTGCTCGGTATGTGTGCCGACCACAGACGAAAGAAATCAGCACGATTTCCATCATCGAGGTATTTTAACATATCATTCTAAAAAGAAAGATCAGGAAAGTGCTTCACCAAGATTTTCTCTGTACAATTACTTTGATTGTCTGGTATTTTTCTTGATCTTTATCTTGCGTTTGCTTCCCATTTGAAATGTCATGAATTGGCTCTTGACGACTTTTTCGTTCTTTCAAAAATATGCCAACGGTTTCATTAAAACCTTTGTAATCGAGATATTCAATAACAAAATCATTTATGCGAAAATCAATTGATTGAGACATTTATTGGATTTGCTTTTTCTACTATGAATATGCGTTTTATTAAACAAATCCATTTCTTATGTTGCTTGACACTACCTCCAGATGCGACCGCACCGTGCGACATCTATCGATGCATTGTTACGGTAAAGAATTTTTCGACGACTTCATGCAGAAACTTAAAAAGGATTCATTATTTACAGTCAAGTAAATCTATTTCGATGACGATTTCTATTTTTGCACAACATCTGATCTGCACGATGAGACAAAGACCTTTGTTTCGATTTGACATGGCATCGATTGAACGTTCTTTGAATTTACTGTCGGTCGGTGGCCACCACCATTCATGATTGGTTCATAGTAAGCCATGTTCTATGTGGCTAAAAACAAGCTTACTATTATGTATGATCGTTCACGAGATCACATGATAGATATACATTGAGCGGAAAATCGTTAATTTTTTTGCTCTAAATCATTAACTTGTAAGGTCGTTATGCTATATATCCTCATTAAGGCTAGATCGTGAGTCCCTTCATTAACGTTCTCGATTAAGTATCGAATAATTTTTTTGCGATATGATTAAAGTCATACACCAATGCCATCACTCGTGCGATCAATGTGAATTATCACCTACTCGCCAATCAAATGCTCAGTGACGTAAAATATTTATTCGAGTATAACTCTACGCTCTTTTTTATGACAATGATCCCAGTAGTGAAGATGTATTTGAATCGTTAAAATGTAAAAGTAAGACTTGTTAACTATTTATCTTCGATGTTCACTTTGTCATTAATCTTCGATGAATAGGAACTAATCAACTACGAATACGTCGTGTAAATTCGTGTTTATCGATACAAGATAGAATAAACTTGCTTGGTCTCTTTACGTATATCAAGCAAGTATCAGTGAAAACAAATTGTCATGTAATGGGAAAGTATTCGTACTGTTCGAACAGTGATGACTGTCCTTTTATTATCGACAGGTACTTGCTATAAATCGAACGATACGAGTATCATTTGGCGGTATATTTGTTTTCCCCTCTATCCATATAAATAACCGATTATCCAGATATCGAGACAAGAGCCTGGTTTAACATCGAAAGAAAACCGGCCATTTTTCCAAATATACAACGAAATGATTTTATAATCGAACTTTAAAATCGTTTTTCTTGTAGATATGTCATCTCCAGGTAGTTACGCAAAAGGCTACGTGCGTTGGACGGCTGGTGGTAAACGTGTTATGTGGGATGGTAATCGTTGGCAACAATTATGTCAAATAGAAAAATGCCTCAAACGCGATCAGAAATCTCAAGGCGTATGTCTTATACATTTTCGTGAACAACAAGAAAACAAACTGAAAACTAAAACAAAAAAGTTCAAGATTGATGAGAGACCAGAGACAAACAAATCAGATAAAAGCAGAAAATCTAGTCAATCAAAAAAAGCATCTATACCAACACGTTCCAAACGAATCAGATCAAACAGTAAGGAGCGAAAGATTGATCGTTTCGCTGTTGAATTCTTCTTTTTTGTTCTAGATTCTCTGAATGGCTCAACTAAAGTAAGTTAAAGCGAAATGACTTGATAGAGCTAGATGAGAAGTTACGCATTTCGTCACGAGTGTCCTATGGTGAACTTGAATAGTTCAATTCAGATGTTTCTGGCAGAAAATCAGTCGTAAGTTAATGAAGAAATATTTTCTTTATTTTTTCAGACTTCACAAATAAGCCCATCCAAATCTCACAGATCATCTCGAAAGCTGGTTCTTGTTTGTTCGTCACTAACTCGTCAGCAATTGGTATACGATCTTTACGACCTTTCTCAAACGTTCTCTTCACATTGTTCTACCTTTAGTCTCAAATAGAATTATTCTGTAGTCGCTTCTCTGCTCGTTTATCAAACCAAATCGACGAAACAACTACCCATCTGATAGCAAGTGAAGTTGAACAACGTGTATGTTGTCTAACGAAAAAAGTTTTTTTCGCTGTTGCATATCACGTCTATGTCGTTGGTCATCAATGGATCGAAGAATGCCTGAGTAAACAAACACTTCTCAACGAAGAATCGTATGAAATTCTCGGCGATGCATCTCTATCTTCTCAGCACAACGGCATGCACCGTTCTCGGCTAGTTCGCGAGCCTATTTTCAAATCTTATTCCTATACAATTGCCGTCGAGTGTTCCATCGGTTGTCAGCAAGGGATGTTCAATCGACAAGAACTCGAAGAACTTGTGCAATTATCTGGTGCTAATCTATTGCAAGAGGACAATCGTAATGACTTAGATATCGACACAACTATCGTTGTTCTATGTGATGATGATGATAAATTGGTCATGAAGAAATATCAAGATATCAAAAATAAAGTTCACTATGTCATTCCTGAGTTCTTTCTCGATTCAATTGTACTATATGAAGTTCAACCCATCAAAGGCTATGAATTGCTCTATCAGATAGAGTAGTTTGTACATACCGCCACATAGTTTCCAAATGTATATGTATGTGTGTTGTCAGTTTTTGGCTTTTGTTTTGTGTTTCCTAAAGTATATCTATATCTTTTGCTTATTTCTTTAATGTTTCAAGATAGTTCAAAAGAAAAAAAACGAAATGAAATTGATTGTATATGCACTGCGTTATATGTATTTTGTAGATAAACTGCGAAGACGACTTCCTATTAGCTGATCATTTTTATTTTTGTTTTCTGTCGAACGATTTCTTAATAAATATTTGTCTAATGGTGTAGAAGTTACCGAATGAAATAAAAACATTTGAGAACAATGTTTTACTTTCGTTTTTAGATTGAAAATATCATGAATTCTTTAGTAAATCATTCGACAACAGCAAGTGACTTTAATAAGTCATTGGATGAACTGTTGAATTTCGCTGAGAGTCTCAAACTACGCGAAAAAGAGCTCGATCAACAACATAAATTAGAACTAGAGAAGCAAAAAGTAGAATACGAGACTCAAGTTCAATTCGAGAAGAAACAGGTTGAGCAATTACAAGAAATCAATCGTTTATTACGGGAGAAAGTCCAACGGGAAGAACAAACACAAGCTACTGCAGATAAAAAATATACAGTAACCATCGATTTCGAGTATTTTCTTGACTTTGTGCACGTTCTTTACAGGAATTAGAAACCAGGTACAAATGTACCGTAGAGGAATTGAAACAAATCAAAAACCAACATCATGAAAAACAAGCACGAATCGAAGAGTTGGAAAAAATCGCACGAATTCTTACCAATGACAAAACAAAACTTGAAAAAGAAGTTCAACAGCTCAAACTCGACAATCAGACTCTACAAGATCAACTGAAAGAAACGCCAGCCACTACCGCACCACGTAAGTACATATAACAACACTCAGATTGTTCATCGAATGAACTTCTTCTAGCACATATATCCAATGAAATACTTGAATTAGTCGAAAAAGCGGTGGTTGAAAATAGTGAATTGAAAAAATCATTAAGCGAACGTGATAGTAGTATTCAAAGTCTGAACGAACAGTTAAGCAAAGTTCAAAGTGAAGATCCTCAACTTGCCGAACAACGTCTCTTACAAATGCTCGCAAAATTAAAAGCTGATTTTCGTATCATGTATGAAAGTCAATCGAATTTTTTTCTGGAAAAAATTGATCTTCTTAAACAAAAGCAACGTGATAATATAGCTAGTCTTTATAAACATTGAATCTTGTTTTTCCTTTGTATTGCGTGTGTGCGTGTGTGTGTATATATATATATCTGGCGAGATGTATATTTATTGATATAAACCTTAAGTAAAACATTGTCTTGTTAGAAGAAAACAAAAAATTGTTTTTTTTAATGTTTTCAGATCGAATTGCGTTGATTGGTTCGTTGTAAATCATTTTCCAACGCTGGGAAAAAACGACATGTTTATATAGGAATGGGTTTTTTCTTTTCTTATCGGTGAATTTTTTGTAATCTATGATATAAACAGTAGAGCTGGATTAATTCGAAGTTTTTATACTAGATCGACATGTCATCTTCATCATCACCTCACAATCGACAAGATATCAAATATCGAGAGATTTGTATCGCAAATATCAATAGATACACTGAACCTAATCGATTGTTGTAAGTATTCGAGTGTTGTAGTTGTCCTAATCGAACTCATATCTGTTTTCTAGAGCATACTTTGAGCAATATGGTCGAATTGTACATTATAATTATACCTCACCGACAGGCGGCTATGTTTTCGTCACGTATGAAAAATCACAGATGGTCGATAATTGTATAAGCAATGGGCCGCATTATCTCGACGAGCGACATTTGTAAAATGATTGTTCATGCCATTGGGGTTCTTTTGTCTTATTTGATTTTGTATATCTACATAGGTACGTTAAACGTGCTCTACCTATTGACGATGATCATCCTCGTGAACGATTTGAAACTACACGTGATCTGATGATTGTGATTGATTCTGATAATATGATCTTCAAACAAGCCCACTTTTTACAGCAACTCCGAGAATATTTCTCGTCCTATGGGCGAATCTACGCTTGTAAATATCAACACGAAGCAAATTTTGATTATATTTTAGTTGAATTTGCGGATAAAGGTAAACGAAAACACATTGTCTGACAACTTTCACAACTTTCATTTAGATCCAGTCGATCGGATCATTCTTGATAAGCCACATCATTACAATGATCATGAGCTTGATGTGATGAAATATATTCAACCCAATATTGAATTAATGAATAAAAAGTATGTTCGCAAAAGCCGACAATCATCAACTGCCAAAGATGCCATTGATGATGATAATTATGAGTCGATCAATTCGTCGACTAATGCTTCTTCCAGATCGACGTCGAAAACAAAAGAGCCAATCAATGAAGTAGATCTTCAGAATGAAGTCTTTCGTCTTCAAAGTGTTTTAAAAAGTCTGAACGAAGAATTTGATCTTAAGCAAAAACAATTAGAAGATACTTGCTGTCAACAATTGAAGCAATTGAGTGAAAATGCGACGAAAACAATGCGTCTACAACAAGATCTCGAACAAGGTATAGTCAGTCATGCACGATGAACTCGCAATTGACTTTTGTTACCTTTTAGAATGTGCGAGACTATCAACTGAATATGAAACGTTGAAACAAGAGAACGATCTGCTCAATGAACAATATTTGACAGTCGAGTTGGAAAATTTCGAAATAACGTCTTATTATGAACAAAGTCTGAATGAAGAAAAAGCGAAAACAGCTCGATTAGAAGCTGAATACGCTGAAAAATTACAACTATCAAATGTTAATCAATCTCTTCCGTCAGCTTTGACAGAAAAATCGTTCTCCACACCGGAGTCCAAGTAAATGTGAAAACAACATTGAATCATTTTACTTTCGTTATGTTTTCATTTCTTCAACAAATGAATAAGCTTCGTTTGATTTTTTTATTAATATGTCAATGAAAAAGCAATAATTTCGGAGAAGATTTCTTTTCTGTTATAATTTTTAGATTCTTCAAAAATGACAGATAATAATGAATGGGTTATATTTATCAAAAACATTCCGTATGATATTACTGAAAATGGACTATCCGATTGGTGTATGACATTTGGTCCAGTGAAGGAATGCGCGTTGAAACGCGATAGATTCGGCCATTCACGCGGCTTTGCCTTCGTTTCGTTCGCAAATATTGATGGTTATAATAATATATGTAAGAAAGAAATTATTTTCTTTACCGTTAGTTAAGAAAATGAACTATAAAGTTACTTTCTCCGTTTTGTTTGACTTGTCTTTCTTTCCGTCTCGAATGAGAATTCAACCATCTGATAGAATGTCTTCTATTGTATTCTCATATATAGGGAATCGATGGTCTTATTATTAAATTCGTCGACAAAAGGACTATTCCCGAGTTGATTTGATTGGGATGATCTATTCGTATCTCACACCGCAAAAGAACTCAGTATTTCGAAGATGATAAGCCAGATCATGTTGGTTAGTCACGCTGCCAATTCATAATCATCGCATGCATTCATATCAATTATGGGTGACATGTAGAGAAGGCATCTGTCGGGGGTGGATCTATGCTCGTTCCGTATGGAGAATTAGACAATGACGATGAAAATGAAGAAATAAAAAAAAAGAAATTTTTTCATACGATGTTGAGTGTCAGTAGTAATCAACTAAAACAAAGTCGAGAAAGAATATTCACTTCTCGCTGTAGAACGATCGTCGTTCACATTCACACTCGACGGAATTGATGTTTACGAATTTTTTGTGTATTTTCAGTATCATCTGGTCCGCATTCCTGTTCAGGTCGACCGTTAATAGTCAAATCAGCGAAGGAGCAAAAGAATTCAAACGATTCGCCATCCTATGCTTCGGATCAACAATCACAAGCAACATCGTTCCTGTCGACTAATGATAACTTTAACTCGACTACGGTCGACAATGGTGTCGCATTTGATGATGAAAATCAGAATCATCTAGCAAATCTACGCGATGAATTGGAAGCGAATCTTGAATGCCTTCAAATCGCGCATGATCATGAAGTGAAAATTCTCAGTGAGAAACTTGCGAAGGAAAAGAAGCTTTATCAAGATGCTCTTGAGTCGTACAAAGACGCTGAAGAAAACTTGACAAAAGCTCGAGAAGATAATATTCGAATACGCACATCCTTAATCAAAAATGTCATGCAAACATTCAACATTCGACGGAATTTAGCTCGTCAAATCAAAGAACAGATAACCAATTGTAGTCGAATTGAAGGACAGTGCGATGCGTTTCGACAACAAACGACTTAAATACAATTTTAAAAATATTTCGTGTGAAGAAAATGTTTTCAATCAGTGTTTACTTCTTGCTTTCTATTCCAAACCTTGCATTAATAGAGAACAGCTGTCGATGTTAATTACTGCAATAGTCTCTACTAATTCAACTCTTTCCAATTGTGTATCTCTAATTGATTCGTATCACTGAATCGTCGATGCTAACATTTTGATAATGTCAATGTTGTTTTATAATTGACAAAGCCTGGATAAATAGCTAATATTGACTTTCAGGTTCTTTTCTCACTCGCAAGAAATACATAATTAATTTTTCAAAATTCACAGTAAATAGTTACATGTGAAAATCAGAAAATAGGAGAAAAACTCAACTGAATCTAATGAGAGAACGTGTCAAGAGTTCTTTCCTCTTCTTCTCTCGTTGGAAACAAAAAGAAGAAAAAACGACTTTAGTCAATATATTTTCTATATGAATAACACTCAGGTTGTTTTCTGCTGTTCTGAAGGCCAGTTAGGCGACGATCAGATACAAAAAGACCCATATTTTCTTAATATTCCCAATGAGTAGTCATTCGAAGAGATATTTTCTTTGGAGATTCAGACTAAACATCGAATTATCTAGTCCTTTGCGTTTATTCTAATCGATGAGTAAATATATTGATCAGTTGATTGATCAATGTGTCAAATGGTCTATTTTCACTGGGAAAAGTATATCGATTTCTCATTGGCAATCAGAGCATAACAGAATCTAGTTCGTTTCGTCTGACATTTACATCACGCCGAAGCAAATACATCGTGAACGTCGAGTTTAGATAAAATATTTAATTAAAGAAAGTGATGCAAACCATGAATGATTCTCTTTCTTCTCTCTCACTCGGTCTTCTTTCTGTTAGTTACATATTCTACCATCTTGACATGAGATATTTTCTTTCGTGAATAACTAAAAACATAGAACATACTTAATCATGATAGATTTAATCAAATATAAGAAGATTTCAATGAATCAAACATGACAATATAGGTAAGTAGAACAACAATACAACGAATATTACTCTTTATTCTTGCTTTTTCTGTTTGAAAACATCGATCCGTTTTGTTTCTTCGTAGTTCTATTTAAGCACCCATGACACTGCATTAGTTTGCCTTCGCCAGTCCTCATTTGAGAGAAGAACAACTCAGTTCTTCTATTCATGTTCCACTACGTCATATTGTATTTTTGTAGTCTGAAAAGGCCACTTATGTCTTTTCAAAACAATTTCCCGAACAAACCATTTCACTAATTCATGTCCGGACGACTAAACCTTTTAATAGATAGAATCTGTATATTCACCAGCGGATGGTTCTATTTTCATGAGCATAGAACTTTGTTCACTAACAAAATGCTATTTGTCATTCATTGTATTAGCCAATAAAGAGAAAAGGAAAAGGCGAAGCGAAGACAGCGTTTGACGTACAACAACATATATTCAACGATATTATTCGTTGAAATTGACAATCAAACAACTAACCTCCTGGAAATTCTCCAGTAACATTTGGTTGGAAAAATAAATAAATAAAACTTCGGTTTATTTTCTCTTTGATCATCTTTGTAAATAAACCCTGAAAATATATGTCAATATCTCCTTGTTTGTCATCTCAATTCCATTAATGCACTTCGAATGTCTTAGTCTTCTTTCTTTCTTTCTTTCTTCTTTTTGTTTTATAGAGAGAAGATGCATTTGACATAAAACATATATGCTCATGCTGTCCTTCTTCTTATTCCTTCATTGAGAATTCTTAGAAAAGCCTGAAAAATGACTTTATCATCTTACAGATTTTATATGAATATTTGACTTGAACTAATTAAGTAACTTTTCTTTCTGCTCTTCTCCTTTTCCTTTTCCTTGTTCTCCTTCTTAGAATTAATCTGAAGTGCAAGACAAAACGTACGATACAGAAAACTTATGAAAATAGATATTCTCTCTCTCTCACTCTCTCAGGAGTTTCATACCACCAACGTGATCTGAAAGAACAATGACAAGCTTGCGTTTAATTTTCGATTATATGAAATTATCATCGCCACGCTTTTCTTCATGTACACAACGACATGTTCTGTAAGACTCGAGAGTATTGGGAGATACGGGAATATGAAATAAAAAAAGGAAAAGAGAGGGAGAGCAAAAGACGTGGAAACACTATATGTCAACCAGAAGAATTAGGACAACGAGTGTTTGCAAACGTTCGATGAATTAGTTATTATTCCAATCGCTTATTTTCTTGAAATTTTTTATTCTCTTATTAGATTAAAGTAAATCCATGTTATGCACACAAAATAATTATTTCTTTATGACGGGGCGAAGAAAAAGAAACGCTATTTTCTTGTTCGGAGTTTTTCTTCTTCTTCTCCTCTCTTTTAGTTTAGTTTCTAAAAGAAAAATACTATGATGATTCTATAAGCAAGATCTCAGCAAGCAGTTAGAAGAGAAGCAGAGAATGTGTGTTTGATAGCGAAGAAAAACTATTTGATCCTGCGGAAAAACTTCATCAATATTTGACGATTATCGATTATACAGTCGTGATCTCAACCTATCCTACATAATACCCAAATTAACAATTGAATACCATGAGTTTTCCAAACTGAAACGTGCGCATCAAGTTTTCCTCATTCTCGAACCATCTATTCAAGGTTAGTACATATCCGTCGAGATTATCTGGAAATTTTCATTTCGTGAAACAACCAGTAGGTACCATTTTGTCCTTCTAAGAAAAAAAAACAATCAAGTTTTGATGTTTGTTCGATCCTATATTAAGAATACATTAATGGTAAGAGAGATATAATATTAGAACCCATCGCATGTTTGAATAGTAGTGAAGATCAATGGGCATGATGAAACATTACTAATCTGATTAATTTGCGTGTATTCAATCATTCTTTGTAATAAGATACTAAATGCGAGTAGGCAAACAATTGGGTATGACAGCATCGAAAGATTTCAGTTCTATTTCGAAACTTGAGAGCGTCATGTCAAATGTTAATTGTATCCCGTATGTTTGTGAAGAAAGTTTCCAACTAATGATTGATAGTTCGGTTGCTAAGTAGGAATAGATGACAGTTTACCATTAATATCGAGTAGTAAATGAAAGAAACAAAATATATATACAAAACGCTCTTCTTGTTTCACTTTTCAATAGACGACAGTCACAATGAAGTACTATAAAACGAGAAATGTGATTAAGCTATTCATATGACTTGATAATGAACTCCATGTGTCATATTTGTAAGAACAGGGGAAAAAACGAGTGATGCCTAGAAGACTTGACAATTCATAAGGTGCTTTTCCTGTATACATTAGGTTAATTTTCTTTTTTCTCTCTTTCTATTCGATCAGAAACCGTCAACGTTGTTAAAAAAACTTATCAAATACGTGAAAGCCACAGAATCTGTTCGTGATATTACAAAAGTGCATTTATTCGCAGCAGGCGGGTGTTGAAGCACGCATACATCTTTTAATCATATTAAGGAATGCTAATACAACGGCAATGAAAAATGAGAAGCAATCCATGATCAGTCGATTTAGAAGAAAGTAAAAAAAAGTTACTAGTTGTGTGTTACAACAGAAAGATTATTAAATGAGAGTGTCTTGCAGATCTCAGTGACAAGATGTCATAGGAAACAAACGAACTCATGCACATCCTTTGTTCGTAAGTTAAGACAAGACAGTTTTACCATCGACCATGATTCAATTTTCGATAAACAATATCTTGTTTTTTCAATACTTAGAGATACAGTTGTTGTACATGTGGACAAATATGTTGTTCGACTTTCCTACAGATGGTTTTATCTGTTCCCGTGTCGTCGATATAATCAGCAGCTGGAAGCACTATCGATTCGGATCAGCACTTTATTGATTAGAAATAGCTCTCTCTAATGGACAAATGATTTCTTTTCATAGACTTCTTGACAGAATATCATTTCCTCTATCTCTCTCGCGCTTACTCGCTTTTCCCCTTTGGACATTGCCAGTAATGAAGAAAAGTAATCAGTTAATTTGTTATTGTAGATCTAAGTATCTAATTACATCGTTTCAACTAATGGAGCAAAATGTGTCGACATCGATTATCATTAAATGAAATGAATCTATTATTTTTCTATACGTGAGATACATAATTCATCTGCCTATTAATAATAGAAAACTGCCACTTGTCCTGAAACATAGAACAGAAACAAAAGACTTGTCGATAATTACTTGCAGAAAATCATGTTGCCGTCTGCCTCAAGCAAAATAGTCAGGTTATTGTTTTTTTTCTCTATCGAGCGTTGTTAGTATATAATCATCATTCTGATCGCAGTTTTCTTTCAGATGAAAATCGTACAACATAGATGAACTGATGTGTCATTTGGATTTTACTTTTAGACCATCGTCTTTCAAGTCTTCCTTTTATTAACCACTAAACAAAAAATTAACCATGTCGATTGGAGGGGCAGTTGTTAAAGTACATTGTTTACCGTTTCGAGAGTATTTCTCTGTCGACAACATCAAGTCAACGCTTCGTGGCTTTGTTTACGAATATGAAACACCGAAAATTGTCACTATTCATTCAATATCAAGTAAAGTTCAGCCGATCGGCAAGTTTCGCTTGCAGTTCCCGAACATTTTCTTCTCTTAGTTGCATTGATGTGTCGGTTGATCCAGTTGCTCATTTTAATCTATGGAATTGCATATTTAATGATTCATAAAAAAGGTTATCAAGAAACTGATACATCAATCATTTCCTCGATTACATTGAAAGTTAAAGTAAATACACGAACGAAGGGAAAAAAGACGCATTCATCATATGAAATATTTCTGCTTATTTTCACTAGGGTATTGGCTACAATCAAACCAGTGACAATCATACATTAGTTATTGATGGTGCCGGTATGTGAAATGAAAGAATAGCTTAGTCATTCTGATTTACTTCGATTAGATTATATTGTTCCACCCCAAGAAAACAATGCGCTGTTTTTAATGACCAATTTCATTCGAACTGACCAAGAACATAAAACATGTTCGGGTAAGCGTCCGATGCGTATGCTCAACAAATAGTATCAGCGATTTTCGATTGTAGAATCTATTTATGAAAAACATACAATATGTTACAATGATACTGATTGTGAAAGAAATAAAAACTCTCAACAAGTAAGTCTTTACTGTGTTTTTGGTTTCATTGTTACTATGCTGTGTTTCATCTAATTTAGGCGAATGGAAAATGGACTGGTAAATCGATTTGAGAATTCACGATCTTTTTCAGCTCATCGCCGTTTGCATATAGGTCGTTGTCTGGGTAATAAGAATTCTTCTATCAAAGGTCGATGTGAATTGGAGGGCTGGTGTCCCGTTGAGAATGATGTTGATATACCGAATCCGATACGAGATGCATTGAACTTTACAATATTTGTCAAGAACTTTATTGAATTTCCACGCTTCAAAGTCATTCGGAAGAATATACAGTTCGATGCAAACTACCTGAAAAGTTGTAAATACGATCCGGTTGAACATAAAATATGTCCGATACTTCGTGTTGGGACATTACTTGATATCGTCGAGCGAGATCCGGAAGAACAAAATCGAATGTTAAAACTGGGTGGTGTTATACGCGTGAAAATCGATTGGAATTGTAATTTAGACAAGCCATTGAATTTCTGTCTACCAGAATACTCGTTTAAACGTCTGGATGCAGCCTATAATGAATCGAAGTTTTCCTATGGATTTAATTTTCGGTAGGAAACGCAAGAAAAGTCAGATCTGATATATTTTCGATATTTATAGATTTGCATCACATTGGAAATACCAATTCCGTTCATATAGAACATTAACTAAAGCTTACGGCCTTCGTTTTATCATATCTGTAAGTTAAATGAGAATACCGTAATGCGCCTACCCTTCAAAGTCAACTTCTTAGATTACACTAAAAATAGAGAGAGAGAGTTCTTTCCTCAGGTCGTCATACTCTGACAAATCGTGCATAGTAATGCTGTTTTCGTGTAATTTAGGTGAGCGGTCATGCTGGCAAATTTGATTTGATAACACTCACGTTGAATATCGGTTCACTGATTGGTATTCTTGGCTTAGCAACATTTATCTGTGACATCGTTGCCTTATATGTTCATCGTCAATCGGATGTGTATCGTCAACAAAAATTTCAAGATGTTGATTTGAATCTATTACAATTAGAAACATTGAATAATCTTCCATTGAATATGATGAGTGATGATGCTAAAGAAATGCACGTGAATCACATCGAACAAGCGATCTTAACGGATCACATTACCGACAAAAACGATTCCTTAGGCAATGTAGAAAGTCCGTACAAAGAGAGATTTCGACGAAACAGCTTAACCAATCAAGATGTGTATGATGACATATCGTCAACGTCGAAAAGCACAAACCAACAATCCACGCCCATGTTAATCTACGGTACTTATCATCAACAAAAACTAGGACTGACCAATTCCGTTAATGATAGCCCGTTGTCCTTATCGTCAGTTAAACAAAGACGAAATCAGACGAATCGACCGTCGCAATTACGATTTCCGCAAAATGATAAGACTCAATTGTACGATAAGACCAATATTGTCTATGTCGATGACGATACACCAGATTTGAACGAACCAGTAGAAGACAGAAACTGTTTGAATTATAATCTGTCACCAAACCATAATGAACAGCCGAATCGAATATCGCCTAAGATCGAAACCTACTTATAAAAACGGACTAAGTTTGCTCTGGGTCAGCAGTTTGAATATTTCTTGTGATCGAAGAAAATCTCACAGCATAAGACAGTAATTTTTCGATCGATCAACAAAATGACTTGAACTCAATGTTTACAAATCGTTTTCTGTAATAAATAAATAAATGTTCTTCTACAATTGTTTTCATAGTCGAAGTCTAGAATAAAATAGCCTTGATAACTTATTTAGTACAGCAAACTTTCACCCACACTGACAAATCGCTCAAGGATGCACTAATCGACCTATCGTGCACAGAATGCACGTAGATCTTCGATACAATGTCCAACGGAGATGCAATTAGAATAATATATATTATCGAAGGTCTTTTTATCGATTGAGTATATCTGGATAATGTCGATGCCGAGTTTATGGTTAGCACAGATGCATATCGGTATCACACGTAGCTTTTTTATTGGAAAAGTAAACAAATTAGTATGATAAGAACTGTAAAGGAATCAATTAGGTTTCCCGGTGATTTTCGGATATGGTATACCAAGTCGAGAGCTGAGCATTTGGACGGTTTTTTCATATTCATGATTGAGATTGTTGGCTTGCTGAAGTGCATATTTCAAATCTTCGATTTCTTCGAAGAAATTTCCGTCAAGAGCACTGATTTCTTTCTTCATACGTTCGTATCGTTCTTCGAATTTCTCCATACGTTTTTGAGCGGATAATGCTCGTCGTTCTGCTTGCTCTTTCTCTTTCTCACATTGGTTTAGTCGACGTTCATAATCATTGATACGTCCCGATGAAGGTGATTTTCGTTGTTCATGGATTGTTTCGTTTTCATATTTTTTCAGCAGATCATTTTGAGCTTTTAAAAGACGATGCAGACGCATTTGCTCTTCGGACGGATGTTTTCCTACGGAAGGATTTGGTCGTGGTTGAACGACAATATCTGTTTGACATGATATCGAACATGAACGCAAATGATCATGATCTTGAGTGGCAACTTGTTTCTCCAGATAGTGAATATGTCGTTTTAAGTCAGCAATTTTCGTTTTCAATCGTGCATTTTCATGATGCAGAAACGCACACATATGAATCGGTGGCATATCCATGATAGACGATATTCATATCTGAATAAGAAGAACAAATCCGTCGTAGAAATACTAAGTCTAGAAATTTTATTTCAGCACACAAAGATTTATCTGAACTTGAAGAAAAATATATATCAAAAATGTTCTTTTTGCTAAAACAAAATCATGCTTTTCTGTTGTAATCAAACTAATTCTATTGATGTTGATCACGCTTTTTTATTGTTCACTTTTGATATGTCGAAAGTACATGGCCGTTGAAGTGAAGATGATTTTTCAATGAATAATTGCCTCGGGAGACATCGTATTATGGTCTGTAGTGGCGTCATTCATCGAATAAGCTACAATAAAAATTTTAATAATGAAAAGCAGAAATGATCAATGATATTCACTATTGAGTCGTTCGGCATTCATTTGTTGGCAGTCGAAATTAAACGTTGATAGATCATTCAATGGACGAATATGAACAAGGTCAATATGATCCGGATATGTTGGAGATGAGGCGACTGAATGATGATGATGATCATAGTGATCGCCGTTCGACCGGATAGTAGCGTCAATAGCATTACTATTTCTTTTGTGACTAGAATAAACATTTCTAAAATGATCAATCAGAAGTTTCTGCTCTAAACGTACTTGTGATGTTGAGGAGAGCTGTCAACGTGTGGTGATCGGATAGTTGCTTCGAATTCATGCGTGCTATTAAAATTGGGTAATGCCGGCGGCGAAGATGACGCTAACTTTGTTGGGGTGATGATATTTTCCATGATTGTTGATGCAGACGATGATGGAGGTGGTGTGAGGGACCGTACAAAAAAATCTTTCGATGTTTCCAACAGATGGCTTGCTTTTGTCATTAATTCTTGTGCAAGACGAACTTGATCGTTGTGTATTGACAAAATATTTGTAACGCTGAGATCGTAGTTGACTGTTGGTTCGGGAGTTGGCTCTCTTTGGCGATACGTGGATAGTGGAATTATGGTTGATAATATTGTATCGGTACTTCGACTCGATGGTAATGCTGATGAAACTTCTGAGTTAGAGTAGTATCGAGCTTTCAACCGGTCAGTAATTACATCGAGTTCGCTAAGTTGTCGTCTACAAAGAAATCAATAGTGGGTTTTAGTTTACATCGAACTGGAAAAATTGATTGTAAATACCGAAGATTATTCATCAGGAACGATTCTTTACGGCTGTCATCTTCGATGGTGGATGTATTCAGACTTATTTGACTACCAGTATTCTAAAAAGAATATTCCTGAAGAATCTCAAAAGTTTTCAACTACGAAATGAAATTTACAGATCTCGCTGAAAGATTAGACAGAACTAATGTTGACACATTAGATGAATTTGAACGGTGCGAATCGAGTTTGGGTTGATAATGTTTAGAATTGTTTCTTAACCGTTTGAATTCAACCAGATCTTCCAATGGTACAATACTAATTTTCAATTGTCCTTGTAGATTTCCAATGGCGTCACTAATATTATACCACCCAGATATTTGTTGCAGTCCCGATAACAATGGGCTTAGATCGATTGCAACAAAGCCGAGAACTTTATCACCGGATTTTTCTAGTTAAAGGAAAAATAGACTAAGAGAGTATGTCTGTTGACTGTCCTACCTGGAATTGATTCGATTTCAGCATTGAGTTTATGCCAAACTTTAAGAATGAAAACCTTTTTTTCATTGAATAAATGTTCGACAGATAGTTTTACAGATTGCTGGTAGTTCCATTGAGGCCTTACTGTTGACGTTAAGACTTGAGTACGATACAGATGATTAGAATCAGCTGCTGAATAAGTCACGTATGGGTTTGGTGGAAGATGAAGGTTTCTTCGTTTTGAAATATTCGAAATAAAATCATTTTCAGTTCTGAAATTAATCTTACTTTTCTTCGGAATAGATATTCGGTAAATGTGCACCTTGTTCGATATTGATCTGAGCTGAAAAGATACTATTTGTCAATGATCGAAGTGCACGGTCATTATTCATCAAATTCAAATAACGGTTCTCTAAATAAGATTCAAGTTCAGCTTCATTTGATGTATCGACATTGTCTGGATTCTAGACGAACAAGATATTCGAGTTGAATCAGATTCAATAGTCATCAGGTAAACCCTACTCTTAGCTCGTTGAAATCTTTCGACGTATCTATGGAAATGTGTACTTGCACGCAAGCTCCGTGCAAATTTTTTGCGCCTTGTTTGAATATCGGTAAAATAACGCTTATTCGTTGTGGCTTTCGTTTTCGTTGACACAGAGGATTTAAATCGACGAAAATCGAACCAACTAGTTTATCTGTTGAAGATCCTAGTGACTGTGTATAATCGTACGTGTCGTTTTCACTCATCCAAATTTGGATTTCTAGTTTCTCTTCACGTAAATACCAGTAAAACGGTGCACTTGATAAGAATAGATGTTCTTTGAGGAATTGTAATTCACAGATTAGATTGTTTCTATTTATAGTCGTTTGCTTGCGTTTGGTAATAACAGGCACTGTAATAGAGAGAAAATTAGGTTTAGAATAAAAAAACACGATTTATCTGCATTACTTTTATCATAGAAACGGTACTGAGCGAAGACACTGACGCGATTTTTATCTGGTTGGGTGAGAAGTTCAGTCGGAAATTGTATACGATCGATCGATATCTTGAGTAAGCAACCAAGATCTTTTTCATCTAAATTTGAAGGTAGGATGAAGAATTCTTTTGACAAGTGTAAATACCATCCAAAAAGTTTTCTTGATCGATGTATTTATCGTCGAGCCAGCCAATTGTTTTAGCCGAGTCAATCATTCGACGACGATCATCTTGTTGTGCAAATCGAACAAACAGCTCAATTCCGCCAACGGAATGCTCAGCCGGATCCGAAAATATTTCTGATTTTAAGGCACTCGCCAGTGAAAACCATCCTTTGATCCCTATTTGAAACAAATCAACAAGTCATTTGATTGTAGTATCATATGGATTATTACCCGTATGGCGAGCAACCAAGTCTTTTAATGAAATCTTGCTATGACATAAAAGTATATCCGTCGCTTGCTTTTCATTGGCATTCATTCGATGGAAAACTTCAACTTTCAATTCGCCATGTTCCAGCATCTCTGCGAGTGATATGGACTGATTCCGATGATTACTCCAGATTAACGAAATCGGAAAATCAATCGAATGGTTATATTCCGGTACAAAACTACGAGCAATAGTTCTTGTAGAACGAGATTCCTGTAAAGGACAACATCACGAAAAAGAACATTACTATCGTAAAATAGTTACTATGTCAGATAGAAATGAGAATGATAGTTTGGCATATGTGTTGACACCCACTTGTGATGCATAGTTTAAACGTGCATCATGCTGCGCTTGAACTAGAGTTGCGTGCTACGATATGTTTATATACAGAGAGAGAAAGTAAGGATTCATTACTCAACGAATAGCTTACTTTCAAACCACAAGCACGAATAATACCGATCGATACGCATACTTGTGAAGTGCCATCTGTTAAACGATTCGGAATCGCTTGTGATTCATTTCGCTAAAACGAAGAAAGATTAGCTATGAAATGACATGTGAATAGTACTACTTTGAGAATATTTCGTTTGTAAGTCACTGTTATCGATAAATCACCGCCATATGTTGATGGCGGTACATAATGATGCCGTCCTTGGTGAAGATCTTCTTGAATGATTTCTAACGGTATGCGAAATGATTGCATGGACTTGTCGTCTGAATCCGCATTTAGCATTGTTGTCATACTGCACAGTTTAGCTGCTGATAATTTACCCTTCAAAATATACATGACGAATGTGTATGATTTTGGTTATGGATACAAAATAAGTCTTACTATTGCTAAAAGTTGATCGCGAATGTTGGGATGATAAAATCTAGACCAGACTTCAAATACAACACTAGCATCGATCGGTGTTGTGGATTGGCATGCTATAAGAGCAATTGTAGACGTGAACACTGTCTGATTGCAATGAATGTATTGCTTTACCCGTATAGAAATACTTATGTAGTGCATCGGCTGGTGAAAGAACATATTGAAATCTATTTGTATCATGAAATGTTGGATCAGATGTACACAGAGTTGTGGCAGTACGTATTGTACGAAGTTGAAAAGGTTTAATCAGGTTAGTATTGACAATCTGCTGCTCTGATTGTATGGGAAACGAGTATTGAATGAAGCAATCGCTTTCGCCCCACACCATTGATTCGAAAGCACGTAAACCATTAATACTTTCGATCATAATTTCAAAATAATGTTCAATCAAAGACGATGCCGATGGATCACTATTCAATGCATTCTGATTTGTTGTTGAAGAATATGATTCGGCATCTGCATGAGCAACCTGAACCGCTGATATCTGATCCGGTGTACCCATAGCTAGTAGAACTTGAATTTCGCCTGCCGATGCATTGTTAAATGGATCGATGATTGGTAACCATGAATCAACGCTGAGCACCGGATATTGAGCTCGTAATAAAACTCGACTAATTTGTTTATCTTTGAATGAAACATAGAATTGTTCTAAAGGTACTTTAATGATGCCAATGATTTGATCGGATGGGCCAGTCATCTTTTTATCCCAGACTTCAACGATAACATAGTTCTGATGCATCTTTTCGATGGTTGATCTATTGAGTAGTAAGGGCACTTTCTAAAGACGAATACAAGGATACGTTTGTAACTGGTTTCATGGAATCTAACCTGTTGAAAATTGAATTTGGGTGTTGTTGTTCCCCAACAAGCAGCCGATGTTATTCGTTCCTCATTCCAAAATGCTCGATAGACAAAATATGGATTTCGTGGTAAATTACCTAGAGGAGACGAAAACTTATTTCTACTTGAAGGATTCTTTGCATTTCTCTTTACTATTTGAGTTTTGAGGAATATTTCGTGCTTCCACAATGGACAGATAGATTTGTACAACTAATCCGTCGGTGAAATCTGATGGTGATTCGCTCGGTATAAAACTTCTTGGCACTTGTACATGAGTATTAACTGATTTCGTAGATTTGGAGACTCGATGTTTGTGTGGTTTGGACTGTTCAATGAATTGAACGCGATCTAGTTCAGTTTTGAAGTTTTTCTCATCGGAGTCCAGTTCGAGCATTAGATGTATTTGGCCAATACAGGACTTCTTTGATACTTTTTGTGGCGGAACCTTTTGATGCTCGTTCATCTGTGTGCGATCAATCACATTTAAATCCTGTTCTAAATGCAGGCAATTTGCTTTGAATATACTTCGAAGTGGTAAAACAGCAAAACCAATCTGTTCGGAATGTGTTGTACCAGACATACGACTATAAATTTTGAAGATCAACAACGAACTCCACCAGTTCTTAAACGTGGTTTTATTAAAACAACACGGGTACGTTGATAGATGGGAAAATGTTATATCATTGTTTGATTCGAAACGTTTCGACGCTATTTTGACCACTTCGGTTGCTTCATTTACATGACCATGAGAATTTTTCATTGACACAGGAAATTGATATTCAATATAATACGTTCTACGCAAATGAGGTTATATACAAATATAAAGACTTTATTTTCTTACAGAGCTCGCTTGCTTTTGTTTGTTCGGCCAAAGGAGGAATACGATTGACTATCTCGGTTGTTGAGCATATCAAGACGAAAATAGTCAATACGAATCCGTGCTGTGCGAACATAATTTAACAGTTGTATACGCTCAGAGCTGAGTCCATCTTCTTCTTGAGTTTCTAAAATCGAAAAAGAAAGAAGTTGTACAATGAAATTACAAGTACTTCGTACCATTTCCACTATCTTCGAAATCTGAATTATGTATATTGAAGGAAAAACGCGATGCTGCATCACTATCGTGACTTCGTGTTAAACTTTGATTTCTTCCCGCTGATCGTGGTCGATCAGATGGACCACTCGCACGAGTTAGACTTGAAGTACGTGAACGACTAATAGATGGTTTCCTATGTACGCGTGTTCGTTGGCTGACGTGAGTTAGACTCGTACTCTGTGTTTTCGTGTTGTTCCTGTGATCACCGTCTCCACCATAAAGAAGATCGTCTAATAGACTGTCTTCATTTTCTAAACCGTCGAGATCAGTCAAAATAGAACTATTAAAGTTCCCTGAAGATTTCAACGATGCTTTTAGTGCAAGCATGCCGCACATGTTTTCATTATCTGCCAAAACATCAATATCATCAATAGGTATTTCCAGCGATTTATGTCCATAGACTTCCACATTATTTTTCGCGTTGTGTAAACTTTTTTTGTTCGATGAGTTGGATTTTTTTACGTTCGGACTCTTTAATTTTGATGATTTCATCATATCCTCTCGAAGGCGATTCGCTCGATCGATCAATTCTTCGACGACTTTGCCAGTTGGCAGTTCTTTATATGCTTGCACACCTGAACAGAGAATTCGATAAACATGAACGATACTAAATCTAAACAAGAATTTCTTTACCTGGCTGTGGATTTTTTGAACTAAATGCATGTGTTTGAGGTGCTGTTGTTTTCTGACTATGTCCTTGTAGCAAATTCGTATCACTTGAGCTAACTGAACTCGAATTATCCGTTTTTTGAATGTGTCCGGTTGTAAAGGTTCGTAAACCATTTTCAAACTGAACAGATTAAAAGGAAATTGCTTTTCTTTCTTGAAGATATCTTTGATAGAATGACAATACCTGACGAAGATCATTAGCTGCAATCGAATTGCGTCGTGATGGTGGACTGCTAACTTCAGATGTAAAGCTCATTGCCATAGGATGTTCACTGCTATCATGAGCTAGCAAAAGGGAAGTAACAACGTTTTCAGCACTGATCACTTCAAATTTTTGACTTACGTCCAGGTAGAAATAGGCGTAGAGAGATAAACAATTCTCCTAATTTATCATTTTTATTTGAGAAGATTGGCATATAACCTTTGATTGAGTTTTTTATTGACAACGAAGACAAATTTGCTACCTTCACTGTACCGATCGCACGGTTTGTTTCGCCATCGTACACTTTAAGTAATAACTCAGTAGCATCTAAATATGCATTATGTAGTTATATACTCAATTGACTTACACGGCGATATAATACAAACCAGTCAAATATCTAGAAAATTGCTGAAGATCGCTTCGAATATAATATTTTACCGTTGTATTTAGCTGTTGTCGATGATCAAGTTTTGTACCTGATACTTCGGGCCTATTTAGAATAAAAGATGGATTTGACCAATTAAATTTTCAATCTTTTTTTTCTTACTTGAATACTGCAGATGCAGCATTTTCGCCCCACCAAGCCATTTTAACAGTAACAGATCGATAGAGTGATTGATATTTCGCACTCCAGCGCAGTTTTGGAACGTGACAAATAAGAATAGCTTGTACAGAACCATCGACATGAGGTGGCAAACTTGTTTGAATGCGTAGATCTTGTACACTTTTTTCTTGTGATTGCAGTTGCGTTCGTACTTCTTTGTCTAAAACGATGTGTGTGAAAGATCCTATTAATACGTAATCAATCGAAGCACATACCATTCGACGTAGACGAACGTTTGACAATTGCAACGCTAGACATTTTTTAAAATAATTAATGGAATCTAATGATTATCTTCATTCGATATCGGAACAGGAACTCTTTTCAATCTACGATTAAGAACGTGCAATATATATTCATTATGATTGCGGTTAGAATTAAAAGGATATACAACCATTACATTTGTCGAATGTCTGGTTACTTAGCATTAGTATCCCTTTATATGACCAGAGAAATTCTCTTTGTAAAGGAGTGACCTCTACAACTTGCAAAGATCGCTTCAAAATAATGCACAATACAATCATATGATATTTTAGGTATGAGAAGGGCATTCTCATAGCTCTTTTTTTGGAAACATGCGCGCTTGAGTTTACTGTGGAATATCAATCATCGGTAGTTATCATTACTTCTTCCAGCAATCTTATTCCCTGCATGATTTCAACTTTTGAATACTATTGTGGATGTAAGAAAATGTATACTGATATCTATTGTTTCACTTCCTCCGTCTAATGACATCTATAATTACATATTTCGAAGAGGTATATTTTTGTCATACTTATTCATGTAGCATTTCAGCAGAGAAAAGAATATTCTCGCTGTGAATTATAAAAAAATACTTTCATTTGATTGGTTTCCTTGAAATAGCAGACAATGGCCACTTTTCCCATTCTCTCTCTCTCTCTTCTCTTCTCTTTTCGTCGTTTGTTTCGCAAGTCGACAATGAACGAACGAAACAACTTACTGGCTGTTTATGAGTCATCCTCTACTCGTTTCCACTGTGCAGCAGCTATGTCTCACTTTGTGTTTCTCCCTTTCAGATATCATATTGTATTAAACTGTTGGAATTGTTGTTGTCCATTACTTTGTAAGTATTACGAAATATTCTTATGCATTTTCCCGTTTCGTTTCGTTTTGTTCTTATTTATTTATTTATTTCATTTTATTTCTATGTTTGCTCAGTTTGCTTTAAATCATTTCTCAATCATGTCAACATCTGCTAGTCGCTACAACAATTCGACTTCTGCTCCTTTGTCCGAATCAGATAATGATGATGACAATGAACAGAGTTCATCTTTTAATCAACAGAATGAGGTCGGATTGGGCAGAACGTGTTTCTTTCCCATTTATCTACATTTGATTTCTATTAATAGAGCATGATGCACAAAGTCAAAGATGTCGTTTCGAAACTTCTTCATCCTTCTTTCTTGTTTTCTGCCAGCGGTGATACGACTCGTCCAGTATGTTAAGAGTGTATAACTGAAATCATTAGTACTATTCTATCGTAATCACTCTTTTTAGAAACGAAAACGATCCATATCTGTTGAAGAAAATGTTGATGAAAAACAGCCCGAAACAACGACGACGAACTCTACAATTACCACCAATGGTCATTCTACGGTGTCGAAAACAAAATGTAAGATTTTATTTAGTTCATTGATTCATAATGAAAGTGATGACCTTACACACATTGATGACATTAAGCACAGACACGAGCTGAAGGTCTTCTACGATCTATTTGCATTCAAAAATGATACTCATTTGTTATATGATGATAATTGATTTTCTTATCGTTGTAGATCATCGTCGACCGATAACTCATGAAGAACCGCAGTTGACCGATGATGAAGAGAATAGCAACAATGTGAATGGTCGAGATGCGTCACCTGCTGAACAAGATGTGCCAGAAATTGAACAGCAGAAGAAGAGACGTCGTACAGCCAATTATCAACATATTATTTCGACGACAACTATCAATGGTAATCATAATGATGATGAGCGACTCTCTTCATCTTCAGGTATAATAAACTACTTTGATGTGCAAGAAAATGTCATTTCTATATTTCTATATTGGAGCTACAGCGAACAGTGTTGGTTCATCGTTAAATCGTCAAATAATAGATAATGGAGCGCCTACATCGAATACGACACCTGTTCTTCTTCAAACACCCAATGAACAAAATCATAATGAAGGAAACAATCGATCGACATTGTCTAAACAACGTTTCAATATCCCATCAATGAATCGAGGAATAACACCTGCATATGATCTATCTCAATCACCTTTATTTTCTGTTGGCGTTCGAGTAAGATATTTCCTATCTTTGTACAGCTGTAGATTATTGAAGAGACATGTTTTCGTCTGATTTAGAAAACTACTGAGACAAACGGCATGTCACCAAGTCGAACTTCTACAAATTTCAAATCAAATGTTTGTAGAATGTCACTTTGATGTATCATATAATCACTAGGTTTATTTTAGACGAACGATTTTTCCGCTAATTATTTATTAGCAACAGGCTTAGCTAATCGATCACAAACAATACAAAATACGTCGCATTCGCCTTCTACTTCTACTTTAACTAGTCGCTTAGTAAGTAAAACAGAGCTAAAGACGTTTATTTCCAAAATCATCCTTTATTTAGTTATCGAACGAGCGGCAAATGTTCGGCGTTAACTATTCATCAATCAATTCACGCCGTTTGCCTTATATTGAAAGACTTCGACGACGAACTTTACAAGATTGTATACGCCTGAATCGAACGCTTGATAGTGAACCGTAACTATCTTTCATTTCGTTTTCCATAAATAGTTCCTAATGTGTCACTTTTTAGTTTATCTATATCTACAATAGAAGAACATACCTCGTCAGCAGCTGCGTCTCCATTACGAAAATCAATTAAAGTACCAGAGAAAGAATGTGGCATCCAATGTAACGTACGTTTGCCAAATTGAAAAATATCTGTTCAATGGACTTTTCATCATGTCGTTTCCTACAGATTTCGACTGTCGATGGTCCATCAGAACCAAGCAGAAAAATTCAACGTACTTTTCCACCGCCAGATATCCGAAATGAAGCACTATCAGTACCAACAACTACCGAAAAGACACAATCGAGTATTCAAACAGACTCACCACTTCAAACGAATAGTTCAATTACAATTGGTCCATCAAAATTTACCATTGATATTAATAAACCAAAGGTAAAAAAATCGTGGACCGACTAGAAATCGAATATGCCTGAACGTTGATGTTACTTTCGTAGGTTCTTGGAAATATCACGCCATTTTCATGGCCAAAATTCGCTCGGGCACAATTAGCATTTGAGAAAAACTTTCCAGAAAAATGCCGTAATGATCCTAGTATGTATCTCTTTTTCTGTAGCTAGCTAATCTTTTTCTACTTTCATGTCTTTGTTCAGTACCAACACCAGCACCGAAAGCACCTGCTCCACCTACCATTGAGAAAACTACGAATTCTACGCTTTCAGTTGTTTCACAAACAAATACTACCAATAATACTACGCCGAAAACGCCAATATTTGGTGTTTCTCCACCACGTGCGACTAAACCAATTGCAGGACCAATCTGGAAATGCCCCTCATGCTCAATGGAACATCCAGCTCAAACTGCCTCGTGCTCTCTTTGTCATACAATTAACCCAGATTATAAACGGCAAAGTGGTTCGTTTCTTTCATAGTTAAATACAAAACATTTAGCTTTCTTGTTGTTTTTACAGTAATGGAATCCACAACATCATCATCGGTACCAACAACAGCATCAGTGCGTAAGACACCAGATGTTGTAATCATTGAAGAATCCAGTACAACGACATCCGTGACCACTGCACCACCTACAACTACTACGAAAGAAAATATCTCATTCGTTCCACCACCTGCCACAACAACTACAACTGCTCCTTCCATGATAAGCACTGCTGGTCCATTGTTTGGTGCTACGACAGCAACTGGTTCTCTAGCTTCTACTGGTACTCTTCCAATATTTGGAACAATACCGGCAGTAGTCAAAGAAAGCACTACAATTAGTACATCAGCAAGCACCAGTGTTTCGTTACCTTCCATAATAACGACACCAGCTACTCCGTCATTCGGCATAACAACAACTTCAACAGCATCTGCCACGGCTTCTACCAGTAGTCCTTTTCAAACCGGTACTAGTAGTACTCCAGCATTTTCATCGTTTGGCACAGGAGCACTATCGAGTAGCACTGCTGCGACAACTAGTACTGCGCTTACGCCGTCAATTACGGTAACTCCGACAACATCATCATCCGTGTCACCAGTCAAAGTAACAACACCCATCACATTTGGCTCGTTCGGTAGTACACCAGTAACAACAACAGCTGCAATTCCTTCAACAGTCCCATCGGATAAAGCACCTCTGTTTTCATTTGGTGCCAGTTCGTCATTTTCACCAGCAGCTGCAGCACCAGTACCAGCAACAACAACAACAGCAGCGGCGGTTGCGCCAGTTTCCTCGGTTGCTCCAAGTCTATTTGCTTTTTCATCAAATATAACTGCACCAGTTACCACAAGTGCTTCGGTAACATTACCAATTTCTTTGGCACCAAGCGGATTTTCGTTTCCCAATGCGTTCCCATCAGCATCAGCCTCTCCTAGCACGGCAACCACAACAACAACAACTCCCAATACTGCAATAACATCAACGCCATCTCTGTTCGGTACTGGTTCATCATCCTCATCATCGTCAGGTTTCAGTTTTCCATCTGCCGCTGCAGCAACGACATCAACGACTTCATCAGCATCTCCCTTCGCATTTGGTGCCTCCAGCGCATTAAAACCATTCGCTCCTTCGGTTACTTCAACAAGTGGTGCATCACCAGTACCTGCTTTCGGGGCAACTGCTTCGTTCGGTGCATCTCCAACAGTAACAACCGACAAACCTTTGACTTCAGGTCCATCGTTTTCCAGCTTTGGTGCTTCACCAAATACATCATCATTGTTTGCTTTTGGAGCTGCACCCAGTGCAACAAGTAATCCTGTACAAACATCAGTCGCTCCATCCCCATCATCTAGTGGATTCTCATTTGGCGCACCTGCAACAACACCAACAATGCCTGCTTTTGCTGCTAGCCCATCAACAAATACATTCGGTTCAGTACCTTCATTCAGTTTTGGTGGAACTCCAGCTGCTCCTACAAGTAACACGCCATTCCAATTCTCTGCGTTTCCTGCATCAGCGGCGTCTAGCTCATTTTCTTCTGGTTTTTCAGCAACTACACCAACTGCAGTATCTGAAAATAAGTAAGAAACAAGTTCTCAAGCACAAACATAAATCGTACTTCTCTTTGTTTTAGTCCTTTCAGTGTCAGTGATGATTCGACGAATAAACGTCAAATGATTAAAGCTAGACGCAGAAATAAATGATAGCAATCTTGTTCGTTTGTAGTCAAACATACTAGAACAATATTATTCATAGTCGTGCTTTTTTCTGTCTTTCTGTGTGTGTATGTGTGTGTGTGTGTGAAATGCCTGTGTATGTGTGTGTTTTTTTGTTGTTCTTTGTTTCTCTCGCTTCTGCGTGATAAGATGAGAAAAGAAATGTAGTAGTTTGTTCGAGAGCGACGAAGAGAACAGAAAAAAAACGATAGGATTTAAAAGAGAAATAATATATGAAAAAAAAACAAGAATCATGTGTGAATGTATTGCGCAAGCAAAAATGAAAAAATATATAACTATTACACAATTATCTTGTAGATTTCCTTTCATTTCATTATTTCAACATGGTCAAAGTACGCAAAGGTTCAAAGCCGCCACCCGATGGATGGTAAGTTTTCGCGTATTCCAATCAAGATGAACATGTTTCTTCTACTAGGGATTTAATTGAACCAACGTTGGACGAACTCGAAGGAAAAATGCGTGAAGCGGAGTTAGCACCACATGAAGGTAAACGAAAAGTCGAAACCCTATGGCCAATATTTAAGATTCATCATCAGAAATCTCGCTATCTCTACGATCTCTATTACAAACGTAAGACTATTAGTAAAGAATTGTATGATTACTGTATGAAACAGTCGATCGGAGACAAGAACTTGATTGGTAAGTGAAAGATGTTTATGCTTCTCAACTTTGATCGTTTCATTCTGATTTTTCAGCTCAATGGAAAAAGCAAGGCTACGAAAATCTATGTTGTCTTCGTTGCATTCAACCTCGTGATACCAATTTCAATAAGAAATGTATCTGTCGTGTACCCAAAGAAAAACTCGAAGAAGGAAAAGTAGTTGAATGTGTTCATTGCGGCTGCCGTGGATGTTCCGGTTAAATACATATACTTACTATTGTTTTTGTGACAATTTCTTAAAGAACGACGATTGACAAGTTGTGTCATCTATTTCATTGTTCCTCTCTTTTGTTTTCTCTTTATTGTACAAACAAAGCAAAGAAATAACACACAAAATGCCAATAAAAAGTTTCTTTTTTCAGATCAGAATGTTTACATGCATGTCTATGCTTAACAATCATTGAAAGATACTTGAGGTGCTCGTTAGTCGTATCATTCGCTTTTAAACATGTTGAAGATTACGAACTTATCGTATTACGATTCATTTCAAGAACAACATTTCTCATTTCATCGACGAAAAAGCAATACTGTAGAATTGGATTACTTGATTTTCTTCCTTGGTGCCACAATGCTTTAGCTACGCCTTGAAAACACGCGAGTTATTGCCTGATTAGTAATTAAACTCTATCCCTAAACATCACGTCAGGCGTGCTACCAAAAGTAAATAATAGAAGTGAATAATTATCTTCAGAACTATAACTATACATTATTCTGTATGTGTATAATCGAGTGTTTCAAAGTTTACATCATTTTATAATGAAAAAATTAGATTTTTTTGTCTGTATTTGCCTATGCAGTAAAGTAATTATTGTCTTCTATTTCCGATGATTGATGAACAGAGGCTGACTTTTAGATTTTGAACAAATGGAAAAACATAATAACTCACAGAAACAGCTGCGTGCGGTAAATCATCGTTTTTCTTCTATTCTTGCATGACTGACACTTCTCTATTTTTCTCTTATTCTTTTACTCTCGCTCATACGAACATCCCGTCGAACCCTTTTTCTTCAGCATGAATATTTATGTGTGGGCTTCACATCATCTTTCCGTCCGTTTCTTTTTTCTTTTCACTTTTTTCTTCTACTCGTCACAACATAGTTGGATTTATAGTCTTCGTATTAACGCATCGAGTTTTATCTTTCTAGAATAGCTCACAATATAAATCTCGTCAAAAATGCCTCCAACAATATCAGCAAAGCCGCATGTCATCGTCCTGAGCGGACCAAGCGGGTATAGCTAGTGTACAAAGCTTTCGAGAGGACTTTGAAAGTACGAACGATTGTTTTTAGATCGGGAAAAAGTACATTAATCACGAAACTATTCGAAGAATATCCAACAGCGTTTGCTTTTAGCATCTCACGTATGTGATCAAAAAATATAGCGTTTCAAAGGATATTCATTTCTTTTTCTTCTTGTAGATACAACAAGATCCCCTCGTCCAGGCGAACAAAATGGACGTGGTATGTAGCCAAAATTTTCGTTCATGATGGCATAATTCTTACTCTATTTCTGTAGAGTACCATTTCGCCTCTCGACCTGACATGGAAGGTATGCTGAATCGTGGCGAATTCCTCGAATCAACAGAATTCTCCGGAAATTTGTATGGAACAAGGTTGTAACAAACGAATAAATAACTGCATTTCTATTCATCGGAATCGTTTCTTCTATTTGCAGTAAAAAAGCTGTTGAAGATGTAACACGAACAGGGCGCATATGTTTACTTGATGTCGATAAACAAGGCGTGAAAAACATTCGCAACAGCCATCTCGATGCCGTGTTTGTCTTCATCAGTCCGCCGAGTTATGAAATTTTAGAGCAACGTTTACGCGGACGACAAACAGATACCGAAGCGGCAATCGAAAAACGTTTAAAAGAAGCGAAAGAATCGATGGAATTCAGCAAAGAACCAGGCGTTTATGATCATATTATATTAAATGATCAACTCGATGTGGCTTATCAATCACTAAAGGACGTTCTACGAGAGGTAAAACAAAGAAAATCTAGAGTGATTATGTGTAATCTTTCATTGCTAGAGTATCAATGCTGTTTTGGAACAACAAAAGGCGACAAAAAATGGCAGCTAAATTTTTTTTTCAATAAGAAAACAGTGATTTCCATTATCTCATTCCCTTCCTCGTCAGTTTGCTTTTTGTCCGTTTAGAAGAATACTTATATATGAGACTTTTTGTGCTTAATGTTGCTGTCGAACTAAACCTAGAATTTTATGCAAGAATCTATTTTATACGATCTTGTCAAAGTAAATGAAAAAGCAAAATAAATCTGAACTTCAACGACTTCACTGATTTTTGCGAAATACTCAATGAGGAACTTCAATTCAATCTTGTGAATTTCTTCACTAGAACGCTTTTTCTAGATGGCTAATCAAGCCGAACAAATTCGTCTTGCACAAGCAGGTGTCCATGATAATCCTGAGTTTGTTTTGAAATATCTCGAAGAAATTGAAGCGTTAGCTGAAAACGTCCTTGCCGAACGACGTGAAATCATCGAATTGAATAAAAGACGTGATAAACTACGCGAAGCCAGTCGGTAATACGAAATTTCTCTGTCATAAGACACGACCATCTCTTCTATTGTTGTAGAGCAGTTCACAAACAAGCATCGAACGTTAAAACGAACTGGATGTGTTTGAATAATAATTTTCTCGCCATGTCAACGAGAGATTGTAAGCGTTTAATTGATCGCGGTAAGAATTATTTGATGAATATTCATCTAAGGATTATTATTTTCACACAGATTTTGATCAAATCAATGTAGAAATCAGTCAAGCAGAGAAAAAACTAAAGGAAAATGTTAAAAAACTATATGATGCAGAAAAAAAACCTGAAATTCGCGGTTTCAATTTGAAATCTCTCTCACGTGAAGAACGCCAAGAATTGGATCAATTGCTGGAACCATACACTTGATATTTATATATATATTTATAATAAAATAAAACGTTATGAAAAATAATTCATGTCTATATCAATGAGCAGACGCATGTCGTGGCGGTGGTAGCTGAAATCCTTGATAGGTTTGAACTGCTTGTCTGTAATTCTGTCGATTGATTTGTAAATCAACGTTTTTATGTATAACTGAGTCAGTCGGACGACTTTTCGGGTATTTGTTTGGATAGTACGTTTTACCTTGTTTATTCACGACATTTTTCACTTGAGTAAACATGGATGTGACAGCGTATGGATCTTTGTCGCTACGTTTGGGAAACTTATCGAAGCATCCGTCCTTATTGCCACCAATCTAGATGGAAAGTGTTCGAATTGTTTTCTGAAGGAGACTTCAAGAATGAAGACGTACTGATTTGGGAGGTGAACTGTATCGGAACGGTTTTCTATCCGATGGTGCTGATTTCGAGCGTTCTTTCGTCTCGCCACGGCCCTTAACAAATTTACCATCGCCTCCGAATGGATTACGATCAAAATAGTCTTTTGGATGCATATTTAACTTGAATACACCCGCTTTCGTGGCTGATTTATGCTGAGCATATTCTTTCTATAAAGAAAATCGAATAGTAGGATGTGATTCTTCTGACTCTTTTTTACCCGTTGAGCGTCTAGTGGTGCGTCGTAATTATCTGTTTTTTCTTTGTATGCGTACGGCGGATCTTTGTCAATACCTAGATTTGCATAACTATCGAGAGAAAAAATTGTATTGAAAGAGAGAACAAATTCAGCTTACCCATAACCTGTTCCCTTTTTCGATGGATTTACTTTGAAGTTTGATTTTTCTGCTTGGGCTTTTTCTGCTTCCCTATATTTGGCTTTGCTTGGATCTAAATCATGTACAGGACCGCCTATAGTGCCATAGAATGAGCCGAGACCTTCTCTGAAATACGTCGACGTTAGTTAACCTCGACCATGAGTAAAAGTTTACATACGGATCTCTTGCTCGATACATGCTGACAAATGGTCTAGTGACAATATTCTTCTTCTTTTCTTCCATACGTGCTCTTCGACGCATTGATACAGGATCGATATATGAACCCGGTAAGATTTTAAATTCATTATCAAAATAGCCAGCCATTGAGCCAGTTGATCGTGGTTTCGAACTTTTACTCATCATTTGCTTATTTTTATATGCCACTTCGTTGAAGTTAACTTTGAAGAAAGGAGAATAGATATCGTAAGGTCTTACTGAACTAACTTACAACGAGATGCTTCTTTGTACGGATCTTTGATGGTAACATATTCCATCTCTTTGAATAGACCTACACGGTCCATATCTGTCTTTCCACTCGCCATTGTTAGACTTCAGAGTAAGATAGAAAAAATTTGCTCTTGAAAAAGAAACTATTTGATGTATAATGTTACAGACGTCTTAAGAAAAGAGAAGAAAGGGCAACATTGCCATTATTAGAGTTTCTGTCACGACGACAACATACGTAGTAACAATTTTTTTTCATGTTTCTTTTCGTCTCTGCATAGAGCGCGCTGTGAATCAGTTGATTACGCTGTGTCAACAAGCAACATTTGAGTCCTTTCGTCTCTCGCTCTCTCTGCAAACTAAGGTATATAAAGAAAGAGATGTGAATACATTTTATCATGATATTTATTGGTTTTGTTTTTGACCACAACAAACTATAAGAAACAGAATACAACGTGAAGAAAAGAGTGAGAGAGAAAGTGAGTGAATGTTAGTGTATGATATGATTTATTCATTTTTTTGAATTGGTGGCTTGAAAGCTGAATGGGAACCACTGCCAATGATAGATGGATTTTGATTATTAATCTCAAATGGAAATCGTCGCGGAATAGTGGATAATGGTAAACGGAAAGAACTTGGTACAAATAATGGTGAGCGAAAAAATTGTAACCAATCTGTCGAATTAAATGAAACGAGAGACAGAGGATTGGATGATGGTAATGGGGGTGGAAATGGAAAATAATGAGATCCTGGAAGAGATGGTATTGACAAAGGGGGTGGTGGTGGAGGAGGAAGAAACATGTTGATATCGGGCAATTGTTCATCCGTTGTTGTTGACGAAACGACATTATGTGTTGGTAGTCGTCTTTCTCGTGTTTTAGTTTTTGACAATTTAGGAGGTGGTGGAATTGGCAACATGACTTCTTCCTCTTCGTCGTCTACTTCGATTTCTTTATCTTCGTGCTTTTCTCCGTCATCTTCTTCTGTTTCTTCTTTGTCTTCATCGTTCATCTCTTCAGCATGGTCAATATTTTCAGTAGTACCTGAAGTATTATTGTTATTATGATTCGTTGCCGAAGATTTCGGAACGGTCGTTGCCGATGCCGTACGTTTTCGATTGCCACCATTGAACATCGCTTTGACATCTTCCCATGCGTCTCGTAAATCTTCACTCTGTGTTGGATTATGTAAACGTAAATGACGACGCCATGCATTGAAATTTGGGCTATCAGGTTGCACGTAGGACATATTAGGTAAACGGTGAGAATGAAAGATGAACTTATTTGGTGAAAGAAAACTGTCACAATAGGAACATCTACATAGCAGAAAAGCAAGAATGAATAAACACGATGATAAATCGAGATGTATGTCGGCCTTACCGGATACATTTTGCTCGTGAACTGTTGTATCGTATTGGAATGAATAGACCACGGCATCCCCATGCACAATGATGGTAGACTTCAAAAACGAAGTTCTCTGGTAGATTCAACGGTTTAGTCGACTCAAGAAATGAGTTCACTAAACGTTCGGCCTCTCGACGTGTTATCATTCCACAACGCCGTGAGGAACTTGGCATAGCACCTGACAAAGAGATACACCTTTGTAAAGTTCTGTTTTAACGTCCGTTGTACAGTCTTACCTGCTCGCCGCAACAGTTCTAGTTGAACAGGTGTACATTGAACACAAGTGATACCCAATGCTAAAAAAAAATAATCAACACATGACTGGAAGATTAAATTTATCAGTGAGGAACGTACCAACGCGTCGATTATGTATTTCATTGTAACTAAAATCTTTTAATAAATCATTTGATATCTGTGCCAAACATAACCGTTCCTTCCCATCAGTAATTAGACTTACAATAGGTGCACCACGTATAGTACAGGTCGACACATAACTATTATCATGATGTCGACTATCGCTCCTAGTTAAACTTTCTTCCATATCTAAAAGAAAAAATGCGAGTTGTTATGTTTTTTTCTTTGTTCGTATTCAGTATTCTTTTCTAGCAGCAGATGCTAAACTGTTTTACAGTCAACTGAACTTCTCTGTGATGTGCCACTTGAATTTCTGATGAGAAAAAGAGAGATAGTTTCGCAGCATATGAACCATATAATCCTCGATAAAAAGTGATTAGTGACATAATGAAATCGTTTTCGGAACTGAAGAGAAAGAGAGAACTAGCAAATGGTATATGCATTCCTAAAAAGATCATCGACAGCATCGATTGAAAGAATAGACGAATGAATGTCTTTGATTATGCCGACATGGACACTTAAGACGACGACAGAGAAAATAGAAAAAAACAAAAATTGATTTATTTTAAACTCCACTAACTCTCTATCTTCTTCTTCTTCTTCTTTTCTTTAATAAAAACTACTCTGGTAATTATTCACAATTCGTTGACATTCATTTTCTTTCTTTTTTTTTCTCTCCTCGACAAAAATTCTTCGATTGGTTAACGCGATTTGTTTTATAACCAATGAGAACACATCCGGATGGAGAAATGAATAGTAGAGAGAACGCTGTCTCTGTACTCTCCTTACATTTGAGACATTCCATCATCATTATTTCATTTGACACTTTGTCTTTATTCTAAACAAAAATCGAAGGTATATAGTCATTTGTACGCTTCCATTTACATTCACTAGCGGATGTATTATAGCGATCATAATTTTCTTTTTCAATGACATACACTTTATTTCAAACAGTCTATCGTCAAGATGTGTCTATTTAATTGATGCCTCATTTGAGCTATTGAGAGAATTTCTTCTTGCTACACTCAAATTTTATTCACGTGAAGAAGAAAGTGCTGAACAAGAAGCACGGATGAATGTAATAAAGCAGAGAAGATCGACATGAATTTTGCTCGTCTTGCACTGAATGGATATTAGTTTAGTGCGAGAAATATCTATCGAGACAAAAAACGATATGCCTGCCAAAGCAATGAAGAGGAAAACTATGTAATTGATGTCGCATTATTAACGACGATCTGTTGAGAATCACGTTCTTTTACATCGTCAGTCAATGTGCGAAATAGAATACGAACGGCATTCCACTGGCTAGAATATAAAAAGACTAACAGATTGTATGTATTTGATATAATGAATGGGCGTATTCAAGTGTTTCTATGACTCATATCGTCCATGACAACGTAAATCGTATTGGAAAATGGACAAAGAATGCAGGCAGGGTTTACCGACAGGCACCTATTGTCGCGGGTGCTCAGGGATATGAGTGGATGAACAGGATTGCAATTTTTATGTTTTGGCTACTTCTTAAGGCGTGTTTTTAGGATAAAAGATATGGCGCAGTGTGTGTAGCGAATGCTGGAAATCATTGAATTCAGAAGTAGCCTAGAAACGCATTCTCAGGTGTTACTGTTGTCGGATCGAAGGATGAAAAAGAGGATTGGAATCAATCAAGATTGCATCAACCATCTAGTCTATATTTTGACGAAGAGCCAAAGGTAATCTAAGTAGCTGATAGATTAAACGATCGAATTCAACGTTGACTACATGAGTTTTTCTTGATTTAGCGAGGTTGAACATGTTGCCGAGTTCTCGAAGTCGTATGATTTGAAGCTCGATAGTAATGGGACTTCATATGTTAGTGATACAAGCAACAGTATGATACACTTTTTTTCTTTGATGGATAATCGACCTTGTGACGCACTACCACTTACAACTATACCAACATCTACAAGTTAATCTAATTGTCTTCACTCTCAACCGCAAAACAATTCCATTATCGATGTTAGCAGTGGCATGTGTTTATATAAAAGTTTTTTGAAGCATTACAAGAACTTATTATATTAAAAGAATTATAAAATAACATTTAATTAATTGATTTTTCTGAGTTCATTTTTTCAACAGTCTTTCGAATCCAATCATAATATGCACTAATTCGGACATATACACCCGGATAACCTTCATGCGCAAATTCACAACCATAACTAACGATTCCGACTAGAATCCATCGGTCAACATCATATGTTTGTTTGTCAAAAAGTCCGCTCCCTATGTCACCCTGACACAAATCACGACGAGAATGTTCTGTGCCAACACAAAGCTGTTTTGACGTATTATATGTCGGATAAACAATCGAACATTCATCTTTGATGTTTAAAACTGTTTGTCGAAGTTCATCCGTTTCTGTCACAGACCATGTGTTATTTCCTACGGTACGCCAACCAGCTACAATTAACGGCTTTGCTTTTACGATTGGTATACTCGATCGTGCCAACCACGCTGGTCTGATTCGATCAGAAAATGAGTCAATACGTTGACGAAGTCTAATAATACCAATGTCATTCTGCGATGTGACGCTATTATAATCCGAGTGAAAGATAAACCGATCAATCGGAACACGTTGTGTTACATTTGATAAACGATGTGCGCCAAGAACAACGGAATAGGGAAGATGAACCAGAAGTTGCTGAAAACAACTGGCTGCTGTTAAAATATGTTGGTTGTCAATTAAAGCTCCGCCACACATATGTCGTTCGTCGTATTGAATTGAAACGTGCCATGGTAATGCATGTGGGCGTATTTCACTACCGCCAACAGTTTGATTTTCTACGGGAGAATAGGTAGAAATACTATATTCATTATACTGGAGACAGAAACGTATCTAGTCGATAATAAACATAGACGATACTGATTCTTTATTAAAAGAAATGATGGTAATATTTACTTCATAATCAACACATTGCTTTCCATCGACTGCATGGCAAATGAATCCATCTCTGATTGTGGTATAATTTGCCATCGAAATCGCGTCGTTTGTCATTTGTTGATGAGATGCTCGTCGTATTTCAAATAAGCCTGTCCATGGCGTCAGTTCAAATATCCAAGGATATCGCGCTCGAATGAGTGAGAATCGTTCGATGTCATTGCCATTCGAATTTGGTTCCCACGGATGATTTTCATTGAACCAACCACTAGTATAATTACATTGACTGTGAACTAATGGAAAGAAAACGAGCAGAATCAACAGAGTATACATGTTATTATGTATATGTACCAATGATATGTGATCGATAATAAATGTCCATTTTAACGATGAATCAATATAAATATAAATATGTATGTAAGAAAGCATAGGTATCCGATTACGTTGTTATACAGCCAGTTACTAATCGTTAAATTGACATTTTCAAAATACAAAAAGAAAGCTTCAATGCGAGTATCGTGAATAGAAGTAACTGGAAAGGAGTGTTTCGCAAAACAATGAGATTTGAAATGGTAATCGAAACAAAAGGAAAGCTTCTCGTACAAGACGGGGAGAGGGAGGTCTTTAAGGACGTAAATCGGTCCACGTCCTCGATATATACATTGAAACGTTCCCTTGGAATTCAAATGGTGTATAATCAGACACCTATATTCGCATAAATACGTTTTTGTTTAGTAGACAAAATATAAAGTAGTTATGGTGCATCACACACAGCATTCAATAAACACTGGTATACTCTCCAGCTGTAATGTCCACATATACTGGTGACATCTATTGAACTCAAACATTATATACCATTCTTTTTTAATCTTTTTAATAATTTGACAAGCTTTTCACTGTGTTTGTATAGTAAGATTTTCCAATTCCAGGTGCATTCCATTCCAAAAATACATCACCGAACTCTAATTGTGGTTTTCAAGAATTTCTTAATTTTTAGTTTGAGACTGTTGACATACTTGAACAAGTTTTTTTCAAGCAGTCGAAACTCACTCAGCTCCACACGGAATCATAAATATATCCGTAAAATATATTTGCTTCCTAACGGTCATTCATTCGGAGTTCACCTGTATAGATCAGTATAGAGAGAGAGAAAGAGTAGCTGGCTTGGGATTCACCACCGACAGGAGAACAGCTAACTTCACGATAGTATCTGATCATCTTAGCTGTACAAGTACAGCACAGTTTTAATAACCCAATCGGAGATCAAATTAAGCTGGAAATTTCCAAGAATCGATTTTTGAAACTCATTTTTCGTCGAGATTTATTTATAGATTTGTTTCAGATAACCGAGGAAACGCAATCACTATGGCCGATAACGGTGAGTGTTATTACTAACTTTGCACCGAATAAATTGATTCATTTGTTACTGAAAACCACTTGATGAAAATTAATTAAAATATCTTGAGAATCGCTTTTTGAATCTTTTGTTTGCGCTTTATTTTTATGTGGTCATTTGAGCTCGTCGTACTATGTTGCTTTCAACCTCAATATTACTTTAATGATTTTACTTGTCAATGTAAAACAAATGATGCTTTTCCTATATTCTAGGTGCTAATGGGAAAGATACAAAATGCAACCTGTCAATTGAAGATCATGATGAAAAACCCAGTGCCTTGGTGGAAGACGATGTTACTGATAAGGTCTGTTACGACTACATGCGAGAAATTGTAGTAGTATTTCATTTCGAATGGGAAGGAATTCAGCTAAATGGTCAAATAAGTGACTATCGATTTACGTTATAATTTTAATGCCCTATCTTTTGGCTTCTTGGTATTAAAATAATTATCATTTCAGGTAGTGATGCACCGATGAAACAAGAAGAAAAAGGTTGCAAAGCATGCGAAATGGGCTCAATTCTAACATTACATATCCAGTGCGGACATCTCTCTTACATAGCGCAGAAATTCTCTTCGAGCTGTCCAGAACAAATAATACAATTTCATTTTTATTCTCCGTTCATAGTCGGACAGTACGATCCCGTGCAATATAATCAATGTTGCAGGTAGTCTATCGAGTTATACAAGCGAGTGACAGGTTTCTTCTTTTCAATACACTTCTTCGAGTATCTTCCCAGTAGCAAAAAAATGTTCTCTAGTCTCAAAATCAATCGGATACTTGGTGAAAAATGTCATGAATCATTCTGGGGTAAGTGTGATGAGATGAGTGGATGATATGTATATAGCAAAGCAGCTGTCTTTGTTATATACGCTTAATAATCACCAAAGTAAACCTTCTGTAAAACGTATACTAGCTTCAACACATTTGGTTCACTTCTCAACTTTGCTTCTCATATGAATCATGCTTATGTAACTAATGAGGGAACTATCCCATATGATACCCTCCGTTCGAGCTCATCTTTGAACCTTAGAGAAAGCTTAGACTATGGATAAAAAACTTACCATGGCTTTTTGCCAAATTTTGCTATTGTCGAGATGTTTTGTCATCAGCATATTGAAATAAGTCATTACCGTGGTAGCCCTCAGGGATATGGAAAAACTTATTCTCGAATTTTGACTTGAAACTTCGTACAGAGAAAGGTCTTGATGAAAATAGTTTATCCTGAAAATTTTAGATCAAGCCATTGTTTCTATACGAAGAGATCACTATGATACATTATATTACGCGCAGATCTCAGCATCAGTGTTCCCTTCTAAAGCAAGAGATACTGGGAAAGCTTAAATTTTCAGGATAAACTATTTTCATCAAGAGCTTTCTCTGTATGAAGTTTCAAGTCAAAATTCGAGAATAAGTTTTTCCATATCCCTGAGGGCTACCACGGTAATGACTTATTTCAATATGCTGATGACACAACATCTCGACAATAGCAAAATTTGGCAAAAAGCCATTGTAGGTTTTTTTTAATCCATAGTCTAAGCTTTCTCTAAGGATCAAAGATGAGCTCGAACGGAAGGTATCATCTGGGATAGTTCCTTCGTAAGCTACTAGTGTTGTTTATAAGCAAACAAAAATGCCCTGCATAAAGTTTGCCTGTCATGATAAATATCATTTTCACTTGTAATGAAATATATTTGCAAATAATAATGATACCATACATCATGATGACATTGAAAACTAATGAACTATCGAGTAAAAATGAAAGAAATTTTTCTTTGATTGGAGTCACTGTATGTATATTTTTCGTCAGTCATAGCATATAAATCCTTATTCCTTTTCTATGCTTGCTTTGCATCTGTTAAAAATTGAAGGTGTTTTTTTTATTCAGAATCAAACGGTCAATCAGGCAAATGTGTCAAGTGTTCGTATAAACCTATGCAGCGAGTTCTCATTGCTTGCAACACGGAGAAGATCGAGTATTGTTGTGGTCATGGTTTTTGCAACGATTGCTATAAAAAAACTGCAGCCGGGTCACCAGGACGACTATTCTATACTGGACGAAGCGCAAACCTGTGAATTTGTTTGTCCAATATGTGACAGACAGGTACAATTCTCCATTATTATACAAGAATGAAAAGGCAAACTATGTGGAAGATCGAAGATATTGAATGTTTACCATTCTTCACGATCGTCTACATTCATTTTCCATCTTAAACAAGAAATCTAGGTCTTTTTTTCAAACTTTCCATTTCTTCTTTTTCTGGCCAAACGAAAAAAATCAGCTACAACATTGCATAGTAAGATATGCGAAGCGATAGAAAATTTATTTATTAATAAATTTATTTACACTCTGTTAATACCCGCTATCTTTTCCTATATTCTTAGTGATCATTATTTAAAGATAACAGCGAGTAATGAATGTTCGGTTCTTTGTATAAGTATAACCATCATTAGATTTGTTTATGGTATTATATATTTCGAGTTTATCTTTATATAGTTGAAACACGCGTAAAATTATATAAATACACACGAAAAAGAAAATCTTTATAAATAGCTTACAGATCTGCGAGATCAATAAACAAGAAAAAGAAAAACGTTTCGTTCAACTATATTCAAATCCCGCTGCTGCTTGAATAGCGTATAAAAGTTTTTCTTTAAGCACATTTTCATCCTTATATTCAGGTAATTTCAAGAGATTTATACACGTATTTGATGTTGGCAAACGATCAATTTCCGAACCAGCAGATTGTATACAGAATTCCGGATAAAGTTCCTAAAATGAAACAAATGATTCGAAACCATTCTATTGAAAAAGAATTCTGACCTTGAATCCAAACAATGGCGGTCTCGAACAGCTCGTCGTAAATTTCAATAATTTCCGTTTTTGATCTTCAGTAAAGTCATGAACACAACGCCAAAAAGCTTGAATGACAGGATGCTCTTTACTATACGGTGCTAAAATGAGAAAAAGAAAACAATACTAATCTTTCTACGAAAACAACAGATTATTTCTAACCTCTGTATTGAGAATGATTTCTCCAATCATTCACATCGATTTCTCCGGGTGCACCCGAGATTAATATTCTCAATTCGTTCGCGTCGAACATTCTTAACCATTCCAAATTGATAACATCACCAAGTCCTTGTCGAAACTTGAATACTTGTTCATTGATTTGTTTATTCAATTTATAGCTAGCAACCAGATGAATATATTCAATACGATTTTCATTGGTTACAGCAATGTTTCTTCCATTGGGTTTCAATTCAGTCACCTATAGGAAATAGACGAAAGATGTATCTGAGAAACGTGATCGGTTTATTTACTTCTGTTTGTCCGATTTCACTATTGACAATGGTAAAGTCCAATCCGAGATCTTCCACGTTTCCATCGTAGTTTTTCAGATAGAGTAGATTCTTGTACATTTCCGGATCGAGTGAAGCCAAATGATGAATATCGACTTTTCCTGATGAACGCGAGAGGATTTTCTGAAGGAAAAATGTTGCAAATGGTAATTCAGCCAGAAATTTCTCGTAGATCGCCTACAGAAAAGAACAAGAAAACATGAGGAAAAATTCATTTCTACATTGGACTTTTTACTTTGCCTAATATTCGTCCTAGAAAGTAATAATGTGGACCAAAATTTTCGTCAATAAAAGCAATATTTGGATTGGGATAGAGAAAACCATCGCTAGTCAATTTAAATAAACCACGTATTGGATTGAATGATGATTTCAGTAATTCATTCATAAATTCACGAAACAAACCACCGCCATCGACGCCTGCTTCATCAAGACCAACAGCATTGATGAAACTAACGCGCATTCTACGTCGAAGGTTGGGTTCTACCAGGAAGAAGGAATGTTCAGGGTTGACAAGTGAAATAATATATTATTTACCATTTTGAGGACTCAATTTTTCGAAAGCATCTTCATAGATGTAATCTCGACGTATACGAACATTAATTGTTGAACCAGCTTGCAGAAATTCTGCGCCTTGTTGTTGTTCCATTTTGTCTTGTTGGACCAATAAATTCAGAACCTAAGCAAGGCATCGATGATTGAACGATCAATTAGAACAAACTTACTTGAACTCGTGTATCGAATGGAATAACGAATGGAATTTGTTGAAGAATAGTCAACAAACGAAGTTCAGTTACAGAAAATGTAAATGCATCAGGTGCTAGCCGACAAATACATGAAATAATGAATTAAAATAGAAAATCAAATGTGAAACCTACCTCGCTCACGACTGAAATATGCATCCGACGACAATAGTAATGGATCTGATAAACCACGAGCAAATGGTACGATGTATGTCTAAAAGCCATCAATAAGTTTTGGTCTTTTCTAATATTTGGCTTTTCCGTACCTTATCAAGATGCAAATGAAACTGATTTGTTAGCCAATTTTCCGGAGGACAAAACTGTCTTCGAACGTCTCTCGCTCGAAGTTGTTGCAATAGTTGTACAATAATCTACATGCAACCAGTCAATATCTCAATTGCAAATAAAACTTTCTTCTTACTTTGAAAACGATTGAAAACTTTGTCGCTTTTTGTCTTGCTATCTCCACTTGTTTATTTGCTCGAAGAGTCTTTGTCATCGGCTCACTATCATCGGTTGTATTTGTTGATGGATTCGTTATTTGTTTATCGGGATACATAAATCTCACAATGCCCATACACACGTCTTGTAAGATGCGAACCATTTGAGAAATTTGGCTCGTGTGAAACGCAGTTTCGGGTGGACCACGAAAAAATTCATCATCATGTAATGGTACTAGTGACATACTATACAATGAACAGAATGTGACAAGTAATGGTTCGATACGATCAATATCAATGTCTTTTAATAATGGATTAGCGCACGAAATATGGGAGAGGAGAAGAACTTGTTCTCTGAAAAGCGAAATAAGTTTCGCTATTTGAAATGTTTACAATGAATTAGTAGTGAACATACCGATAGTCAGTTTCGTACGTCAATGTGCGACAAACATACCATAAATGACGAAGAAATGCTGTTGACGTACTTAAACTTAGTAGGAAACTAGAGCAGAGAGGTATGTTCATATGGGAAAAAAAGCTTTCGTATAGTTTACTTTGATCGAAGTATGGATTCATTGCGATGAAAGATTAAACTATGAGCTATCGTAGCTAAATTACCAATATAGTCATTGTCATCATTAGTTAAAGTTTGATGACTTTGTCGATCAGCTAATTTAATCAAGTAGTTTGTAATCGAACGTTTATTCAATATTGTCAAACAATCTCCAATTAGTTCGCCATCGGGTTCATCCTAACACAAAATAAATGAGATCTTATTTTTCGGTACACAAAACTTTACTGTGTCCATATTCATTTGATCATCTCGGTCATGTTCATCTGCATTTTGATCATGTATGGGTAAATTCTTGAAATTTGTGGTGATTAGACCATTGCTGAAATATCGAATAATTGCAACGATTCGTTTTGTTAACGATGCTGGTAACTCATCGATTCGGCTATCAATGATCAGTAGTGCTGCATGTAGCTGGTAAAGTTTCCAGTTTTGATACAATGAAGAGTCGATGGGAAATGTTGGATGGAAGTCGACTAGTTCGATATAACGCCTCGAAGGAAAATTAGGTCGGTGAATCAACGTTGGAGTGATGATTAGTGGTAATGCAGGAAGATCTGATCGGGAAAACAATTCATTTCGAAGTGTTACCAGTGCTTCATCGCGAACAACTGAATCCAGGGATTGACATTCAATTGGTCGAGCAAGTAATTCAACAATCGATTCAATAGCTGGTACACGACTGCTTTTGCTGACATTTGGTGGTACTTTTGACTCAATGATTGAGCACATCTGGGTATAATAACCTGTAAGAATTTATGTAAAACGAAATAGTTGAAAGATTGATAGAAGTTTTACCATTTCGAATGATATTTCTTAGAAAATAACTGGTTAATATTTGTACATTTTGAGATGGAGATGTTTGCTTCTCGTTGGTATAACTATTAACATCCGTGAACCATTCGATAAAACGTGTTGGTAATCGAATGGATTCGAAATAGGAAAGACATCTAGGGGTACCAATTTACATAAAACCTATTTGATTGTTTCAATTGTTTACCTGACTGTATATTTTAATAGCTTGGCAAGGGCAATTTTTAATGGCGGATTATCATTGGAAAGTTTCTCAACAATCGCTTGACGATGTTTCCAACATGAATCGATCAATGACATCTATAGAGGAAATGAGATTAAGTTCAGACGAAACGAATTCGACATACCATCAGATTTGCGTCTGCATTCGGTTGAAAACCGAATTTGATTAAATTCGCAAGGTGTACGAGATTTTCCTCATTGAAACTAGTTGATTGTAATTGTGCTATCAAGGTTGTGATGCGTGCACGAGCTAGTTTTGTCTGAAAGAAATTCGATTGATCGATGTGACTCGGAAAGAAAAGAGACTCACTAGTTCTTTTTGTGCACGAACTCTTCGATAGAAACTTTGGATTTTAATTGCAGAATATAATTGTTTTCGCGTGAGCTAATTAGTATTAGAACAGTTAGATTTTTATGAACTATACATGGAGAAAAGATCTTACTTCACGTTTCTGACGTTCCTGTTCCGTTCGTTTGATGAAATCATCGAGATTCTTCTACAAATAAAGATTAATCGTTCAACCTGCTCTACTTGAAGACAAACTCGACATACAGAATTCGATGTTCGACTGTAATCTTGTGCTGGTTGTGATTTATGATTGCCAACGAATAGAAATGAATGCATCTGAAAAGAAACAAAAACCATCTAAGATCTATTCAATATCATTTATTTCAATAGGTATATATATATGTGGGCCCTGATAAAATAACAACTAAATAGTGACAACTGTTGTACAAAATACTTTCGCAACATTATTAGCAAAATAGGGGTTTGTCGGAAGAATTTTTATAGGCAAATCCCACGTCATGCTCTCGACTTCGATCGAATTTGCTGTTGACCACGTTGTGCTTGACGACGAATCAACATTTGCCGGCAGCAAACTACGCGGAGCTTTGGATGTGACGAATTCGAAATGTAATTTCCATCGTAAAGAAACTAAATGAATGTGATTTATAGAAATTGTGGATGAATAGCCACTCTTCTTACCGAGATCCATCGAAAATGTTGGTGTGCATGATAATGGAATAGAGATTGATAGATGTGTTTCTAGTGTAGATAAGCTGAATTCCGATTGTTTGGTGTACGATGTTACATTTGACAATTGACTGGATTTTCGACGATACGTTGGATTTAGTGTCTCTTCACTTTGTAGTGTAACTGTATATTGTACGCATGGAACATCTGTTTGATCGAAATCGATCGTGCCCAAGATATCTTCACCTAGTTTAAAATTATTTTTGAATAATGTTAATCGACATACACGGCCACGATTATTGCTTATGTTATAAACATCTAAAGATTCGATTGAAAGTAGAAATGAAAAAATTAGAGTCTTACTCTGATGTGTTCGAGATGAAAGTATTTGTAGAGCATCGAGAGCTGTTGTTAATGAATCAATTTCAGTTCGACTTGAACATACAAATGGATTATCAATTTTAGTGCCGGTTTGCGATGAAGCGATGGCAGCTCGGTCTTGCCGAATGTATTTATCTAAATCTTTAACGTACATTTTGCTCAAACAGTTCTTCACAGCTTTCAACATCTATTCTACCTGGTATAACTAATACACGAAATGGAACTCGAATAAGTGTTGTTGGACAGTTGACTCGCTGCGTACCAATTGTAAGTTTATATGAATATTTAACATAATTTCCACGGAATGTCGGAGGTACGTGTGTCGATATTGTCTCCTGATAAGAAACTGAAATTAATAATAATAAAAAAGCATCGTTCGTTAGTTTCAATGACGAACAACATGTATGAATATGCATACGTACAGGTTCTTATTTCACCTGGATGTAATTTCAAATCACAAAATAATACGCACGGTTTAGATGTATAGACTGTTTGACCAGTTTCACCTTTGGTTGCGATCAATGCGGTTGAATCTAATGGAACAACATCAACGTTCGTCGCTGTTGAATCATTGGACTTGATATTAGAATTAGAAGCTTGTTGCTGTTGTTGTTGTTGCAAATTAACTTTCTGTTCATTAACATAACGTTGACAGTGTAATTGTACGCTTGCCCAAGAAATCTTCTCGAAATTTCCACTAGATCACAGATATGAAGAAGTGTAGATTACATATTGATTATATTTACTTTGAATTCGTTTCATTAGTTGATTTATTCGTGAATTTTATTTGACAATGAAGAGTTTCACCGGCGATGAACACCGGACCTCGCAAGATTTCGGCAATAACCTCAATCATTTCATTGATATTCTTCTCTGTTATGAATAAAGATGAATGACGATGCTTTTTATGTTGAGTCAGCTTACTCATCTGTGATTGGTAGAAAATCAGCTGATGATCATTTTCGGTCGTGCTTGACACGAGCGCCCTCTTTCCAAAGGAAAGTCCGGATCGGATCAACGAATTGTATTCTTTTCGGTGCACAGCTATCTATCAATATGAAAACATTTTGTTTCTGTTTATTCCGTCAAGATTTTGAGAGAAAAAAAAAACACGCATACAAACGACAAAAGGAAAACATCCGAGATGCTTTGGAAAAAACTAAAGATACAGATTATACATTGAAATTAAAAAAAGTAAGCAAAAGGAGAAAACATATGTTCGAACGACTGAACGAACATACTGTCTTTCATTACGCACATGTATATATAATAACAATAATAATATTAGGAATGTTCTCGAACCATCTTACTGCTCACTGATATGATTTGCTTTGTTTTTTTTGCACATAATATATACACGAAATTATTAGCACAATGTAAGTGTTACCAGCTTCGGAATATCTGATTTGGAAGGAGACGAATTTGTTCTTAGGAAATCGACTCGACGATTTCTTTCTTCATGTCGTTCCATTCTTCTTCGATGGACACGAAACTTCGTTGTAACAATTCCATTTGTTGCATCAATGAATTTTGCATGGCGACAGTCACAGCAAACTGTTGACGGAAGACTGATAAGCGTTGTTCGAATTTTTGATGCGTGGCAATCTAAAAGTCAAGACAAAGACGGATAATCGATATCATTTTCAATCAAATCGGCAAAACGTTACATCTTTGCTGATATTCATATTTCTTGAGGATGGAATTTGTTTCGGTAAGTGCGAATTGGAATTGGTTGACGATGTTTCACGATTTGGTATTGAGGATGATGAAATAGGAATCGAATTGAAAATCTTTTTGCGGTATTTTTTAATAATATTTTGATATTTCTTATTAGTCGATAGCGGTGTGGTTAGTTGTTCGTTTGAATTAACATGGAAGCAATGGTTCAACGATGGTTTTTCTGAATTACTCGTCGATGAACGGTTACGTGCTAAGCGTAAGAATGGCAAACGTTCTTGTTTAGAAACTAGATGATGTTTCTTTATTAGATGATCTGTTAAATTTAAAACCCATGTATTACAACGTGGACATAGTAAACGTTTTTTACCATCGATCGGTAAACTATTTAAACCTTGTTGTTCACTCGGTGACGAACTGGTTGTTAGTATCGATTGCGGATGGTTATTATTATCTAAATCAGTAGCGATAGGCGAGAATCCACTCGAAGGAATTTGTTGGTTGTTTGTATTGATGCTAATCGGAGTTTGCTGAGGACTTTTATCGAGATCTTTTGGTGAACTACTGCTGACAGTGGGAATTGAAGATAGATTGCTGTTGTTGGTATTGGTATTATTATTTGTTCGATCGGCGTAAGCGAGTAAGGTTAGACTTTCTTCACGATTTAGATTATGTGTAACGGTAAGATGATGTGAGAGTCGAGAAAAATTTTGTTCGCCACAGATTGGACAGACTTTCACGCGACGGTTTGCTGTCGATTGAGCATTGAGAATACTGAAAAATGCGGATAGATGAGAGGGAATACGATAGAAGAGTTAACTTACGTTTTTGTTGGCTCATCATCGATTGCTGTTTGTTGCTCGCTGTCCGATGAGTCGAGTTCGTGATTAACAAAGACACAGACAGGTTCAAATTTGATTGAAGGCCATTTATCGGTGTCGTTGACATTTCCTAGGTTTTCTATGAAATAAAACGAAGGTAGAAGTAACGAGCGAATAAATTTTGCTCACCATTACTGATAGATTGGGAGGAGAGAACAGTGGGCGATTGATCAATGTTTAGTTTGGCTGCATTGTCATCGACTTCGGATAACTAGAATACAAAAAAGTTTGTCATCAAATTCTATGAATATAGTTTATTTACTTACTTCATCTTCATTTTCACTTTCATAGGTTGGATAAACATTCTCATCATAATGTCCTAAAGTCAATCCGATTTACTTCATTCGAAAATCAAGTTTTGATCTACCTTTGCCATTCCACGAAACTCCTTCCTGATCATTGGATTCATCTTCATTAACACTCGTTTTACATAGCATGAACCGTTGAAAATCATCCAAATTTTGTGACGATGCATTGTTATCTATCATTCTAACATCCACATTATTATCCTCATCTTCGTCCTCCTCTTCTTCATCATCATCTAAATCTTCGTCAATATAAATTCCTTCACCCGTGCCTTCATCCGACGATAGTTGCGCGAATTCATTATGGTCAGTGATCATAGTATCATTCAGATCATCATGTCCATCGTCTCCCTCGCCTGCACGTTTAGCACGTTTGCCCAGTCGTATACTGTTTGTTAATATGCGTGATATGGATGCTTTGCTTAAGACGCGAGTCGACGTACGTTGTAGACGCATTTGTATTTGACCAATAGTGATGAGCGGATGTCGACGTTTCATTTCTCGGATCATTTCGGCTTCTTCTTCCGTAATAAAACGAAGACGTGTTCCAGCCCGTTGCTTAGCTGAAACACGTCCTTCATCGATATATGTCCGGAGAATACTTCGAGCTAGATAATAAAAACAAAATACATTTCAATTAAATCCAATCCAACCATTCATCATGTCAGAAAAGAAAACAGGAAATCTCTGAAAACGAAAATAGGGGAAAAGTAAGAAAATCTAACCAGCATTCTTTTCACGTGAGCATAAAAAGCGTAAAAATATCCGAATGTCCCATTTGTCCCTGTTTGCATTTTCTCCAAATCATTCTATCTGATTTGCGCGAAATGAATAATATGTTTACCTTCAATATTTGTATTATCATGATATTATCAATACAGGTAAGTTTGACAAGTGCGTTTAAGCGAAGTGAGAGAGTCTAAGGGTTTTTTTGCTTTGATATGTCACAGTGGATGATTATGCCTTAGGTAAATACATTTTCGTTTGTGCAGTTTACCTGTCGATCGTTTGATATTGAGCTTCTTGGCCAATGCTATGAAATCTTCGCCTTTTTTGTATGTTTCAATCAATTGTCGCCGATCGGTGTCGCTGACTCGCACGTAGCGACCACGGCGTTGGTCAACTAACTGCTGTTGTTGTTGCTGCTGCTGCATTTCCATAAGATTCATGTTTAATATCAATAACTCTTAGATGAGTACATACAAAACGCGAGAATCTGATTGAAAAGAAATGATTTTCTGGAAAAGACAAAGAGAGAGAGAGAGAGAGAATGAATGAAGATCATAAATGTGAAACAGCTGTTTTCCACAGCTGGTGTATCCCGTCAGACTAACTCGGAATTTATGACAAAGAAAAAAACGTAGTGATAGTTATAGTCGTAGTGTATGAATGATCAATGAATGAAAGGAAAAGAATGTTCAAAAAGTAAGAAAGAATGAGAAGAAAAAACCTGACGCACATAATAGTATGTACAAAACAAATGAAATTTTATCTTCCATTGAAAGATTTTCCAATTAAATCTGCGATAAAGAAAAAGAAGAAAAAAAAAGAAATGTTTCATTTCGTTTAACCTTTTGGATGCTTAGGAGAATATGAAATGTGTGTAGGCCAAGAAAAAGAACACGAAAGATAGCATTGTTGAGAGTGTCTTAACTCTAACATATTCATTCTGTTTCTTCGTTTGCTTGTCTCTGTCTACATTGAAACTTTCGTTGCTCGAAAATTTACATCGTGCTCTTTCTTTTCTGCATTTTTTCCTCTTCTCCTCTAATATTTACTTTATACTTTCGTTCAATGAATATATATATAGACGAGATTCATCGATGTAGTAAAAAATTCATTTTTCCCGTTTGTTCTCTTTCTTCTCAATTTCATTCGCCGTACCACGTTTAGAACAGAAGAGGAATTTTCGTCTCTACCTATACGATAGAATAATAGGCTTCTCATTTTCTCCTCTCTCCCTGTCTGTCCCTTTCTTTTCGACACGTAGATATATACTTTATATTTGAATTCAACACAATGATTACTTATAGAAAGAAAAATATCGAAGACAACTGAGGTATATGACCGGATAAAGAGAGAGAGAGAGAGAAAGAGTTTAACGGTGAAAAGTCTAATGGACACGATCTTAAGTAGAATAACAGCGAAAAGTGAAAAGAATGAAAAGAAAAATTTCTTCAGGTAGTTTTTCATCATTCTTAGAATTCTCCGATTAATTCTGAATTGTCCATTCGAAATAAACGTTTTCGCATTTCACCTATCGGTGAGTAAAAACGAAGCGTCAACTTATTTTGCACCTACCAGATAAACAAGTGAACTAGTACGAATAATACCCTGAAATGAATGTTTCATTGTCATTTCGTCGTCTCTTTGTGCATTTAAATGTATACCTCTTACTTTTTCTCATTCTACGAATATAAGTGAGAAAAATACTTCTATATATATATATATATAAATGTATATATGTATATATTGTGAAGTGAAAGAAAAGAGAATAGGAATCTCAAAGACGGAACACCATACATTCGTTTTCTCGTTCTTTCGTTTGCTTAAACGCATGAAAAAGAAGAACAAGAACACACAAATACACGGAGAAAAAAATAAAGGCTACGGTGAAACACTTCTAGCCATCATTACTCGACTAACAAACGGCTGTGCGTCGGCGAGAAAAAACGAAATAAAAGAGAACGTGAAATTGACGACGAAAATACTTGCTCACTGACGTGCCTATTTACCGAAGAGCAGATATAACCAAGGTGTTTTCTTTTTTCCTTGTTCCTCTTTTCATAGAACGTATATGCAAGCTAAATAGAAAGCCTATTTGCCTTATATTTCAGTCGTACTCGTTTTTCATACTTTCTGTTTTCACTCATACTCGACATCGATTCATCATTATTACAAATTCGGAATATTCGTTCGTGTTGTCGTGTCTGTCTTCTGTTTTTTTCTTTCCTATCAGTGATGATTTGTAGTTGAGTAAATGTTAGCATTTTCACTCTGATCAATTACAATGATGATGCTGATAAAGAAATAGCCCTCCGGAAAGTGAGGGAAAGAAGAAGACATGTTCTTGTGAAAACGAATTTTCGATGAATGTCACATTTTTAGAATGGCAACTATACGATTATTCATGAAGGAAAGCCGAATCAACTTTCTTTCCTCGCGATACAAAACGTTCAATAGAACGAACTCGAATTACAATAATTTAAATGAAACAGAACAAGTGTCCTGTTTAATCGAGTGGGATCGTATATCACACTCTTTGAAGTACAATATTGTTTGCACTTTTGTCTCTCCCGCTATAGATAGAGAGATAATAATGTGGATAGAAGAGAATGTCTAATTAAATTTCATATGCTAAGTCTGCTAATGATTTGAATAGGAACGAAATCAATCGTTTGATTGCTGAATAGCTTCAATATAGTGAGAGCATCTCAAGAAATTATTTGCTTTTCTGTTCTTCCGATATATGCATGAAAAGCGAATATTTTCATCGCATTGTCTATGCGAAAATATCTAGAATGAAAGAAAAATGAAAAGTGCACTGTGCAAACATGATTCAAGTGTTTAGACATGTCGAAAAGAGAATCTGAAATATGGAAATTAGTGATTAGAGTAAAGAAAACATTCTTTTTCCAAAACAAACTCATCGTATCCAATCGAATACATCCACATATATATTCTTAAATCAATTGAATGGACTGGATATGAATATGTGATTCGTCATTTTTCTTTTTGTTTGCTCGAATTGCAATTAAAGAATACAGAAAGTAAATTTGTTCGAGAGAATTGTCTACTTGATCACAATAATAGAGATTCGTTCACTAAAATGATTACTTTACGATAATTTGAAATCAATAACAATTAACTGACACCATACAGTTCTATCGTCAGATAAAATATCTGCAACATCTATTCTGTCATGTTTTCTACTACTAATTGAAACAATTTATACTTTAATCAAACCGTTACGCATTCCGTGATATCATTGTCGAGTGATTCTACTATTTAGACAGACTCTTCGTACAGTGGAAAATCTGCTGTGCACTCTCGTTATGTACTTCGGAGTACCGTGCCTTCGTTGGCTTCGCCAATTAGCAACTGACTTGTTTGCTATATTATTTCAATGACATGTCGTCTTTTCGATCATTGAGGACATAATTCATTTCACCTAGGAGTGAATGATTTCTTTGAAAATTGAATTTTGTTCTGATTTCTTAACAAACATATGAATAATTATTGAGATATAACTGCAAAATCATGCGATGATATCGAAATGTATAATCTAATAAAACATCGAGCAGTTCTTTTGAAGAACGCTTGCAAATGTTCGGCATCGATGACGATATTTTCAATCTAAAATCAAATTCGTTAAGTATTTTCTTTATTGTAATGCGTATTTGATTTGTTTGTCTTCGTAACTATGCATAAAAGTTTCTTTTACCAGTGTCTGTCGATGTGCATATCGCTGCCTTCATTTTCATTCGTTGACGTTAATGATTATAACATTGCATTTTGTAGTTAAAATACAATAATAAAAACGATCGTATCATGGAAACAGAAAGCCTATTGACCTCATTCATTTTCCTCAGAGACATTCTACGACATACTTGAAGAAAGAAAATTACCGTTTTTCTACTGTTCTCTAGATTTTTTTCTATTTCATTCTGAAAAACAAAAGTTTCTTGACGATGTTTTGTTGTTGATGTGAAAAGAAAGCGTCAGTCGTATTTCTCGTCGTATATTCAAACAGTATGAAAGCAATAGATATAAAGGGAATCTCTTTCTCTCGAGAATGAAAACAAACACATACAATTATTCGATAAATCCACAGTCCACACGTGGCGTTACATGGCTAAGATCCATTCTGTCATCACGAATTGCGACATCGCCACCTGCTGGCCTATAATCCATGTTCATCATTGAGCCTATTTTCGATTCCGCATTCCATTGAACTCGTTCTGATCTTATAGCAACACGCGATGGATTTACAGTCCAGTTTGCGTTCGACAAAGAGTCTACTTTAGGTTGTGCATGCCACCGTAAGGGTTCATCGCGTATGGAGACTTGTCCACCACTTGGTCGATAATCAACATTGTCTAAAGAGCCAACTTTTGACTGTGCTTGCCACGTCACAGGCTCATCACGTATCGAGATTTGTCCACCGCTAGGTCGATAGTCAATGTTCTCGAAAGATCGAATTTTCGATTGTGATTGCCAGGTCACAGGTTCGTCACGTATGGAGACCTGACCGCCGCTAGGTCGATAATCGATATTGTCAAATGACCGAATCTTCGACTGAGCTTGCCAGGTAACAGGTTCGTCACGTATGGAAACTTGTCCACCACTAGGTCGATAGTCAATGTTCTCGAAAGATCGAATTTTCGATTGTGCTTGCCACTTTAGGGGCTCATCACGTATCGAGATTTGACCACCGGTCGATCGATAATCGAGATTGTCTAGTGATCCAACTTTCGACGAGGCATTATAATGATGGCTAACGTCTTCGGAACGAATTTCAATATGATTACGTTTAGGTGACCACCAGAGTCTGCGAGACTAAACAAAATAGAGTAAAAATACTTTTGTTTTGTATAAATATCGAATTACTGAAGTACTACCTGTCGATGATTTTCACGAGAAGTTTTCTTTTTATGGCGAGGAGTTACTGCTTCATTCGGCAAGGTAGTTTCGCCGTTTGCTGGCATTTTAATTGTAGTTGTTGTAGTCATTGTTTTCGGAACGTACTGTTTTTTGTTCGAAACTGGTGGAGAAGATATATCATTGTTTAACTGAAAACCGTACGTCGATGGTTGTCCTCTCTTTTGATAGTGCCGAAATACTGCATTGGATGGATGTGTGAGAGGTGGTAAATGTTCATATTCTAGTGAGCTGGATGATTTATCAGATAGAGGTGTTCCTCTTCGATGTGTTTGATGTTTTAGAAACGTCGGGCCTGTGGATGACGCAACAACAACAGCCGAATTTGGCTGCTCTTGAAGCGCTCTATTTATCAACTGACGTGTTTGCTGCGCCGTTTTGATGTTTAGTTGCACTGACGAATGGCGAAGAAAGACTTCTAATAGCAGACACCGTTGTCGAATTCGTGATGAACGATAATGCCATCAAACAGAACGGTTGCTGTTGCTGCTACTGTTGCTGTTGTTGTTTACATAGGTAAAAAGGCAGTCAACGCGATGTTGTTATTGTTAAGTGTAAGTAAAACACGAAGAGAGAAAGTGCGAGAATGAAGCAGAAAAAAAGCGGAATCAAGCACGAGCAATTGAAGAGGAGAAAAAAAGTGAAGGAGAAATAGATTTCATTTCAATTAACTTCAAGAAAATTGTAATTCAACATGATCACTGCTTTTAGAAGAGAAAAATCAACTATATAACCTTCTCCAATGTTGATCTTTCTGCTATTAATCACAATAGGTAAAGTCGACAAGCTCCGATTCACGTTTTCGTACTCTTTTATGTATCAAGATTGGGAATTTCATGAATGAACAAGCGAATCGATGAATTCGCGTGAGCAATTATGATGATCGGCTGATTTTATTTTTAAAATATTGGATAATTGATAAATATCGTTCGATCCGATGAGAACAGAAACATATGTGCATATGTATATGACATGAAAATCGTGATTATAAGATGAGAAAAAGAAACTGGCTCTTATTCCATGCTAGCACAATGAGTCGAATTCATATCTTATTATTCTTGAATATCATTCTTCCCACGGTAGCCGTCACATTGCAAGACCAGATTGATCAACTATCCAAAGCTGATCAGGAAAGTATTGTTCACGCTCTCCTCCCATCCTCGTCATCGAGAAATGCTATAGCAACAGTTGATGTCAATTGGTGTTGTCGAATTGATCCCGGTGTTGAGGCTACATCACACACGCGACAAACAACCTATTATGTATGTAAATAAGTTCAATAATTGAATTAGCATTGTTCCTTTCTTTTTTTTTCTTTTACAGGTAGTCAAACACGGACGTCATAAATGCGGCTATGACGGATGTGGTTTTCTCGGATGGAGCCGTTGTACACGTTGGTGCGATGAAACATGGACAGAAGTGCAACATGGCGTCGAAACTTATTTAGTTTACAAGCAACGTGTTTGTCCTCAAGATCAATTAACATGTTGTGCACAACATATCTATGTTCTTGGCCATTGTTTTTCCTATCAAGAAATCTATAATAGTCAGCAACTATTGGCACAATTAAACGAATTGGGAATTGTTATTCCCGGGCCTTCTGTGGGTTAACAAAGAAAAGGAGAATAAAACAGCGAGAAAAGCAGAATTATGAACGCTTTGTGTGTCGCATTTATTTCATTGTACATAATGTCAAAGAGAGAAGGATTAATGTGTAGGAGAGAGATAACGATTGTACAGAGTTTGTCACAAACGCCGATAGAATTCGAATCGGCTGAAATGAATAAGGAACATAGGCTACTTGAGGAATAATAATTGTTAAATTCAATTGAATCAATACATCTTGAATGACGATCGGTTGACGATGAACTTCATATCCACGAAAAAAGACCTGCAAGAGAAACGAAGTGTTATTCAGTTCATGTCGATAGTGTTTTTACTTTGAGTGTATATACTCCAGGTAATAAGATTCTCCAGAATTCTCCTAATGGAGTAACATTAATAACGGGTCGCCGATCATCAATCATAATTTGTGTAAATGGAATCGGTTGAGAATATTCGTTAAGTATCAAGCCTTTCACTCCTGAGAAAAAGGAACGTTTTTCTTCGATTAGAAAAGTGTTATTTATCATCAACCTCGTTGTGCTTGAAACAGAAGTTCGATCATTGCATCGCGATTCACATTCCAATAAGGCATCAGCAGATCTTCAGTCGGATATTTACAACACGAGATTTCCATAGTCATTTCGATTGTACCATAATTCAAGTAACCGTAATCTTGCATGCTACCGATAATTTCATACCAATCAGCACCATGGACAGCTGTGCCAACTTCGTCATTTTTTATGTCACAAAATCGACTCATTTCACCAATTCGTGTCATGTAAGACTTTGCTAAGACTTGATACACATCATCGTCCGAACTGATTGATTGTTTTCCGATGTCTAAACATGCGAGATAATGAAGTGTTTTTATTTCTTTCACAATAAACCAATTGCTCCTTTACAATAGCGATCGTAAGGTATATTGATCACGAATGCACCGCCATGAAAGTTAGCTGACAGAACGAATGGAACTGCGCCGATCCAAGACATAATTGCTTCCGTTTCTAAAGCACGAATTGGTGATGCAAGTTGAGTGCCAAAATAATCCGGAAAATTTCGATTCAAATCAATATTATTCAGTGTATATCTGAAAGCATAAAATTTTTCTCGACAAAGGGTGCTTCTCGATCTAGCTTACCTTCCATTTGTTGTTGAACAATCGCCGTAGCGTGATAATTCTAAACCATCTGGATTCATTGTCGGCATGATCCATATCCGTGAACGATTAATTAATTCAACGACTTGATTATCATTCGATGTCAACAAATACTCAATTAACGATAACAACAACTCTAAACCAACTACCTCATTCCCATGCATATTGCCGATATACTTCACTTCTGGACGTAATAACACGTGTCGATCAGGAGCATAAGCACTTATTGCTATGGCCCATAATGATCGTCCTTAGTAAAGCAAAACCATAAAATCTACGGCAAATCAAAGTAGAAGACTTTCTCACCTCCTTCTGTTTTTCCTATATCAAACACGGTTGCTTTCATTGGATAAATAGCCGCGATGTTGTGAAGAAAATTAGTTATTTGTGAATAATTATGATATCGAAAATCGTACGCATCAGTACGGTTCAAGACGACACACAGCATCCAAATCAATAAGAACTTAACTGGCATCTTTTTCTATCTAGTGAAGTTGATGGAATTGCTTTCTACGGTGACAAATTGATGTCGGCTTGTTACTGAACGTTCATCGCATGCAATGAGTTCACTTACGTTTGACCGATTCAGTGACAAGAAGATTGCATATTATCCTGTCATCACAGTTATCCCACAGAGAAGAGAGAGAAAAAGAAAGAAAAATATACATCGATTAAGTCAATGTCAGAGGTTACATTCTTTATTGGTTCACTGGATTGCATGTCATTTTTTCCTTCTATTTGCTTGAGATAGAGATGAAAAAAGGACAAATATATTGTGCGAACTGATATAATTGACAGGAGTGTGGAAAGAATGAGAGTGTATCGATCGTTTTAATGGTTGTTTATGGCTGTAGGAACAGAAGTCGAGTTTTTTTTTCGAAAAGAACGTGCAAAGCAAAATGTCGTTGGACGGATCATTTCGAATGACAGATGTACTCGATCAAAAACAGATGTTAGATTATTCCTGGAAGTATTATTCGTAACCTTGGCACAAGCACGACACTACATGAGAATTGATCTTTTTTGTGCGAAAAACCGACACATATTTTTAGATTTTTGTGATCTGCTCTCCTGTGTTACGAAATTTTGTTGACCAACAATAATCAGTGAAATTAGAAATAAATCTTTTATCTTCAATATACATGGACTGTATCTACCCAAATAATATTTTGAGTTTTATCAGATAAAACAACAGGGGTGTGCGAAAGGAATACTCTTATCAGACTTCTCCACCGAGCGCTGTTTATAGTTTCTAGAATTTAACGTCAACACGACATTCATTATTTAGTAAAACATAAATAAAGTCTTCATTTATGGCCGTTCGAGAGATTTTTCTCCTATTGGCTTTGTGCATTAGTTCAAGTAAGATAAAGTTTGTTTAACAGTAAAAAACAATAGAGTGACTTTGACTATCGGAGGTTATGGAATACTTCGATTCGCTAATTATTTCCAAGACAATATGGTTCTACAGCGTGCACCACAACGTGCCGTTGTTTGGGGTTATGGTGACGCAAAAGCTCGTACGACATTAACATTAAATAAGAAAGTATATCATACAATAAGTCGTGATGAGCCAGCCAATAAACTTGGTGAGAGCATTTGGTCAGTGACACTCGATGCGGAAACTGATGAAGGACCATTCGAAGTAATTGTGACACAACCCGTCGCTAATGGTTCTTTAGCAACCATATCCTTGAATAATGTTCTCTATGGTGACGTATGGCTATGTTCAGGACAGTCTAATATGCAAATGACTGTCATTGATATATTTAATGCTTCGACCGAAATTGCCAATGCAGCGAATTACCCGAAAATTCGTGTGTTTACGGCTGCATTACGAGAATCGTCGTCACCTGTGGAGGAACTCCTTGGTATCGTACAACGATGGTCTGTGGCTTCGCCGAGTAGCATTGGTGGCCCATCGTATCAGTACACATCCGCTGTTTGTTGGCTCTACGGACGTATGATACATGTTGCATTAAATAATAGGCCAATTGGTCTTATTGCCACATCGTGGGGAGGTACTCCTATCGAATTTTGGATGCCACCACCGGCTTTACAGGAATGCGGTATTAGAAAGTTTGTATCTTGAGTAGAGAAGTCAAAATTTAGCTTAATCTATCTTCGTATTCAACAGGAAGAAGAGAATTCCATTTGAATCCTATGGTCAACCGAATTTTCAACGACTGACTGTAACTAATTCAGAATTGTACAATTCAATGATCTATCCATTCACAAGAATGGTTATTACTGGAGCTATTTGGTACCAAGGTAAAATTTGACTAAAGAACTTTTCTGACGTGAATTGAATTTTGAATAGGCGAATCAAATGCATACAAAAATCGTGACAAATACTCATGTATGTTCTCGAAAATGATACAATACTGGCGACAAGTATGGAATACACGTACAAATGGTATCACCGATCTGAACTTCCCCTTTGGATTCGTCCAAGTACGTCGCATAGAAAGTTTTTCTTTTTGAACTCAAGAAAACTGAGAAATCATTTACAGTTATCTACAAATGAAAGAAGTGGTAATGTTGTTGGCGGCTTTCCATGGATTCGATGGTATCAAACATTCGGTGTTGGTCATGTACCAAATAATGTTATTCCAAACGTGTTCATGGCAGCAGCAATGGATCTTCGAGACGATGATGGGAAGTAAGCGTATCGTAGAAAGACATCGCAATAAGATTACATTGTACGCATTTTAGTATTCATCCACGCACGAAAGAAGATGTTGGCTACCGTTTATCACGTGCTGGTCTTGCTGTTTTCTATAAGCAAAATGTCGAATATCTGGGACCAATTATCTCGAATGCTGTTGTAACCAGTGGTAGTACGAATATCGATATAACTTACACGAGTGTCACAGGCATTGAACTACGTAATGGAAATGGATTCGAAGTAAAGAGAAAATGAAAAACTTCGTTTTTGTCTTTTCAATACCGACTGTGAGTATTTCTTAGGTGTGCTGTCGAGGAGCAGCAAATTGTGCGAATGATAATCAATGGTTTGCAGCACCAGCTTCCCTCAAGGGTGGTTTGACAATCACTTTAACAGTTCCAAATTCGTGTGTTTCGCAAACAATCTATGGTTTTCGTTATCTTTGGCGAGAAACGCCTTGTCTATTCAAACAAGCAGCGGTGTACAGTGCAACAGATTCCAATCTCCCATCTCCGCCATATTTGAAAATCTTTTGAATTCTTCGAACTTTTTCTTTATTATAAAACAAGAACAAAAAATAGAATGATAACAAGATAGAGAAAACCAATGTATAATATTCATTTATTGATAACATTTAAACCGTTTCGTATCGCTCTTTGTAATGGGGAACTATTTTCGTATGGAGAAAATTCTAAATCAATTGCTGATGAACGTACAATCAATGATGATTTTTTCTCATTCGTATTACCCTAGATCGATGTATTATGCAAAGAGAATCATGAATTACAAACTAGATTAGTGTTGTCTTACACTATGAGTATCACTGAATTGATTGCTAATGTCTAACACCGTAGAAGAAAATATAGGAATAATCGTAGGAAAAGCATGATCGATTTACTTTTTAGTAACAAACTTTCATCAAATTCTTGTCCATAGTCATCCTCGTCTTCGAATCCTGAGTTCTGATCCATTTCCTCATTTTGGTCATCTGAACAAACACAAGCAAATACAAATTTTACGAATATACTTCACATACATGACGTGGCACTGAAATCAAGTGTATCAGGAACATTAAAGCAAGCTCGAGGCGGTAATTGTGCGTTTTGTTTATGTGCAACATTTTTCACAGGATCTAAAAATTTCATATTCGCATATTAGTTCATACGTTTCATAAAAATCATCATACCAGAAGGAACCGGTGCGATAGTACTTGGCGCTGTAGAGTATGAATGAATGAACTGTTGTTGTCGACTCAAATAATACGTTAATGGATAACGTGTTTTAAGCAATTTATCCAAAACTGATTCTTCAGTGGATTGAGCCATCTTAGACTTTGTGTGTTTGATGAAAAGGTATGTGCGTATATACATATATATATATATAACAAAACAGAGAGCACATTGAAGAATAGATGATGTCGCCACACACTTTTAACTGAAATGAACTATCGATTGGTCAAGGTGATTTCTCACATTGTTTAGCGGGTTCTTTGTCTTTCCATCTGCATCGTGAATTCAATTCTTTTCTTCGTTTTCATCTTTCTCTCTCGAGATCTGAATTGACTACAATAATGAGTACAAGTCTTCGTCAAAAACTAGTAAGTTGTTCGTTCTATTGCATGTTTTCACGTTCATCAAAAATTGGATGTTGCAGAAAGATTTAAATAAGCAAAAAGAAGAATTTGATCATCAGGATCAAAATGTTGATCTGCACAAATCAACAACCACAGCGCCGGTTCAAGCGAAAAAAACTCCTGTTAAACAACAAATACTGCACCCAAAATCATTGAATATCAATAATCCGAACGCGACTCTAACTACTGAAGAATTTCATCGTCGCGAACAAGGTTTGAATCTTAGAACTTCTTCCGGTGTTGAAAATCAGCATTGATTTCTTTTGCTTAGAATTCAATGACGACATGCAACGCGAGTGCGGCCAAAATGCTGAATGGAAAAAGATTCAACAGAACACATTCACACGATGGGCGAACGAACGTTTGAAACTAGTTCATCGACATATTGATAACTTACAAGCTGACCTCAGCGACGGACTAAATCTGATCGCTTTAATCGAGATTTTAGTCAAGAAAAAACTACCACGATATAACCAACGTCCACAATTTCGTTCACAAAAATTAGAAAATGTCTCTGTTGTACTTGACTATCTTGAAAACGTGGAAAAACGACGTTTAGTTAACATCGATGCATCGGATATCGTCGATGGAAAAATCAAGTTAATTCTCGGACTTCTGTGGACATTAATTTTACACTATTCAATTAGTTTACCTGCTTGGGAGTTGCCGAATGAGAGAAGAGAAACAATTCAAAATGTCAAACCAAAACAAAAACTAATGACTTGGCTACAAGCGAAACTATCATCACAACTTAATATTGTTAATTTCACTTCTGATTGGAATGATGGACGAGCAATTGGAGCTGTACTTAATTCATGTTATCCAGGTAAAGGAAATTTTCCTGCATTTTGATGCAAATAATGTTTCGTTGATTAGGATTGTTTCCGAATTGGGCGGATCGGGACCCAAAGAATGCCTTGGAAAATGCGAAAGAGGCAATGGATTTAGCTGAACAATGGCTTGGCATTCCACAGGTAACGAAAGAGCATTATGTTCGAATGTGAATGAAGTTTATCATGACATTTCTAGTTAATTCAACCACATGAAATGATCAACCCACAAGTTGATGAACAATCGATGATGACATATTTGTCCCAATATCCCAATGCTAAACTAAAACCTGGTGCACCTGTAAAGCCAAAAAACCACGCTAATCAAGTTCACTGTTATGGCCTAGGTAAGAAATTTCAGAAGTTCCTTTCTCTCACATTGAAATGTACTTGACTCTATCGATTTAGGTCTTGAGCAAACGGGACATCTTGTTGATAAGCCAGTTATTTTTCATATTGAGACTTGTGCAGCTGGTTTAGGTAAAGTTGATGTGATTATTGTTAATCCAAATGGACAAACCGAAGAAGTAAGCAGTGCCGTTGACAAATATAAAGAATTTGAAGTTTATCTCTATGATTATTTAGTGCACGATCGAATTTCGCGAAGATACAAACCGAACGTACGATTGTGTTTTCTATCCGAGTTTTCAAGGAGAATATAAAGTAAATAGACGAAAGAATTTTCCATTGAATTCTTACTTCTTGTTGTTTTCTCAACAGATCATCATCACATTTAATGACCAAGAAGTACCACATTCACCTTTTCTAATAAACGTTCATGGAACGGAAGCGGTTCCTGAAATTCGAATCGACCATGATGATGATGCTGATGAGGTTGATTCGCCAGGCAACGAAGTCACAAGTAAGTCAATTTGCTGTTTTTTTTCTCAAGCGAAATTTCTTCTCTCCAGCTCCCGACAACGAACAACCGGTCTATGAGAATATCATTCGTGAACAACGAGATTCTACTGAAATCAAGGTTACAAATTTGGACGAAGAGAACGGCGATGTTATTTTACGAGAAGACCATATTTACTACGCTTACGTAAGATAAAATTCATCTTTTTTTGCAATAGCCATTCTTCAATATCGATTTAGCAAACAAATATTGCATCTATACAAGATCATCAACTTCGTCGACAGATTTCTACACGTTCTATATCAGATCCAACATTGAATAAGCACACATTTTTCTCTCCGATAAAACCACCGCGAACTTATTGTCATGACGAAGATGAAGACGAATTGGAAAGTCAATCACCACTTGTTTATAGTTTAACCGACTATCGTCTGAAGCAAAAACGTCCTGATGGATGTGACCTTTCTTTGCCCACTCAATCGAATGCAATTGTAACAAGTTCGACAACACTGAATTCAACCAATTCCTTGTCAAATGATGACACTACACACGAAAATAAACGCCTAACATCAAAATGGTTGATTATCGATGAAATCAACGTGAGAAAAGAAAAGAAAAAAGGTTTTGATTTATTCTACGTAAAACATCTTTTGTTTTTAGCGTTTGACTGATCTATCGAAAAGAGAAACATCAACGTTAACTCAAACGTCGCATGCGCTAAAGTGTTGCTCGAATGATCCACATGCCGCTCTCTCCGATAAGAAAATCGAATGTGAACGTGTTATTTTCATGGCTCGTCAGAAACTAACATCATACAATAGTGAAATCAAACACTTGGAAAATCTCGATCCGGATAGTGAATACTATTCATCAGATATTTCGCATAGTACATTGATTTTACAAGATATTCGTCTCTCAATCAAAGAAGATTATCTACGATCGTTACGAAAAGGAAAAGGTTTGTAATTCATCAATGAAACATTCAAGAGTGACCTTTTCTTGTTTAGAAACGAAGTTTTACTTTTTTATGTGCGCTGTTCATTATCGATCACAAACACTTTTTTCACACATGGTTTCATCATTTGATACCTTGCAAACCAATGGACAAGTGATCTTTTCCAATCGGATGATTATCCGAGAAGTGGAGAGCAACTTTGCAGCTACGATCGGTGTTTATTGCATGGTGAGTGAAGTTTTCCAATTTCTACGTGCTTGTAATCTCATTTCAATTGTTTCTTTTGTCATTAAGGAAATCACAATGAAACATCCAATCACTGGACTTGACCATTCACCCGTTGTTTGCCCGCATCATCACGTTTCATCATCAGCGAACACCAGTCAATGTATGAAATGTGATAAACAACGATTGAATTCTACCGGTATGAAATGCAAAACTGTTTCTAAAGAACTTTGCGTTCACTAGAATGTCTCGATAATCTCTAGTATCAATACCTGGTCAACACTCGAAAACGAACACAATGATTCGTGTGAGCAACTTCTTTCAAGTCGATGCTATTACTATTCGTAAAGAAGATCTTAAAACACAGGAGTTCCTTCTTTCGGTAAATGTTGTCTCTCTCTCTCTCTTCGTCAAAGATTGATCGTTTTATCCTCATAGATTTCATCGGCGTCAATTCCATTGAAACATAAACTGCATGTAATATTACAACGTCTATCCGAATTGAAAATTCGTAAGGCTGGCTACCTAGTACGTATTTCTATTTCACGCAAGACTATTCGATACATTTCCATTTCTCTATTTAGACAATCTATTGTGATATCAGTGGATCTGGTGTGTGGATTCGTCGATGGTTCACCTTAACTAACGAGCAAAATCTTCGCTATTGGCCATCACCCGAAGACGAAGAAAACAATATAGTAAGTCATAAGTCAACGATTCAATTATTCGACTTTTGTTTCGTTTTTCAGCCGCCAGCAGGTGAAATCGATCTACACCATTGTATTGATCAAACTGTAAGTGTCTTACAACGAGAAACATGTGCACGACCACATACATTTGAACTACGTATTGCTGTTCCATTGAAAAAATCGAACGAATACGGACAGAATGAAGATCATCCAAGTAGTTCAATCATTGCCCAACCATTTGGTAAACGTACTTTGTATCGGTATTGGTTAAGTGCTGATTCACGAGAAGACCGTAATGATTGGTGCAACATACTTAATCAAATCTTAGGCGATTTACGCGAATGGGAAGTGAATACTTAAGAGAAACTGATCTGCATATTTCTTCTTTGTTGTAAATAGAAACACTCTTTTTACGGATCAGTATTTCACTCATGGTTATTTTCTTTTTATCCTTATCTATATCTATTAACATATGTGCAAATCCAACGTTCGCGTGTGTTTTGTCATGTTTATCTACATCGATATATATATATCTCGATCTGTACAGCGACGACATGTATTTTTTTTCGTCTCTTCTATTTGTGTTGTTATCTATATTAGGAAACTGTTTATATGTTGTAGAGAAAAAAAAGCGGAAAACATTCGACGATTTGATGAAATTTCGTAATTAAAATACATAGGTTTTTACATGTTTGAAAGGAACGAGAAAACCGTATTGAATCATAGAAGAAAACATTTGCTAAACCGCATCTTTATTTACGAATGTTCTCATCACAGTACAAAAATAGTGTACGTTTTTTTATAATTTAATTTATGAAAATTCACGCCATCTTCTGTGGAAACAGCTAAGACATGTGTGCCGAATAAAGTACTTCTGTATGGAATTGTATTATATGATATTGTTGAATTAACGTTACCTGTTTTTGTTATATGTAATAAACGTCCTGATTCGAAGTCACTGATCAGCCAGTCTTCTCCGATGAATGGACAACAATGCAGTGGTCGAGTAGGACTCCATGTGATATCGAGAATGAACGACCAGATGGGTCTTAACGTTTCTGCTGATCGTAAATCCATTCGTGTTGTATTCTCGGAATGGTTTTTGATTATCACGGCAAGGTTTTCTTTCTCGTATCGAAGAGTATCGATAATTTCATCTGATTTGCATATATTCGATTGCCATTGTTGATCGAATTTCTTCGTTGATGCGAGACTAACTTTCATAATGGACGAGTGCGATTCGTTCGTTGAGAGAAAAAGACATTTCTCCGAACATGTACACGATAACCATTTGCGTTTTTCAAGAGCTTTTATTTTTTCAGTTGACATATCGCTTTCACTGAGAAGAAAAACATTTTTTGCTGTAGTTAAAACAAAACATTTCAATGTTGTTGACCAGCACACATCGAAAATCTTTTCATTCCGCCACGGAACTTGTTTGTAGATTAGTAAGTCTTCATTCACAAAGCATAGATTAGGTGTTTGATGCATCAAAAGTATGCGATCATTACTAGCTAATATACGATAACTCCCTTCAGGTTGATGAATAGTCCGATAAGTCGGCGAAAGAATCGATAAGTTATAGACTTCTTCGTTTATCCCCCGGATATAAATCGAATTCGCATCTACTGCTAATGGTCGGATTTGAATATCAATAAAATTCTCATGCAGATTTTTCACTTGTCTTTCTAAATAATCGACCATCGTTGATAATTCGTAGATATCAGTACGGTTCATCTGTTGGTCGTGAATTAGTTTATTAACTTTGTTGTGAACGTGATTGATTTCATTGCGTTCTTCATTGACTTTGTCTTTCAACAATCGTTCAACTTCTTGGTATTTTTGTTCGACATACTGATCGATCTTCCGATGAGAATCCGCTCGCCAGTGCTCAAGTTGTTGTCGATAAGTGTCGCTGACAGTCGCGATATCAATCGATTTCAGATGAGCATCTAATGATTGAATCGTGTCAACAAATGGATTTAGTCGACTGTTGAGATAGTTATTATGTTCATTCAAATGAACGACACAGATGTTTTGTTGACAGCAATGACATAGAGCACATGCTGTACGATCACATGCATGGGTAGCGCATGGTTGAGACATCGGCGAAAAACAACTAGCAGAATTGGAGACAGAACTGATGCAGACGAAAGAATTCGTCGTTTTATGATGGCAAATTGTGAAACAATCTCATTTTTTTGAAGGATACCAACGATTACCTTGATATTTGCCCGACAAAATCGGAGACTTTCCTTTTTAATTTATGATTTAACGAAAGATAATCACAACTTTGTCAATATTGATTTTGCCTGATGAGCTTGATATACTTTAATCGGCTCATAAAACATCAAATACATCTAATTTCTCACATACATTGATCGATATCTCTAGTAAGTTCGTTGACAAACGAATTCCTACTCATTCGATAGTTCGCGACGAAGAACAGTGTGAGTAATCTAATGCGTTTTCACGTTTAGTCAAGTCTGACAAGTTCGATGCGTAGGAACAGAATGCTGTCGCTCGATCGATTGCATATGCGTTGAATGATTCATCTATCGAAAGGTCACGTCAAAGCATAAATGTATGCCAATCAAAACGCGCTGCAAGACCATTCACGTTATTTAATTAGCTACAAGTACCTTTATTTATTTATTTCGACCATGCTGACATAATCTATAGCGAACGATCACGTGCAAACAAATATTATTCATATAGAACAGGAAGACATTCTCACGAATCAATACATCAAAGTAGGCCCGAACATCTATTAGTAATAAAGCGTCGTCGTCGTTTTGCTTATCTAGGTGCCTTTATCACGTCTTTTTATTAACAAAAAATATTATTTACATGATTTTGATCATCATATTTCAAAGGAACGAGACTACCCACTAATCTTTGCAACAAAGAATAACGAAATACGGAATAAATTTAAAACCATTCATATTCATCACTGATTGCATCGTAAAAAATTTCTTCTCCATTATCGACATCAGCACACTTTCTCCTCCATCGTTGTCTTACCGCACGAACAATGTGACGTGTTCGTGCGTGTAAGGTATAACAAGCACCATTGGACGAGTAGTAATGAAATAAGAAACACGAAAATGATCGCACTACATTTGCAAATTGGCCATTTGAAAATGGTTGAAATAACAAGGTTAATAACTGAAATAGTCGGTGAATACTGGAGATTAGAATCATTAGACGACTGACAATTAAGTGGATGGCTGATAGGATCGATCTTAACATTTGAATCCACCCATGAATAACGCGAATAATTTGAATGAGTTTTTCAATGAATAGAAAAATTTCCCGTGTGAATCGATCGATTTGAGCAAAGAGTCGAAAGATAAATGCGGCTGCTAGACATAGGGAATTATACGTTCGAGAAATATTTTTGACTAAATGGTGAGCACGAGATTTGCGCTTCAATGGTTCTTCATACGAATATGCATTGGCTTTTAGACGATGTTTACTAAAAACAAACAACAACAGGATTAATGTGCAGGAAAACAAAACTATTCAGCAAAGTGCTTACGAACTGAAACGGACAAGTAATGACGTACGGTGGAAGAGATTGTGCTGCTGCCGTCTTTTGGTCTTGGAGAAAATCATATGTTCTATACAGGTTAGTATTATGATAGGAGTGTATGGATATGAGTAATAGTTTTCAAGGCATATGTGTATCGCGCGACATATTTGCAACACACGATTAATAAAGGTAGAATAACCTGTAAACATCGACATACGTCATTAGGTTGCATCCTCCAACGCAGAGAAACGCGGGTGTGTGCATAGGATATGTGATGTTTGATGGGTTATATTTGAGTAGAAGATTCCTGTTATGTGTGTTGAAAACTATTGTAAGATTAAAATGTTTCTTCACTGATCGAATCAAATAACATGTGTGATTGGGTTCGGGTTTTTTTTCTTCTTTCTTCTTCTTCTAATCAAATATTTGAAAAGGAGACCAATGACACGAATACGAAAAAAGGCTCGTTGTTGCGTCTTTTTTGATGATTGTTCTTTCACGAGATGATTGTACTCATAATAACAGAATGAAAGAAGAAAAAAAACGACATATGGGATAACAGATAAACGAACGAGGTTAACATACAACTGAACTCATTGCTGATCTATAAAATATGTGACGACATAGGATAGTACAAAAGTGAGTCCCCTTGTTCTGTTGAAGTATACTTGATTGATGACATATCTTTAGTGCGGTTCGTATTGCATTGGGGGCAAGCGATTGAATATGCTGATTAAAACAGCAGTTCAGTAACGCTCCTGTAGCACAACTGGAAACTTCTTTAGCAATGAAGTGATTGGAATGAGTTAGTATAGACATTCGTCTGCAATTGATCTTTTATTGCTATACATAGTAACAACTATTACGAATTACTATGTGTCGTGTTCGAAGAAAAAACGAAACAATTTCAACACTATGGAAAAAGGACAACGAATCCTAGGGATGTTTGCTACTATTGAATTTCCAGGAGCTGTGTTTTGTGCATAGAAACATTTAACACGAGAGTTACGATTGACTTTACATTCTGATGTGATGAATTTCTACGCGCTCATTCTTCATTGTAATAACACAATTTTTTTAAGTTTATAATTGCACGAAATCTCATAATGTATTGGTAAAATAACGAGATTCTATAACACATGGCAAACAAAAAACGAAAGAATAGTATTTGTTCATGATATTAGTAATACTTATTCTACTGTCATTCTCTTAGATCGTAAGGCATCAGCGAAAACCGTGCGGCAGATGAATTGGATGGATGATATTCAATTGTTACCGGATAGTATTGACAAAAGTTAGAATAAAAACAATGAAATGATCTTATAAATGATCCGTTTACTGTTTGTAGAACTACTAGATGAATGCTCTGAACTGATTCAGAATTTTAGTGAGTGCGACTCAGTCGAATTTGTACCTTGCTATCCATTGAAATTTCGTATTAGTTGGGAATGAAAGATCATCACCATCGAAGCGTGTTAGGTCAAAATCAAAATCGACAAAACATTCCAGTGAGCCGCTCGCTTCTCCTCTAGAACTATGCTCGAGTATTGAATAACACTTCACCTAGTCACGAACAACAAAAAAGTTGCTAAAAAAGGTCCACAACAGAAGTCGTACCATCAACAATCAAAAACAACGAAATTAAAAAGCGCTTTACGAAAGAAAAATCTTCCGCCATCATTTCAGTACAGTTCAACGGCATTTACAAATGCTTACCCTTACCATACACCGTTCGTTTTCCACCTTAACAATAAAATTTTCAGAGAAAATATCAAAACTTTCCTTAGACCATTTCCATGTTATCATTCATACGGTCCAATCCAATGTCCGAAAAATAAATTACCTATGCCAAGAGATCTCTGGTATCGTATTGTTTATTCTCAACTCCTAGAACAACAATTAAGTAAACAGGCACGATTTACGGTGGACCATTGGCAATGAATTTCAACTCTTTTAGTGCCGTCTTTGAAAAGAAAACAAGAAGAAGGTAGTTTCGTGAATAGAGAAGGTTGCAAAAATACAGTCTACAGAAATTTTAGTTGAAAACAATAGATCGATTGATGATTCGTCAGTTTGGCATAGTATGCTACGAGATTTTTGTTGTTTACATTGTCGTTGGAAGGAAAATTTAGATGACAGATCGATCAGCAGTAGTCCACGACGACAGCAAACGATGAATGCAGCGTTTTCATCACCAGCCATAGCGACGAAAATGCTCATATTAGATGGTACTATTGATGAAGCATTTCATTAAGCTTACAACTTTCGATTCGTACGAATTTATTTTATGAAATAGACGTACAAACTCCTATCACAAAAGAAGAGTCGCTATTCGTAGCACCATCTAAATCTCGCAAATCTTATCTAAGTAAAACAGTTCTTTGTGAAGCTATGAAATGGTAGATTTTCATTTAGTCAATCAGCTGGAGTATGTTCCTGAAACTTTGCCATTGGAAAGCGAACATGATCCAAGCCAGTCAAGTAAAGCTTGTCAATATTCTAATAACTCATTTTTATTTAACGAATCCAAGATGTTTTACACTCGAAAATCGAAACGCAGAGAGAATGTATTTTTAAAAAAGTCACATCATTACAACATATTCCATTCTTTTGCAATCTATAGCTGAGAAAACTGTTCTGTCAACTCAATCTGCATACACCGAATTACCCACTCATCCAAGTATATCATTAGTTTTAAAACACCTGCTTAAATAATAGAATTTCGTTCATTTCTGCAAAGAGATTCTTCGTAGCTTGTCGACCTATGCTGCATTGGAACGTGAGATATAGCTCACATTTGCCATGCTCTACAAAAATTTCTCTGCATATAGAGATTCCATCCAATTCAAATCCTTCTGCGCCCTCCATCATTTTGCACGATCAACCAACTATTGAAGAATCACTTCGTAAACTGTCTCTTTCTCCTCGTTCTTTTGAATTCTAATCTGTTCGGTATACAGTAACGACGGCATCACACCCATCTCAAGACCTACCAAAGATTGTATCGATTGGGGACGTTGTGGAGCCTCCTTCCATTATATTCGATCATCCCATATACAATCAACTGGTTGGATGTATGTACAAAATTCTCAAACTAGACTGAAATTTTTCCTGTTTTTGATCAGATTATCAACTTCAAGACGTTCTTCAAGTTGAATTATTCAAACGACTGAATCGTCGATTGATACACATACGTCAAACATTGAAGAACATGTCATCCAACGATATCGAAATAAAACTAAAATACAAGCGTGATGGTATACACTGGTATAAATAATACTTTACTCATCTTAAAATTCTAGCATTAGCCAGAAAAAGACAAATTCCAGTGGAGTCCTTGACCAAGGATGAACGACTGGCTATGGCCGAACGTCAGTAGAACATTCTCAAGATTCGATTGAAGAAGAAACTTTTCCTTTTTCTTTTCTGTTTTTTTTTTCAAGTGGAATTGAATGTCTATGAATATGCTCAGGGTGAGTAAAGACTTCTCATAAAAAAAAGAGCCATATCTCACCAGGAAATTTTGCAGTACGCGATACTCCATCCATCCAAGGTATGCCGATGGAAATGATAAACGAATCTGAGATGCACCAGATATCATCAGTATCTCCAATTTCACCTGTGCGAAGGAGTGTTGTTTCAATTCAATCGTTCACTTCAACATTCCAAATAAGTGAATAGTACTTTCTCGCGTACCTAGGTGCAAAATGATCATTTTGAAGTTCAACCATCCGCCATTACTCAATCTGTAGCTCTCATTTCGACGACAGCAACTCAAATCAGTGATAAAACAGGTAAGTTCGACGAAATCAAATCTTCACCTATCTATTTCACGTAGAAACATTTCTTTCATGGGCGCACCCGCTTCTGTCTCACTTCATGAACAATCTATTTGAACATTCAACATCGTTACGTAAAATTCAAATACACAAACAGCGTGAGTGACCGTAGTCAACTCCAAACTCTTTATATTGAAAATGAAACATAGTGGCTCGACGATACGAACATATTTGTGCGAAAGCGAAAGAGTTCAACACAAAACAATTGCAAACACGTAAGATTGATGTATGATTATCTTCGTCAATCTAAACTTTTTCTTAATAGAAATCCACGCCAAATCGAAGGGTTCGTATTCAATGTTAACAATCAAAAGACAGATATCATATGCAATGATTTCAGCTTTAATACAACAAAAAACTATTGCGAAACCGACTGAAGATCAATGTCTACGAATGGCCGAATGTAAGTAACAGATATGAATACTTCTGAAGATAACCTAATCTGCTTTGTAGTGAAATTATGTCTGTTCGAGCTTGCACGAGGTACAGTTTTTCTCTTCGATTGTATTCTGATCTTTTTCTGTCGTTCTCTTCTAGAACAATCCGAGCGAAATCAATTAAACTTGGAATAAACTTTGTATTTCTTGTTGCATGTTGTTTCCTTTTCTGTTTATTAATGATCTTTTCTTGTTCTTATCTCGGATTTTTTTCTTCTTGTTTACAAAAACAAGTGAAAGAAAAGTTCTAAAAACAAACAAAAACAATCGGTTTCTTATGCTGTAGCAATAGCTGTTGATTGATCGCCTGGTACAGTTCTGATAATATCTGAATCACCTGGATCAGTTATAGCAAGAATTCCAACACGAAAGTATTTGCCGCAAGCTGTACCTAATTCAATGTTATTTCCGCCATAGTGATGTACACCAGTCTTGGCTAACATAGCATAGTATTCGATTTCACTCTTTCTACAGACCAAAAAGTTATCGAAAGATTTGGTTATGGAGGAAGAAGGTCATCTATTGTCTCACCTGATTTGTGGTGTGTTGCCTGAAACAAGGATCAACTTAGCTTGACCGTTGCGTAAAGCTTTCAATGTTTGACGATAACCGAGTACGTATTTACCAGATTTCATCACAAGTTGGAGACGTTGATTGATCGTCTCAGCTTGCTTTTTCTATAGATGAAGGTAAACGAAAAAAAGACAATAAACGGATGAAATCTCTTCGTTCGTAACATACTCCAGCGACTTTTTTTGGTGGTGCCATAATCTGAAAAAGATGAAAGATGTTAAATCATTGATTTTAAAAGTAAAAATGAGCTATAATAAACAAAAATCCATTGGAAATGGTATTATTCAGTCGCCATTATCGTTCGATTCATCATTCGAATAGGTTTGAGCCTCCATTTCAACCGACATTTCTCTCCGACAGTGAGAGCGCTACTGTCGCCGATGAGATTTCTCACTCGTTTGCTTGTTCTTCTCTTTCTATGTTACAATCAATAACATCATGTGTAGATGTTTTCTTTTGTTTTCTAATTATTATTTATAAATCGTTTTTTTCAGATGCGTTCGTCCAGTGGACCATTGAAGCTGTTCATTGGTAATATTGGCGATAACAATAAATCAGATTTGAGCCGAGTATTTAGTAAATATGGTGAAATTTCCACGATTTATGTCGATGAAAAGAAGAACTTTGCTTTCGTGGAATTTACTTCTGTGAGTGACGGCGAACGTGCTTTACACGATATCAACCACAAAACAGTGAATGGCTCACGACTTCGTGTGGAATATGCCAAATCGGATAAAGTCTCACGAGATGCTCGCCGACCAAATTCACGCGAACGTTCACCCACATCAACATTATATAATCATTTACAGGTTTGATACATCAGCAATTTGAAATGTTTATTCAAATGTTTCTTTTCTTCATATCAAAGGTAACCGCAAATCGTCTGCCACCAATAGATTCAATTCGTCAGAATTACTATCAAAATCATCCGCTTGCAATGATGCCCGCTTCAGCTATGTCTCGTGGTCGATCGTTGACGCCGCCATCGTTCAAACAGAATGCTCGTATTTCATCCATGTCCCATTTGCGATCTCAAGAATTCTATCCACCTTACTATCCACATCATCCATCTGTCTACACCGATCCAGCGTATTACCGAGCATATGCAGATCCATATTTGATACAGCGTTTGCCACCACCACCACCTGGTGCTTTTTTGCGTTCGACATCACCATCATCGTCTCGTGCTCATCGACATATGTATCCGTCAGCGGATTATGACCGTTATCCTTCAGTATCTTCGCATAAACGAGTGTTACGTCGAAGTCGGAGTCGTAGCCGACGCAGGTACATATTTCGAATCTTGTCCTCCTTGTCTTTTCTGTCATCGATGATAAACAAAAGCAATTGCTTTGCCGTTCTACTAATGTCATTTGATTTCCTCCTTCATCGTCCGTTGCGTCTTTATCAAAAGAGCATCTACTTCCAACGATCGACTAAACTTCCTCTCTTTTTCCAAAGACAGACAGCTATTCGATGACTTATGGAAAAAATAATCATTGAAAAGGTTGGTTTTTTCCAAGTGAAGTTTCTGTTTTAAAAAAAAAAAACTAACACTAAAATCGTTGCCGATCAGCACGATGATTTATTATAACGTTGCGTATCTTTAGAAATTCGCCAACACGAAAGGGTCGATCCAGTCGTGAAAGAAAACGCAAACGACGAACTTCCAGTTCATCTTCACCTAAACATCAACGCGATCGTGGCCCACAAACACCACCATCTACACATCGAACTAAAAGACGGTAAAGTCAATTTTTTCTTCAAATTTCTTAATTATTTATTCTTTTTTTTCATATGAAGATCTCGTTCTGATTCTAATACAGTTGCTTCAACATCCGAAAAAAAGTCACGCTCAACGTCTTCGTCATCTTCTGAAGATGACAAGCAATCAGATTCTAGACGGTATGTGTCTCTCCATGCCAAACTCACCTCTATCTTCTTCCTCTTAGGCCACAAAACAATGGTTCAGATCGCAAGCATTCAAAAAGAAAGACACGAGAATAAATCAATTTTTAAAATTAATAATATTACACTATTTGTTTACTTTGTTCGACTCTCTCTCTCTCTCTCTTTCCTTCTATACATGTATGTGTGCTTTTTTTCTCACTAAACATTCGTTATGTGATGCGAACATTTCTTACTATTGAGTTGGGTTTTTTACTAATTCAGTTGTTTTTTTGTTATATGTTGTGCGAGCACATATATCTCGTACTATTTCAACTATCTTTGATTGTGGTTAATGTTGATGTTTTTGCTCAAGAGAAAATAAATCAAACTATGAACACATTAATATACATGCGAAACAACTGTTCGAATTCAGATTTCGTAAAAAATATTTGAAGAGAAAAATTTTCATATTAGTCAGCTCAGAGAAATTTAAAAGTATATCATTTCTTTTGTTTACCTACTTAAGTAAAATCGATCTCACTATTTTTCCGTATTAATAACATGGATTCGATGAGTGTTTTTCATTTAACATTTGTTTAGTTGATAATAGAAACGCCACTGTACTTTGGTGAGAATCATGAACTTTGTTTTGAATACTGATCAGATTGAATGTATTAGATTCTTTATAGCGAAACTGTGATATGGATTTTGTAGAAATCGCAACGAACTTCAAAAAAGCATGTCATAATCATGACTTCTTGGTTCAGAAGCATAAACCGTGTATGAGCTCCGGTCGATATATTGGTGGATGTTAAATTAGAAGATGGCGAGTGTCTGACAATCTACAAATTGGAAAAGTCTTCTGGCCCTGGTAGTATCAATTCTGATGAATTAAAATCGAAAGCATTTCCATTTGTCTACGATACGAAAAGCGAAACGGATGTAGAAAAAAGAAACGATCTCATTCGTACGAGTTTAAAGAATTTGTTCCCAAACTATCGTGTTCATGCGTTTATCTTTACAGAAAACTGCGTTCATGCAGGCTACTTCAAAGCATGTGCAAGCTTCAAGAAGGAATACGGATCAGACTTTATTGTTTTTTTTAACTTGAACAGCTTTTGTGCATTATTTTGCAAATAGAATCTTTATTTCAAGTAGATAGCGCTCAATAAAATGTCCCTGTAGCATTTCTGCTTGTTATTGTTAACTAGAGACATCTATGCAGACAATCGGATTAGACATTTGTCAATATTTCTTCTGACATTCTGCTTTCAATGGAAACAATTACAAAAATATTTTCCTCTATGAAAATTGTTGAATTATAAAAAACAAATGTTATGGTCACGGATGATCGATTGGCTTTCGGGTGTGTATCTACCTACCGTCAAAATCGCCGGTAATAAAAAAATAACGAAGTAAAGGACAGACAAGACAAGTGAGCACGGCAGAGTACAGTCAAACAGTGATTCATCATCTCCGCAACTCGAATAAATAGGACGCATCTGAATCGAGCTTCATAAACAAAAAGTCAACAGAGAAAAAAGTTGGAAGAAATTGAAACAGAAAGAAATATTTTGTTACTTTTGAAGCTCGCGTCCATCGCATTGGCTATCAATGTTATGATTTTTCTTCTAATTCTTTAGATGAAATTTCTCCTGACCAAATAATGAACGAATAGTAAGAAGGAGAAAAATCGTGTCACCATTTTTTCCTGAATATTCCTTATGATTATTTGATTTCATCAGCAGCAACAAACAACTTTCGAATCAACGAATATTTAAGCAATGCAGGGATGGTTTAAACTAATGCACGCAGTTCGTCAATCCGACCCGCCGACAAATCAATCAGTCCGATATCTATCGAACAGTACAATCAATCGAACGTTTACCAATGGTGAATCTTTACGGGAACAGAGCCCATCCACGCAATCATCGATGGCTACAGCAAATGAAAGAAATCATGTACTACGTGCATCGCAATCTACCATTACACCTGTCGCATTAGATTCACCACCGAATATTTTCGATTCTCCACCACTTTTCAGTTCAGAGTCAACACCAATACATATAATAGATGATATACTTGCAATAGAAAGTGAATTGCTTTCCGGACCAAGGCGTCGACAAAAGCATATACCATCGGTGGAAATCGAATCAACAACCGCATCATGTTCGTCGGTATCTACAGGTGCGTAAAACACGGATGTTCATGTTTTTTTGCTAAGACAACGAATGCCATATTGATTCTTTCGTTTGTGAATTTAGATTCGAGACAATCAACAAAATCTGCGCAGAAAAATGCAAATAAATCACATGGACCTCCAGTACCTAGCAGATTGAATGACATTTCAACACCAATCACTGAAGATATTTCTGATGACGATGATATGCCGATCGTAGACATACGAAAACAGAAGATACAGTCAATAGATACTTTGTCAACACCATCGACGGCTGATTTAAGTATTCCATTAGCCACGGATCTTCAATCATTGCCTGGTCACGTGCAAGACGAACAACGTGATCATCGTTTCCTTATTTATAATGATATCGATACATTATCCATGCATTTACATGTGTGTCTCTACGTCGATAAGCAATCATTATCTTTGAGTCGACAAAGTAACCTTGAATCTCAATACAACGTTCTAAATAAAATTTTCAAAATCTACTACATCAAAACGTTCCGAAAACTCTTTAACACAGAAAATAAAGCGATATTTATCAGTAATGATAATGACAAAATTCAACCATTATCGGTCGTCAGTTCTCCGACATCAACATCGTTCAAAACCGATTGGAATGTCAATCGAAGAAACTCGACATCAACACAACGGCAGACACCAAGAAACTTTTTCCATATCCTACAACTAAATCCAAAGAAAGATATTGACGCCCAACAGAATTCTTCATTAGTCACTAGACCAACTCCAAAAACGGCGATCGAAAAGTTTGAATCTATCAAGGACATTCTCGCACGAACATATTACCCGCACCGATACACAGCAATTGAATGTGGTTACTATTTTGGTGAAAAATCCAAGTTTCTAAGTACGCAACAGTTGATATCTACCAATGTTGGTTTTGTCTCCGTCAAAGAAATGCCTCAGTCACCTGAAGAGTTCAATTATGATTCAACAACGATAACATTGAAATCACCGCCTACACGACGTGATTCAGTCGTAAGTCAACCTTCGCCAGTCGTGATTAAGCCTCAGCCGGAGAAATCAATGGTTTTGAAACAGAAGAAAAGCAAATCATCACCTGCGATACAAGCCAAAAATAATTCCAATGGCTTGCTCGAAGAATTATCACCGTGGATGATTAAGGAATCAGTTGTGATTCTAACACCAACAAAAATTCCAGTAACGAACTCAAGGATTGAAAAAGAAAAACCATCGGCAGCGAATCTAAAGCGGAAAGCGGTCAATACGAATGGCATGGAAATCAAAAAGAAACGAGTAGCACCGTCGATACTACTCGAAACAGCAAATGCTATTGAAGATATATCCGAATCCTCAAGGTAAAGTAAAACTTTAGTGACATTATCATATAGAAGAAACGTCAACTAAACCATAGACTCATCCCAATAGTCATTGAAGATCTGTGATCCATAGTTGACTTAGACCATTCAGAGATAAAAACGACAATAGTAACCTTTATTTGTCAAATGTTCCTTCAAGGGATATTTTTATTTTTCATGCTTATAATCACACTTTTTTCGAATATTTATTTCATCTCACATTCCACGGTGTTATCTTTAAATCTAAACCTTATCATTTCTTACCTATGTCGTCCATCAACCCTAAATTTTTAATATACGTACCTTTCTTTCTGATCTAATCGAACATACTATAATCATATTTTAGCGATGAAGATGTTTTGCCCTCTGAATTACCCAAGCAATGCTTTATCAAGAATGGCCTACGCTCGAATTATTACAAGACAAATTCAGATGACAAAACGAAGCCTAAATCTGCAAGGTTCGAATCCAAATGACAAGAGAAACTGTTCTTTTCTAATGTGCTATTTTTCTCTAGCAATAAATCGCGTCTTGAACGACGGCGACAATCATCAGGTTCACTACCACCATTCTATACAGGAATCTACGAAGCCAGTGATGACATGAGCAAAGCTTCGCATACGGATTTTTGCCTTCCATATGACATCTTTTGGCATAGTCAGCAGAAAGCAAAACAGCCATCTGTGATAAATGCGCCGGTAACTTCATCAATGATTACAACCACGTCCGATTCTCATCAAAGAAAGAAAAAGTCAAGCAAACCGAAACAAAAACTACCATCTCCTTACAAGAAAATCACACGAAATGTTTACTCAGATCAACTAAAACAAAGTTTATTAGTGTCATACAATGCTGACAAAGTACCTGTCTGTGATTGTAAACCATCCGATACATGTGAAGATGGTGTATGTGTTAATAAATTGACTTTTACCGAATGCTCATCAAGCTGCGCTTGCGGTAAGAATATCCTTGTTATCTATTTCCCTGCAAATCATTCTCTCCTTTCCCTTTCAAGGCGCGAAATGTACTAACCAAAAGATTCGCAAAGTTCAATGGTGTAAACATCTCGAGGTATTCGATACTGGAAAGTATGGTCAAGGTGTACGTGCAACTGCCCCGATTCCCAAAGGCACATTCATATGTGAATACGTTGGGGAAGTGGTCACCAATGACAAATTTCAAGATCGAATGGTTAATCTCTATTCGAAAGATGAACATCACTATGCAATGAAATTAACGCAAAACTTAGTCATTGATGCTTATCGTATGGGCAGTATCGCTCGTTTTGCCAATCATTCATGTTCGCCGAATTGTGAATTTGAGAAGTGGACGGTCGACGGTTTACACCGAATGTGCATGTTCTCGTTACGTCCAATCAAAGCTGGTGAGGAATTAACATATGATTACAATTTCAAAAGCTTTAATTTGCAAGCGCAACAGCCATGTTACTGTGATAGTTCGAAATGTCGGGGTAAAATTGGTGGAAGGCAACAAACGACCCCATCATCATCGAACATAATCGACACTGATAATCCTTCTCCTGCAATAACTCCACCGAAAATAAGTCAACGAGACCGACGAATGATCCTACAATCATCTCTTTTTCTTTTGCGCAATCTCAAAAAACAGAAAACAAAACGAACGAACTCGAAGTCAAAAATACAGAATCAAAAGCAATCACCAGTATCGCTTTTCCATCCACAAAACTACTATCATCCTAACGGGCCAACCAATCGATCGACGACACCGAATTTACGGAGAACCCCAAAAATAGAACACAAAGGTAACTCGATTCTGCAATTTTAACAAGTAATATCTTTCATCAATATTTCAGACATGTTCTCATTGTTCTACAACCATATTCGGCATTCTCATTTTGTTAAAACCGGCCGACACTATCACGAGCTTATCGATGATACGTGTTACTATGCACAATTAGCACAATTGACGCTGATCCTAAATGAAATACTCGATTTGATACTATACTATAAATGTCTCGATGATAATATCACGCCGGCTGAAGCTTTGAAACAATGTCCGTCGAAACGTCTATATCCAGTTTATTATGAAATCATCACTAAACCAATTGATTTGAAGACAATCAAAGTCAAACTTGATCATGGTGACTATTCAACATTTGAACGATTCGAACAAGATATTCTATTACTATTTCAAAATGCAATTGTAAGTCAGAGTTCATCGAACGAAGATGTCGTGCATAAATTCACTCTTTTTTCTCTCGTAGACATACTGTGGTGCTAATTCCACTGAAGCGAATGCTGTGCTAGAATTACAGGAATATTTTACTCAAACATTAAAAAGTCAATACAAAAGCGCTTTAGCTTTATTTCACTTTATGCTACATGATGAACAAATGATAACACATTTCCATATGTTAGAAAGCTTCATAGAACGTTTGCACGAGAAAGAAGTGCGCGATGGACAAATTCGACAAGTTCTTTATGAAATTATTTACAATATAAGTGATCATTCAGATGATGATTCACCTATTGCTTACAAGATCGTACTAGATAGTAAACCGAATTCACATCGGCCATCGAAATCGAGAACGGTCGAATGCATTATGCACTGTCGATGTGGATCTGTTTTTGATGAAAATTCACTTGTTCAATGTTATGCGTGTCAGGTATGAGAGACAGATTCTGCTGAGCTCGAACGTAAGAAACGAAATCCTTCTTTTTTTTTTATAAAACTAGCTCTGGCAACATGTTGCCTGTGTTTCAATCGTTGATTCCAGTCGACCTTATTATTGCTTTGAATGCCAACCAATGTGCGAGAAGGATCCATCGGCTTGTTTGAAAACGAATGTTCTAATCGCTGCGACTCTTGCGCCTTGGCAAACCTACGATGATAATCATAGTTCGTATTCGACCTTGACACGTTCGGATGGTTTGATTGTTCGTACAAACGAATGCTATTTTGTACCGAAACAAGATGAAACAAATATTGATCGATGTTTAACCTCTCCTGAATATGACATTCTATTCGTTGAACGTCTTTGGATAGATGATCATGGCGTTGGTCAAGTCGCAGGATTCTATTACATACGGCCAAATGAAACATTCCATGAACCGAGTCGAAAGTTTTTTCCCAATGAAGTTTTTCGTTTTCCATCATCTAATGAACCTTTGCCAATCAGTTCAATAGTTCGTCCTTGTTTCGTCATGGATATGGGAACTTACTGTCGAGGTAAACCAATCAGTGATAATAATAGTCGGGTTTCAGCAAATGATCTTTTCATATGCGAATTTCGTGTTGACAAAATGGCAAGAACGTTCACACGTTTAGTCAAGTCCAGACATTTAATAACTAACACGAAATCTTACTGCTTCGATCGTTATGTGGAGAAACTGGCAATCAAACGCGATTACCAAGTATGTTCGAAGCTGATGGTCTGTTTTCTCTTGCAAATCTTTCATTCTAGCCTTATGAAAAAGAAGTTCGGCAACATCTTCAATCTCAACACGATCATCGTCGGCGGCTAATAACTAATTCGACGAGATCAATCAATAAAAAACTGGAAGAACGACGAACACGTATTCAAGGAATCATTGAAAAGATTTACTGCCGTTGCCATAATATCAGTGCAATGCCTAATGAAGTGAAGTATACGATCCATCAACTCTTTCCTGATAAATTGAAGCAGAAAACTCCAACGAAAATCACAGCAGAGAGAATCAATAAAAAACGTCGAACAATATCTGTCTCCTCGGATGATGAAATCGTTGAGCTGGTACCTGAAATTGGCTGTGAAACACCGACAAAACGACGTTCAGTACGACAATCAGCTATTAGTCCGCAAAAACGTGATGAAATCTCTGATTTAATCTGACTGCTAGTCAAGATGCTACGAGAAAACGATAAATATATTTCAATTTTGCTTGCTTGCCCTTTTTTATACGAATTTTAGTCCTATTTAATGACGCGAATATGTATTTATACTTTGTAAATGATGTGTGCTTGTTTTTTTACTGGCGATATTGATGTTTTTGCTGTTTCAATTGCTTAACAGAATAAACTCGAAATTGACAATAGAGTGATTTTATGTAAAGATGAATAAACGAAATATTTCAGATTTACCATTCCGAATGCATGATCCAACAGATCGACATTTAATGTTAGCAAGTCCAAATCGTTTATTAAATAGTCATCAAAGCAAGTTGACTCGACCAGCGCCATCACAACAGCAACAGCAGAATCTCGCGAAAAAGTTAAAAGTTAATCACACGAACGGAATACGAACGACGTCACAAGAAAACATCCCTGCCAGTCGAAGTTTGTAGTCTCCTTCGGAAGTTTTTGTTTTGTTGGTAAAGTTCTTCTTCCATTCAGCTTCGAAAAGTGATACATCGCTACGTTGTCCATTGCGGCAAACTCTGCCGATCTTCAAACAACCTGTGACTCACTATCCGCCTCAACGAGATGAAGTCAAAACCCAAGCGATGATTTCCAGCAATCAGAACGCCACTAATAAATTGAACGAAAAAACCAAACCGCGACAACTGTTCTGGGAGAAACGTTTCCAAAACATACGACCAACAGATACCGATGGGCAACCTTTCGAACACTTCAAACTACCCGAGCAAATCAAAGGTATTGACACACTTAATTTATCTAAGAATAGTCTGTTTGAAAGAGAATTTCTTGACACGTACGCTACATGCCATTCGCTCTGTTGAATTTCACTATCTCTTTGCTCGTCGTTAAAGAAAATCGTTTTTTATCAGTAATGTAATCAAACATTATTGACAGTAGGAAAGACAACAAATTTGATTAAATCAACAAACAATTTGTCCGCTCGACGTAGATAAATGACAACGGATGGAATCGTTCTTCGCATTATTAGGAAAAAAAAAGATAAAATTAACTTTATTCTTTTAGGTGTTAATCTTGATATGTCACCTGAAACGATTGTCATCAGTCTTGCGACATCTCTTCATCTCTACAGTAGTTCTCGTGCACTTTTTGGCCAAAATAAACAATTCCCAAAGAATCCAGTTATTCACGTTCAACGTGATCAACCGTTAATTGAAGTATGTGGATCTAACTGAACTATTTGATCCGCAAGAACTTCTATTTTGTTCTCTAGCATGTCACCATCACAGATGAACATATTCGTGCACAAGAAGAAAAAGTGAACGAGTTGCGTCGACGTGTTCAGCAAACAATGCGTACTAACATGAAGATGGAAGTATAGAAATAGATCAAGAGTACCTCTGATGAAGTCCAGTGATGTGAAATGTGTCATTTTTATTTCTTATCGAAAAGATAACCAAAATATCTTTTTCTTGCTCGTTCTCTCCCTCATAATTCACATGTGGATATTTGAATGAATGATTAGTATATTTCGAATATAAATTAAACGAATACCTCATTCTATTCTAAACATGTCTTTGCTATCTATCTCGAAGTGGGAAATTACACTTCGGCAGATAAAAACAAACTTTGAACCGCTGGTAGTGACTACTCTTCATAAGAGCAAGGAAATATATATGCACCGTTTCTCTATCGAGTTATATAAATGTGGAAGGATACTTGAAAGGAAAACTTCTTTCGAGACAGTAAATAAATATAATCATTACTTTTTTGTATTCCATTAGCTCTTTTTTGATAATGTCGTGATTTCAACGAAGTACATCTATTAATCGATCTGGATATAGAAAACGATGTATTTTCTTGATGAAAGCAAATTACAGAGAGGAAAAGAAACGCTTGAAATCTTGCTAATGTCTATTTTGATTCAATTATCACTATTGATGAGTAATCGTGATAATGCACGAGTACATAATCAAAACTGGGTGAAAGAAAGAAAAAAAAGAAATCTATGCGACAATCGAAGCACTTAATGTTGATGAGTATGGTGATCTATTGAAGAAATTGCTAGATGTTTTCTTGGTGATCTCAAATAAAACCACTTGTCGTCTTACGTGACAATGAGAGAACATGTGTTCGATCAGTGAATAAAGAACGGAGAATATCAAATGAGTATGTTTTCCTTTTATTTAGTTTTCTCTGTTGTATTCAACTAGCTCATTTCTATTTGTCAGTACAATCAGTTCCGTCTGTCGATTACTTGGATTTAATGTGATTGATTGTTGTTGCTGATGGTGATGTCCTCGTTTTTTAATAAAATTCAGACGAAATGGTCGTTTGAGTAGAAATAAATTATAGAAATCATTCCGAAAGTCAATTGAACAGAAAAAATAAATAAAAAATCGGATCGTATGCGTGGTTGTCGATAAATTCGTGAAGAATAGGGAGACCGTACGTCGAAGATCTGATCGTGTAATATATTGACGAATAAATGAGAAGATTATCGTCGATGGAAATGTTAACATAAAGTACGAGATGGTGATAAATATTAACGACATGGTTAGTTTTCGACTATGTCGATTCAATAATCTCGACGGACTATTTCGGTTCGGACGTCTTAACGCCGCCGAGGAAGAATGTTGTAGGGCAAGAAAACTCTTCCGTCGATTAAGTGGAATTGTCGTTGTCGCCGTGGCAGCGAATAAAACTAAACGTTTATGATTATCCAAGCGTTTCTTACTCGCGAATATAATCCGCATTAACAACGTGTTGAATATCAATAGAATCGAACTCGGTAGAACTGAATAGATAAAGAGATGATAACGTTGATACCACACCATATAACTAGGAGAGTGGGCTTTGCTATAACAGGTTATAGTTCCTTTCGATGAACGATAACCATTCATCCAGAGAATATGTGTATTTGACAAGAAAAATGAGCAGGTTAAGAATAAACAGATAGCGATCGTGTAGGGTCGTTTACAAATGAACTCGAAACGCGCTAGTTTCTTCACTAGTAGATAACGATTAAACGAACCAAACGCTAATACCCATGATGATGTTTGAAGGATAGAAAATGCTAAAAGAACAGGAATTTTAGAGAGAAGAATTTCACTATGATGAATTCAAATGTCTTACCAGTATAGGAGAGAAATCGACACATGAATAACGAGTATTCTTCGAGATTCTTTTTCGCAACAATGGCATGAACGTGATCTCCTTGAGAAGTTTTACTACTATTCTGACTTTTCAATGAAGTAATTTTGAAATCAACACTAAATTCTCGAACAACATAGTTTAAATTGAATGTATATAATACAATTGTGTCGAGGAAAGCTAAGTAGCCGAAGATGATCTTGATCGAATTCGAGCGGTTGACTTTTTGAAAATAGATAACGCAACAAAGAAGATTACATGGAGTACCGATGAGAATCAATAAAAGAGAATAGATGGCGAGCAGACGATCGGTTAATTGGGTATTAGGAGGACGAACTTGAATGCCACTTAAATTCGATGTGCCATTCATCACGAATATTTAACTGATTGTTCGAGAAAATGAGAAGAAAATACGAATGAATCTCATTGAGAAAATATTCTCTATTTTTTGCTTGCTTTTTCTTCCTCTCTCTCTTCGCTTCTTGTTTCTATATTCTTTTTCTTCTTTCTCTTTTCTCCTTTCCTATGATCATCTATTCCCTCTTATCTTCATGTTCCCTTTCTTTTCATAACGATACTGTTTTTTGCTTGAGTTTTTCTTGAAAATACAAAGACGAGGTAACGATATTAGAAATTCTTAACAACAATTGTCTACGCGCTAACATCGCACTGTTTCAGTTCATTTTATTTTTCTCCTCTAATGCCTTCTTGAATATTGAATTACGCCGATCGCCACGTATGTCTCTCGTCGACTGACAACATTTTGACTCTTTTATAGTAGAAGATGAGAATTGTTATCAGTAATTTAAGCCATGTGTCAATGCATGCGATGTACAGCAATCGATCTATCATTCACTTGATATGAGGCGTGATGCAGTGAGACACCATTGGAAACTAATAATCGTTTTTATTGTATGCACATTCGATGATGATGATGATGATGACAAAGACATTGATCTACATCCGTATGCATGTCTACGAACAAAACAAACGTTTTTCAACATATCAACAATAATAACCAAATGTATATGATCATCTTCGATATGATCATCATCATCGTCTTGTCATATTTATCGAATGGATACATCAATTTCAGGCGAGAAATAACAATCCAGTGTGTCTTGCTCTATTTATCTAAATAGCTTATCTCTCGGTTCAGAAATCGAAATCATTTCTTTTTTTCTGTGATACTTTCATCACCAGTAGAATCCATAGCAATCCTCGTATTGTTTTCTTCGCCGAAATCATTTTTCGATCGAACATGACGTTGAGCTGTTATTTTTCTGTCTGCTGCTTGCGTCTTGCGTCCTTCGATCATCATAACTTGGGTATTCCTAGTCGAATGCTACTCTCTATCCAAGCATGAAATCGCTCATTTTCATTAGTTTTCTTTTTTTTTCATTATCAGCCATGTTTTTCTTAAATGTGGCTATGTGTCTAGTCAGACTCTTTCTTCGCATTCATTCTAAATGCATTTTACATTAAATGCGGCTTCTAATACAAACTTCCAGTACGAGAGTTTTGCTTTTTCTTGTGTTTTTATTCGATTTTCTCTCCTTGAGAACTGAAATGAACAAATAGATTTTGTAGGAGGAGAGAGGAATCAACAACATGTCTGTGATTATCACATTTGAACGACGCAAAAAAGAAATTCAATCACTTACAATCGTCAAACGTTCCGGATGTTGTCGATCGAAACAAACTAACATTCGACTTCCGCGATTCTATTTGTTTGTACTCCCAACACGTTTTCCTGACGTTATCAAATCAACAGACAGACGGACATTAACAAAAAAATGAAGAAGAGGAACTGCACAAATTTATTGATTCACTGACTTTCTTTTTGTTTCATATCAAAGTCAGAGTCTAAATGTCGAGCTTCTACTCCGCTTAGTAGAGAGTATGATCTGCTTGTTGTTCTAATGAATTCTGTTCTTATTCGGAGAAAAGTGGCAACGGAAATAAAGTTACGATTAACTTTCTGTGCACAGCTGATAAGAATATTCATCCAACAAGATGTGAAACGAATATGACAAATCGATTTCAAGTATTTTGTTGTTTTCGATAGAGAAGCATCGATTCGGATAAGATGATGTAGAGTGAAAAAGAATAAAGAGAAAGAAGAAGAAGAAGTTATGCTAATGGCTTATTTTTTTATCAGTATATAACATTGATTAATGACATGATCTATTGGTATCTGAAACCGACCAGGCTAAATAACGAATATACATATGGCTTGGCGATAAGTTCACTTGTTGTCTCTTGTATTGTGAACTAGTCACAAGTGAATTAAAACATGAAATTCGATGAGTACTTTTTGAAAAATGCACAATAGGACAAAATGGTTGGCAACAGGAAATTGAAATCATTAACGCGTGTTCTAATGTTTTCAACGATTGTGCCTAAATGAATGTCGGCTGAACAGTAGACATTTTCAAAATTAGAAATGCGGTATTGTAACAAGTTTCAAAGGTCCACATATTAAACGGGGTATTAGCGAGTATAAGGCGATTTTTCATTTAGTCACTGATTACTGTAGGTAATCAACTGACACAATAGATTAAGAAAAATGACTGCAAGTACTCATGCCATCAAATGAGATTAGAATCACTTTCCATTAGACACGAGTAAAAATGTTTTTAACAAGTTCGCATAAAAATATGTGTTACTTAGAGCTATTGTTTAAATTTTCATTTAAAAAGAACTTTCATCGAGTTTTACCTCTAAGAATAAAAAAAAGAGTTCTTTCTGAAATTTAATTAGCCAATTTATCGAATAGAGCAATTTCTTTAATAAAAATTATTCTCAGACCGTAGTGGTCCCACAACTCGGTGTAAAAACATCATCTGTCGGTATGAAATTGGATCCTTTCGACTGCCCTGGACCCATTGAACTTAATCGGTTTTGTAGAGAAGTTTGTTGACAAGCACATTGTCCAGAGGCTCTTATTGGATTATATCGACGAGAGGATTTTTCCTTTTCGAATTTCTCCATTACTCACTCTCCACTTCTTTCGGATCTTTTCTTGTGCTGTACGTCTAATTGATCGAGACTTTTTCGCTTTCAACATCATCTGTTCGTGCTAGAACAAAGCGAATCATAGCTCTATTCCAGATACTGCTAATACTCGCTCGATCTAATCGAATGAGACGCTTTCCGGTTGACAAAAAATTTTGTCTTGCCACTATAAAAAACGAATAGAACCATTCACAGATTCAATTTGGTTTA